GGTATCAAGCTGAAGATGCATTCCTCGAAAAGAAGAGTGAAGTCGAACCTGTGACAACCAGGGGAGCCAGGTCCTAAGACGGGCCCGAAGCTCTCGTCACCAGCGCATCGCTTCATAGAGGATTAGTTATAGCTATGAAGCAACACCGAATGCGGCTTGTAAGGCCCCTGTTGCGATGGCGATGGGACCAGTTTTGTATAGTGGTTCATTCTGTGGCTGCCGGGAGACAATGCGAGTTCATCTTTCCAGGTGCATTGGCTGCTTGGAAGCGTTTCAAAGTTTGAATTCAACCTGAGCAATCAAGCGATGCGATGTTGAGGTCAGCTATACCCCTTTAGGAAGCCATAAGTGCTCCCGTACGCCTCTCCAAGGTGCTACCTTGCGCACACAGCACCGTGGCTACCACTTCAGGTGAGATTGTATGGAACACGAGAGAAAGCCACACACGGAAGACTCGAGGGTTTCTCACCGCTACCGGTGCTCCTGACTCAACACTGTACTTTCCGCATCTTATTCTATGTTGAGACCTAGCTCTAACATGTAGATGGCATCAAACGGTCTGGGTACCGTCGCTTACCAATCGTACGCTGCTATTTCCCAGGCTCCTAAAGCTTCAAATAATGGCATTGATGATAATTTGTACTGTGATATGGATTGAAAATGCTGCAAACCCCTGTGAGCTAGATCCCTGGGCCACGTTCGTTGCTTGTGGAATCAAGGTTGATCCAAAACCAACTGCCGATGTTGTAGACCATAAGCCCGGTGAGGAATTGCCAATTTGGGTATAAAACTGCGCCGGGTCGGCACGAGCGATACTCTGATGTCCTTAAATTCTACAGCGCAGCAAAGGGAAACTTCGGAGTCTTCGAATTCGTCACATCACGGGTCACAGTTCGGGTCACAGTCACCGGTCTCGATCTGACGTAGAAAAGAGAGCCTGATATCAATGGTTTCCGACGCACTCGGCTATCCGAATGAATCACCTATGAACACATTCTCATATTAGGCCTGAACACGTTGCGGTGAATAATACGAGTCTTAAAACGCGAACATTGTCACTCCCACATTCCGAGCTCTGAGGAAGTGCTAAACGTTCCATATTGGCAATCCATCAATCAATGAGCCCGAATGACAAGTGACGACATAGCCAATTTGTTGTTTTCAATTTAGCGTACACCGGACTGCGACAGACCTCTCGAGGGTATTCAAGACCACAGCAGAAACGAATATGGCTACTATCGACCAGGCAACATGCCTAGCCTGAGTCAAACTATATAGTTATATGACTTATGAGTATATAGTATGGAAATATGTATATTTGTAGAACTTGTTGATGGAACTGGTACTCATCAAAGCATAGATGAACGAATTCCACGCTATTCTTCATCAGATGTCCAATGTCGTCTTTCTGTATAGGTGCCTCTACTCTTTACCCACATGCTATATGAAAGGTTTCTACTAGTACTCACAGATAGTATGACCCTCAAGGCATTGGCATGCTTTGGCACCTTGACAAACCTGCCTTCTACAACACCACCAGAGGTATACATGTCACGCCATACAAGCTCAGATTTAGGCCCGTCATGCTACAACACTGTAATTGTAAATTTATGTAGTCCACCTAGTGTCTTAAACTGATCAGCTGTGCCCTTAGATGAGTGTTGTCTTTAGTTAGGCAGTTTATGCGTGGTATAGCCCGTGTTTCAAGTATAATTCGAGTCAATCAAGAAGTTATTTTTATTTTCTTATTCTTCAGCTCGCCACCCCTTCGAGTTGCATGAAGAGTTTGTAAATCGAAGTAAACGGTATAGGAAATGCAGGGGATAATAAGTAAAATATGAAATTAAACCCCTGTTTCTTGTCTGTTAGCATCTCATTTGCAAAGAATAAGCCGAACAGGAACGTTCGAGTGAGGATGGTATTGTGAGCGCTACTATGCATGCAATATTCCGATATGTATGTCTGGCGGTGAACCGTGGAATACAAGCACTGCGCCTAAAGATTTCACACAGCGGATAAGACGTCGTGGTGTCCTCAGAACAGATGAAGCCCATGCTCTTCATACACTCTGACGAGTGCTAAAAAACGCTACACCAGCAGACTTTACTGCTGCAATTCGACCACGGCTCTCAGCTATTATTCTTAAACTATGCAGGTCGAAGGGTGTTGGCAACGTTGGATCGTCACAGACTATGAAGCAAAAGATGAAACGTCTCGAGTGAGATGATGAGGTATTGCTCGTACTAGCAGATAGAAGAAGGCATCGTCATGGTTGCGAAGAGTATGAAGTGTCATTGATCACGACTATTTCAACTTATTAAGTAACGACTACGTACAAGCCACCTCAATAATACATCCTGCTTTCTTTTGACATCGTAAACCATTAATCGCATATACGAGATCGGGTATCCTCCGCATAAACATCTACATCACGCCAGATAGCTGCCGTTGGCGGCTCGAGTTCCGTCCTTGGACTCAGTTCAGATTTGGTGCTGGAACCACACAAAGTGGAATCTTTACCACCCCGGCACTGTCACTTGTCAATGTGTCGATTAGACGGTCTCACGGTTGGTCTTGCCGCGAGCTTCACGGCCCTTCTCGGACCACGGGAAGTGGAAGACGGGGATGAGGAAGAAGGAGTTGCTGTGAGAAGAAGGTAAGCATATTGTCTTGGAGGAACGGTTCATATCCTGGGGTGGTAACTGACCTAGAGTCGGCAATACCAGCGAAGGCATTGTACCAGGCTAAGAAGGCAGCCAGAATACCAAAGCCTCCACCCGCCTGGGTGAGTCTTTTGGCCGAAGAAGCAGCGCCGTTGGACTTGGCGAACTCGCCGCAAGACAGCATCAGGAAAGCCAGGTCAAGGGTGAAGAAGAGGAGGAAGAACATGACAGTAGAGCGCAGGGTGCACATGAGCAGAATGAAGGTGAAGATGAACCAGCCGGCCAGAAAGAACCCCAAGACCGATGCCTCATCGGCGGGGTCCTCATACGCAGAGAGGGCGGCAGCGCTTGGAGTCAGAAGGATGGCGTAGGCCACCCAGAAACCACCGTATGAGGAGAGGGCAGTGGCACCAAAAGTGTTGCCCACGGCCATTTCCCTGACGCCGGATCAGCATGTGTGCACATAGCTTTGGGGGGTATGATGGAATGGTTTGGCGCTTACCACATGCCGGCCAGAAGCTGCACCACGCCTCCATAGGCGTATGCTAACGACAGGACGACATTGGGAACGTTGACCTCACGCGCGTTCATATTGATGAGAGACAGGACGAAGGTGGTCAGCGCGAAGGCCGACAGACCCAGAGGTGCTGGGTTGGCGAACTTGCGGTGCTCCGCTGACTTCCATAAACCAGGTTGGAATTCACCACCGAAGGCGGGCAGCCTAGTTTCGTCGATGTCGCCGCGGGTGTGGGCATGAGCGAGTGGGTTGTGGCCATGGTCGTAACGGTTATTGGCCTGCCTGCCATTGGCGTCCGACGACGATGTCATCGTCTTCTCCGCCGTGAGAGGGTCGGTAGCCATTGTGTATTGTCTTGTCCTTTTCTTTTCTTATGAATCCGACTGCCTGGAAGGTCGGAGGTCAAAGTAAGGTAGGAGGGAGGGCTCGTTTTGAGGTTACCACCCGCAAAACATCAGCGAAAATGGTGGCTCTCCCCACGTTGTGGGGAACGGGCACGCTTAAGTACGAGAGGACTCACTTACGACAGGAACAGTTGCTTGGCACCAGGTCTAGCGGTAAGAGTAAGGAATGGATATTGTAACAAGGGTTCAGAGTTGAATGGTAGGGTAGCGGGGGGACAAGGGTCAACATTAACCACCTAGGTCGTGTAGATTGATCCTACTTTGTGTGCATGATCCACATCTTTCATGACATCGGACCGTTCGAGGTGTGAACGCCCCTGAGCGATATGAAGCGCCCATACATCATATGCACACCGCTGGGGTAGCATCGGTACATATTGGATTGGGCGCATTGATAGGAACGGTCGGGAGCAATATACGTACTTACGACTCTTGAACGACTTCGAGTATGTACTTGGTAGGCGGGCGCACTTGGCAACATCGCAGCAGGAGACCAAAAACTTCTGCATCGCCGACGTGCGTTACAGCATTGAGTGCTGAAGCGCCTCAATTGTTCAACGACGCCCGATGGCCATGCAATGCAGACAGAGCTGTTTGCTCGCTTGGCGAAGCGGCAAGGTGAAGTTGGAGAAGTGTTCAAAATGCCCAGACGCTAAGCCGAAACAACTATTTGCGATGCCAGTCAGCATGGAGATGTCGGGTCAAATTCCGGGGTAGGGTGGATGCCGCAGGACCGATGGCTTGGCGCTCTAAAAGTAGTTTGAGGACAGAATGGGTCGAACTTTCTCTTGGGTGTCTCGCGTTGCCAATTTGTCAAACTCTGTCGCCAAGCCTGGAGCTGTTGTCCGGAAAGAGGGTGTTGCTACGCCGCTGCAATGCAGTCTGTAAGGTAACTCAAGGTAGGCTGGAAAGCTCTTGAGCTCTTAGGATGCTCGTTGGGGGCTCAAGAGATACCTATGCCGTATTCGCGAATGTCCAGAACGGCCTGCATGTTCTTATGAAAAGGGCTACCCTCGTCAAAGGTCTTGGATCTTGGATTGTGCGCACCGTTCCAAAGTTGGTTCGCCGTTGACCCAAGCCAGCCAAGCTTTCCGAGGCGTCGCCCGCTGTCAACGTTAGGACAGAAGCATCCTTGGGCAATCGGGCATCGCTTGCTGGAGTCAATTGTGATTACCTTGGTAAAATCAAACGACTTACGAACTCTATAGTATCCGTACTTTGCCCGTTGCACTCTGCATGCTGGCTGACGGCAAAATGAAAACCGAATGCCCTTGTGTGGCCGGGGTCTGTCGAATTTGGCAGGATTCTAGCAATGGTTCGGTTGAAGCTCTCCCGTCACTGTGGACCACATTTTGTGCAGGACATCGAACAGGGGTGGGTGGTGGCTTCCAATTATTCTCCCGTGTCCATCCGTGGCTTCCTTTTGCTCCGTGTATAAACGGCAGGTCCCTTGGTTTGAGAAGATCGATGCAAGAGGCCTGGCTTTGGTTTGAGTAGAGTTGAGCAATCTTCATAACGTCGCATAATTGTAGCGACGTTGTTGCGTGTCTCTGATAAACACGACGTTGATACTGCCCTCACAGAGTTCGGGGATTAGCGAATGTCCCTTCGTCCGACCAATTTAGAGTAAGTACCCCAGACCTGGGGTAGGTACCTACCTACCCACCTCGTTTGCTTAGCTTGCTGGGGTGACGACGGGATTATGGTGGTGATGATCTCCGTTCTATTGGGTACAGTGGAGTCGCAAGCCAAGTAGTGGCTTTGCTCCGCATGTTCCGCGGTGACTTGTGTCCAATCTGTTGAGCAACATGAACATTGGTAATATAGATACATTCGTCAGATGAATTATTGCGCGGACGCCGCGCGCGTCGTGCGGTCTTACAGAAACGATCGCTTGATGTAATAACCAAGCTGGCAAAGTCGCACCAGGGGTGCTGGGGAAGCCCCACAGACAACGTTGGGATTCGGCAGTGCCCATCGTTACTCCGCATTCTCGAAAGTCGACCTTGATTTTGAAGACTCAGAGAGATCCAACTCGCCATCTCTTCATTCTGGGCTGATGGCAGTCCGCCGTTCATCCCGTAACCACGCGAGAGCATCTAATACCAACAACGACTGTTGTCAGACAAAGGCGTAAGACCTTGGCACGGCGTTGTTTACTGCCGATTGCCATGTGGAAATAGATTACTGTGGCAGCTCAGCTGATTCTTGGCTTCCAGCTTGACAAATTGTACTTTGTAATGGCACAGCAAGTTGGCAGGCTTCGCGATGTAAGAAAACAATGTGAAGCACACCGCATGTTGTAGTGTTCTTCGCACAGTATTATTCCATTTTCGAATGTACTAGCGCCAGATCTTGGGTTTATTAGCAGGGCTAGAGCCATGGAGAGAGTTTCAAGTCGGCTAAGGCAGCGCATGGCACTACCCTTACCTTACCACATCATCGGGTGCGTCTGATGAAGCCCTCAAGTGCTGCATATCGCTCTTTGAAGATGCCAGACAACTGACTTCGGTCTCCAAAGAAGCCAGAAGAAGCCAAAACCAACCTCAGCTACCTACACACGACATATACATGCTGTCCCTTGCTTTGTCAAGCGCTCCAGCTATTTGGAGATTTGGAGGCCAGGAATCGTGACCTATTCAAGAATAATTGAAGAAGCACCCGTCACCAGACTAGAGACACATCTGAAGCTCTGCCAAGCTTCCAAGCTATTGCCAACCTGTCAGTGATTTATGCTGAAGATTATGAAGGGCGCAAAACAATGATGCATTGCAAATAGTTCCCACCAGTACCGCACCTCACTAGACAACTTGGAAACTTCGGGGTGGATTGCCAAATTCTGATTGCTCGCATACCTTTGCCCAAGCAATTGTATCATCTCTTTCCGCAAGTCCAATTTGGCCGGCTACTATATCCGTGTCTCGGCTCTGGATTTACGTGAAGCAAAATTTCTGCTATTCACAGCAGGCCATTACGTTGAGTTTTGCTTGCAAATTACCTGTAATATGCACCCCGGGGTAACTATAATCATGATACACTTTAGCTTACTTTGAAACAGAGTCCAGTGTCTTTGTTGCACACATATTCGTTTCCGCCACAAAAATAATATCGAACCACGGCAGGAGTAGTCTCCCAACATGTTCTAGACATGCTGACACGAGCCGGAATTGCGACTCGGCCCGGCATAAAAACCAGAACGATTTCCATGTCTGCTCGAATCCCCGAACTGTCAGATTCAAACAATTGCTCCCTCGCTTCTGCAATCAATAACTGTCCCGGGATAATCCTCCTGTGGTACGGGACAGGACCGCGCCCGGGGACTTTACCCCTTTAGCCGAAAGTGACAATCTCGTACACAATGTAACGGTACAATGCACACTCGAGGCTCGAATGACGGGCTCCCAGCTTGCCGTGCAATATCGTTGTTCAATCGCGAGCAAGTGCATGAATCCACATGTGGTGTGAGAAACATAATTTTTCTAATCAATGGCCATTGGAAGACAAAGCAGCATAGCAGATTTAATTGAATAGCTATCCATCGGAGATATCTCAATTTCAGGTGGCAGTTCCACAAGCCGCATGCCAAGTATGAATAGATGGAAGACTTTATTTAACCGTCTGCCGCCTCGCTAGGTAAACCCCCCCGGACCAGTACTCGAAATGGTTCTTAGATAGAATCGATAATATGGAAAGGGCATCTCGTTGGGGGTGAGTTATACTTCTTCTGAAACCATAGTTTTCTTAGTTTGATGTGGTACTTTAAATTATTTGTATCAGGAAGATATCATGCTACTATTCCTTTTCTGGAATTGTAGAGGGGGTTGTGATGTATTTCGCAACAAATATCCGTTGCAGAGGTATCGTGAAGTGCCTTGTTATCAAGTATCTACCACCTCTTCAAGAAAATCTAGTTGTGGGTGCACAATAGTTGCTTTGGTTGGAGTGGTTTACTTATCTTCACAGAGATAGTCGTCCGTGTTGATATAAGGGTTACAGATAATTACATTTCGAAGTACCTGTGATGAACTAGGCTAAACTCACGGTTACTTCCATATGGCGAGCTTAGAGTGTAAGCCTAAGAGCTTCTCACTAGAGCTAGCTACCATCGGACATGTTCTCATGGAAATCTTGCTAAGGAGACTTGAGAAGTTGGAAAAGTTGCATTATTTGTATAGCCCTCAAATTCCTATTGCTTTCCAGTAGTTTAAATTTTCATCTACCGTGGCGGTAGATTTAGATCACATCTTTTAGTATGCAGGCATCGTAAAACTGTATAGTCAGTCACATAGTAATTATAAAAAATACAATCATACTTATTGCAAAAACGACAGTTCAAAACCGATCGTGTTATTATGTGTTAACGGTCGGACCTGACGAAATGACTGGCCTGGATACCTTTTGTATCCTCTAACCTGTCCTACTCCATGACACCACACTGGATAGCCACTCGCTTTTCCGATCTGTACCTTTCCCCAGCCTTTCATGATGTCTTCAACTGCACCTGACTACTGCAGAGTACCACATCCATCAGGCTGCTAGCTATTACAAAGTCTGTTCGCTGACGCAGGCACGTCTCATCAGAGAAGAAACGAGGGAAAAGATAGCCCGAGCCCGCGTGAAATGCGAGTGATGCATTAAATACGGACAATGAAATACAAACATAAATAGGCACTGGCAAGTTCAAAGATACAGAGCTAGAGCACCGCTTTGCAGAGGATTGTGAGACTATTGCGCAGATGGGGATGGCTCAGGGAAGGGTGGAGGATGCGGTCAAGGCGACCACAACAAGCGTTATTGAGACCGGATCAGACACGGCAAAGTATATCAGAGTTGAGTCAATTGATATTATCCACGACCCAAAGACAGTGAGTTTGTGTCTTGTCCCGGGAGTCATCTCGTACCATATCGTCAAAATATCACACATAATACTTTCGTTCAGGATGAACGACAAGGTACAGAACGTCTCGCTAACCTATTTTGCCTAGCGGCATCGAGTTCGAATGTGATATATAACTGATATTTAGAAACCGTGCCATCAAAGATTGCTGACACCTCGAAGAAATCATCAAAGACATCGGGCTGCCCCTCTTTCAGCTCAGGTACACGGCGCTGCGATCCCATCCCTGGCCCAGGTAACAAAGGTCTCGATGAGAGATGTATTTTCAGTAGCTGCGTGAACCCGAAAACCACCCCACTTGAGACCTTATGGGTAAGCATATGCATCGATGCGTTTGAAAATTCCAAAGTTGTTCCCGCCACCGAGATCTGGGTACGTAGACTGGCGGTTTCAAGCCCTCAATACGCTGAGCTTACCCCTTTGTAGGCAGCATTTCTAGTGTTACTGCCCAATTTCCCTCGTAGCCAGGTCCATGGCCGCTTTTCTCTGCAAGCCGCAAGTTGGATGGTGTTTTAACCGTATCACGGTCTGAACCATAATGGCGCTGGCCTTATCGACCATCACCAGCAAACTCGATATGAGTTCCACCGAGGCGGCCATGTCTATGTCTATTTCCTTACCGACCACCGCATTTGGGCCGATCTTCATTGGTCGGTTTCGGAGATTTACGGTAGACAGGCCATTCCACATGCCTCGAGCGTCTGGTTCCTGTTTTGGAATGTGGTTTGTGGCTTCGCTAACACGAAGGGGACCCTTATTTCCAGCGCGCATTTTGTCGGGCTTCGGGGCTAGTGTGATTTATGCACTCGCTGGCGGTGTTCTGGGTGATATATAAAGGCTGGAGCAGAGAGGGGGTTTACTGAGGGTTTGCTTATTCATCCTGTTGCTGGGCGCAGTTGTTGGTAAGTTTCCTGGGGTCGAACAAGGACCCAGGGCTTCCTCTTTCGTGGATTTGAATGACGTGGAGCCGATGGAAGGAGTGAATAAGTCAGCTTACTGGTCTCATCGGCCCCATCATTGGCGGCTTTATGGCCGTTCGCACGACCTGACCTGGAGTTAGATGTTCTGGGCCACGTCCATACTCCAAGCCACCATGATATTCGTATCGTTCTTCTGCTTCCACGAGCATTACTGCGCGCTGATTCTCGAAAGGTGTACCGAGCGCCTTGGTAAATAAACTGGGAACAAACAATATCTTACAGCAGCCGAACGGCTTGACGGCGATACGTCGCGCGTTAGTGAGTCTCCTTCGTCTCCTGATCTTCCACCCTGTCATCCAACTTTCGGGCACTCTGTCAGGCTTTAACTATGGCATCATTTATATAACGCTCTCTACTTTCTCTAAGCTTTAATTTTTCAGTATTGGCAGTCTGCTGAGATCAGCGGGTTACACTACATTTTCTGCTCGCAGATTGGTGGGCATACTGTTTTTACAAGCGACGACAGACGCGAAACCTTACCCCTGAATCCTGGGTCCCGCTCATGTTCCATAGCATCATTTCTGTGTGGTCGGGGGTGTTGACGTCCGGTTGGATGGCCGAGTATCGGGTACACTGGCTTGTCGTTAATGTTGGGATCTTTATCACAATGTTCTGACTGCAGCTGGGCGGCATACCTAGTAAGTATTCTACTTAAAACCTCGTTGCCCTTCCAGGCTAGAAGAAAATTCACTGACCCCAGATGTTACCGTGATAACGCATGTCATCGACTTATACGGAGATCACACAAGCAGCTCCATTGCGGCGCAACTATTAAGTAAGAGCTTAAAGACTTTCTTGTTCCTCTTATTCGCTCCGAGTTTATACAAAGCGCTTCGGTATGGATGGACCAACAGTATGCTGGCTTTGGCGGGCTTCATACTCCCCATTACCCTCCCGATATTTGTGTGGAGGCACGGCGCAAAGTTGTAGGCCAAGGATATTTGGACTTCTTGAAGAGAGGAACACGGCCAAAATAGGGGCGTGAAAGACCACTTGAACCGGGGCTTTCAGCAGCCGAGAGCGGTTATCGGGTGGCATGAGGGGTTGCTCTCGCCAGAGCTGGACGCTGTGCTGGTGCCCAATTCTTGACCTACAGCATAAACAATCAGTCGGCCAATAACAGCAATGGATCAGCTGTTCATCAGGGCGAAGGGGAGACTGTGGAAGAGGCTTAGCGTGAAGCACAGTGCCTTCACAACACACTAGTGTGACCAGGAGGTAATGCGTTGTCTTTAGTCAGATGCGAATAGATAAACATTTTGTTATGGGAAATCTAGCATTGTGTTTCAATTCCAAAATGTTTGCAGTCTGCTCGCTGGGCAAACATACCCGCGAGTGAATACGGGGGGCTGAGTTGCGAGGGTTACATTATCCACTCAGGGGATCGACATCCTTGTAACCCACCCCACTCCTTTCCTTCACCACGCCGCACTTGAACTTCAAGAATTATGCGGTTCGTAACTCACTCCAGGTCATTGTTTCCTTCGCGCTCTTGATACCACTATAAAGGATATCGGTGTTTCGGTATACCTGGCGGCAGACCAAGTCGTCCCTAACACGCCCGAGAAAGTCAACTTCAGCACTGCCGACGGGTAGTGTTAAGCGATTCTCATTATAGCATATACAGCGATACTCAGCGACATGCCATCACGCCGGTGCGTTTGACGAGTGATAAATCCGAGAACTTTTTACTGACTGGGCAGGTCTCATACAAATTCACACCATGGCTGTCTGCAATGCAAAAGGAGACGGGTCAAGTGTGATCAAACTCAGCCAGAGTGTGCCAGATGCAGCAAGAAGGGCCAGGAGTGCAATTACCAACACTTGATGTCTGTCTACGACCCCTTCCACCAATATAATGCGCCTGCCCGACAGCCAGGGGCAGCTCCATCGCCGCCCAGGCAGTTGGCGCCAACGTCAGGAGTTCAGAGGCAGTCCGCCATCTCGAATGCATCAGCGCCATTTCTGCTACCAGATTCCCTTTCATCAACTACTGGTGAATCAGCCTGGAAACACCCCTGCTTTGGCATGGCCCCTTCAATATCTCCTACTGGTCTCCACGAGTACGATTCGTCGACTCAACAACTCCTACATCACTACATAAACCATGTCTCATCCAGCTTCATATCTTCAGCACCCCACGTCGAGTTGCTCATTTCCTTCCAGTCAGTCATAAACCGTCACTCTCTATCACAGCCCTACGTCCACCACGCGTTACTATCATTCTCGGCGCTTCACCTCGCCTCACTATCAACATCTTCCAACGCCTCAACTTCCCCCTCCAACTCACCACACCTCATCACTGCCCTGGCTCATAAAGCCTCAGCTCTCGAATCCTTCCGACCCATTATCGAGTCCGTAACAACAGTGACCTGTGAACCAGCCCTTGCAGCATCCGGTCTACTCATTGCTTGCGCCTTCGGATTACCACTAGCAGGCGTCCTTTCTGACCCCATCGACCTCCTAGCCCAAATCACCTCGTTGTTCCAGGGAACAGTGGCGCTCTACCGTCTATGCTTGCGGGATACAAACCCCCTGGATAACAGCACCTCACCCAAACTCGGACAGTCCGTGCTAGCCGCGATGGCCTGCGAAGCGCCTTGGGAAGAAGCTGAAGCAGCTATTGATAAAGCCATCCATGTTATATCGCAGCTAGACGATGAAGATGAGCTCCAAATGGGGAGACGAGACGACCTCCTTGACGCTGCACGGAAACTCAAAAGGTCGCTTCGGAGGATAGCCGTGGCGCGGGGTGTATATACCCTGTCGTGCATGTGGTTCGGCATGGTGTCACCCGCATACGTCGAGAGGGTCAAGCAGCGCGATCCGCTTGCGCTCGTGCTGTTGGCTGACTGGACGAGTGGGCTCCGGAAGGTGAAGCATGTATGGTGGATTCAAGGATGCGCTCAGCGTACCGTCGAAGCTATCTGGTTTGAGATTGGAGGCCAGTACCCGGAGTTGTTGGCTTGGGCTGTTGAGGAGGCGAAGAGCGATCTGTGAGCGAATGAAGCCTCTTGTATTGCATCGCTTGAGCAAACATCTGATGGTCTTAATTCAGAGTCAAGCTGTCCCTGGATCAGAAAGGATCAAAGACTGACTGCCTCAAGACGATAGGCAAGGTCGCTATCAGGGGGCAACGAAATACGCCATGAAAACCATTAACAGAACATCTCAGCTGAAGGAGGATAGCAAATTTAGATGAAGTAGATGCCGCTGGATCTGAAAGATGAGCGTGTTGAGGACCAGCTTCCAGCGACTTGTATCAACCTCCCCGATTGACCTCTCTTGCCGCCCCGAATACTCTCATCTCGCATTACCTAGAATTTCTAGAATTGGGCGATTCTATTTCTACGGCACACTCTTAGGAAATAAAAAGTACTCCGGACGACAATTTTTGACATAATCATGGCATTTGCGATCGATGTTGAAGCTATCCTCAAAAAGTCGTTTAGGTGATATTTCATAACCTTCTTTACTCTAGGTTGGTTCCCGGCAGAAATACATCAATAGAGACAACTTTGACGCTCATTACCAAGTTCACTAAATCAATACATCACAAATTTCACCCCTGAGAACCTAGAGATCGTCACGGCTCACATAAGCCATCCATCATCAGTCATAAATGACATCCGTGCCGTCGTCGTTGTCGTCCTCCTCATAAATAGCATCCCTATCGCTCCCAATAGTATCGTCATCACGGTCCCGGCGTCGAAGCAATAAATTCTTAACCCCCGACTCATCTTGACAACCGAACGCAGATGCTTATCGGTAACGATGACTTTCTCCTGCCCCTCCTCATCAGCCTCCGTCTCGGCCAAAGCAACCGCGGTCTGCAGCGCATTTCGGATCTCGCGCCCGTTCCAGCGAAGCGAATGCACGTCCTGGCTCTCATAGGCATACTCGCGCGTAGCGACGGAGATGTGCACACGCCCATTGGAGTCACGCTCAAGTCGCTCGAAGCTGTTAAGCCAAATCTTCTCGCGGTCCGTATGGGTCAGGCTCTTATAGTGTAGTGCAACGTGGATGCGACTGGTGAAGGCCGAATCAAAGGTCTGAACTCGATTCGTCGTGAGGAATAGCACGCCACGGTAGTATTCAAGAGCACGAAGAAAAATGGACACCAGGCCATTGCGGGCGATGTCCTTGGTTCGGCGCGTCTCCAGGTAAACGTCGGCCTCGTCGAGCAGGACGATGGCGCCGAATCGCTCGCCGAGTTGGAGGAAGTACTCGAGGCTCTTCTCGACGGTGCAGGACATGGTGCTCAAATCGCCGCTCGTCAACGATAAGAGAGGTCTACGGGCCAGCTCGGCTACGCACTCGACTGTGCATGTCTTTCCAACACCTGGAGAGCCGTGCAGGAGGAAGATACGCCCTTGGCCCTTGTTCTTGACAAAGTCATTAGGCCAAGGGGTGACTTGACCATTGTTACTGCTGAACTTTCCAATGAGGGCCTTGACTGTCAGCTTGATCTCGTCGTCAAGCACGAGGTACTTGAAAGCTTCTTTGTCGAACTTCACCTCCTCGAGATCCTCGACGTTGAAGTGGCCCCAGCGTCTCTTACCAAGGATGAATCCCGAGACGACTTTGGTGAGAACCAAGTAGTAGAGATCAGAACTAGGTGCATCATCCAACGTGGGATCGAGATCCTCGAAATCGGCAAAGGGGCTTGGTCGTTCATGTTTTCCGGCGGCGCTGCTGCACACACTGCAGCCACAGCACGGAGCAAAGTAGGGAAGCTGGCACTTGGGAGGAGTAAATCTATTAGTAAATGGCGGCGGTACTTCATTGGGGCGGCCAGGAGAACTGCCAGGACAGTTCCCAGAGTACCGAGCGAAGCCCTCGCAGTCGACGATGACACGGCCTGACATGTATCCCCTAGCACCGGTTGGGGGATTCCACTCAGAGCTAGGCTCCGTCTCAACCAGGCTGCCGTCATATGACATGTGCACAGGGCCCTTAGCCAGGTCCCATACCATCTTACCGAGCTCGATGTGCTTTCTTTGGATGTAGAGCGGGTCCTCATCCTTATCGTCACCCCTGAAGAAGCGCGCTGGAATCACAGTTAAGCCCAGAATGGCTTCCTCGCCGGAGAAGGCATTCACCACGAACGAATGCATCATGCGACGCAGCTTGCTGCCTTTGTAGACAACGTTCCAGCAGTCGATAGTGTAGGGCGAGACGACTGCCTCGTCGCGAGGGTTGGGCATCTCATCAAGGCACCGGGAGATGACAAACGGTGTCCATTTGTTGTTATAGTTGACGTAGACGACCTCGCCAGGCTTGTAAATCATCCAGAGCTTATCGAAGGTGGCCTTGGGCGTACTGCTGTTATGTCTCTCCTCCTCGGCTCGGAGCTCTTTGCCCAGCGTCTTCTCGATGAAGCCCAGTAGCACATCGATGTGCTTGGCCGTGGCGAAGGCATACTCGTCGCTGTGCGTCGCAGGCTGCTAACCTTGTAACGAGCTAAAGCAGCACGGTGGTGGACCAGGACCTGGTAGGGGGCATCGATCCTGACGCTGTCGCCGATGAAGCTGGCGGCGGGGTAGTAGCCGACGACGGCCTTCAATGCATTGATGAGATAGGGAGAGTGGATCATCATCGCAGTCCGTTCGATATTGGCAATCTTCATATTGGAACCGTCCTCTTCCTTCTTCCTGGATCTCGCATTGCCGTAGGCGTATTCACCGTAGTTGTCGTTGTGAAAATATTGGTCGTACAGATTCGAAGGGGACGGAGGGGGTTGTCGTCCGTAGCCATTGCCAGACTTGTTGACGATCGAGGTTGATACTTTGGTCACAATCTCGAGAACGGGCTTGTTCTTCCGGGTACCCAAGCTGTCGTCCTTGGTATCATCAAGCTGGATTTTGATGGGCTCGGAACTTCGGTGCACTAGTTCATGTCAGCCATGTGAAAGCCATCATGAATTTTGGGACGTAGTTACTCACCCTCGGTGATCTTTCCACTAAGCCCCTTGTACTGCAAGACGTAGCAAACATCCTGCACTTCGCCATCGGCAAGCTCTCGAGCATTCTTGGACGTCGATTTAGCAATTAGAGCCTTCAGCTTGTTGACATCGTTGTCCACCCCGCCCCATTTGGACTCATCATAGTCAGCACCATGGGTGAGAAGCTTGGCGCCGATATCCTCGAAGCTGGTACTTGACCTGCTGTCATCGAAATCCATCTTGGCGTGATTAGATTGACACGGAGGATGATAAGAAATATGAGAAACTACCGTGAACGATATTGGATAGGTAGACAAGGAAGACGAGCTCAAGAAGACTTCGGGGTAACTTCAGGCTCTCGTAAACGAAGGCAGCTTCGCCCCATTATATAGGCATTGGGAAGCTTGGTATCACTTGATGAGTCTTTTGAGGCATCCCGTCCCGCAAGCTGTCTCCTCATTGCAACTAGATCAACCAATAAAGCACTAGGCACAGCTCATGCTTCACTATATAAGAAGTTGGCGGCATCAGCCGCAGGGCTCTGAGTTGCAAGGCTGAGCTGGCTGTCCAATAAATGGACGAGAGAACGGGAACTGGTCCAGGCATCCATCGACTTTTGTGAGGGGTAGGTTCATGTACTGCCATGCAACTCTCTTTATTGGTCGCAGGCTGTATCGTACGTATGTACAAGGCGGCGGAGTCATGCATATCGGCAGTCAGTCAACAAGGCATCAAGTAGGTCAGTAATCGAGATGTTAGGATTAGGAGCCGTTTGGTATTGAAGCTCCAGGCTGCCCGAGTGATCACCGTTGGAGTGGTAGCTCAGGAAGTTGATATAAAGGCAATCCTTCCAAAGAAAGCGAGACACGATAGTTTCGTGTTACTTTGAGGGCCTTTTGAGCTTTGCCTTACTACTATCACTGGGAAAAATTGGTTGTGTTGTGTCATAAAAGAGAAAAACACTTTTATTGCTCATGATGCAAACCTGCCGCCATGCCTCCCTGCCATACTAGCCTAAACGCCCATGAACTCCTGCACTTGCCTCTTTCATGCGTAAAGCTTCTTCTCGAAGCTGTCCATGTTGACCCCCCCTTCAAGTTGAGCACTTGCGGTACGGAGTTCAACACGCAGGGTGCCGTTGGCTGCACACTCATGCAGCTCTTTCAGGCTCTTGATGCCGGCATCTTGCATAGAGTGCTTGAGGCCTGCCGCGAGGTATGGTACGAACTTATTGACCGAGCCGCGGTGAGCCACAGCACCTGCAACGCCCTGAGCTACGAGGACGCTGTCACCTTCGGAGAAATAACGAGCAGTACCTGCGTTGCTGGCTTGGCTGTCCTTGCTACCAGCACCGGCCTTCTTATCTTGCATAGCATCAATAGATCCCATCCCACGGTAGGCCTTCACAATCTTGCCTTCTCGGGACTGGAAAGTGGTGCCAGGGGACTCGGTAGTACCAGCCAGGAGGCCACCCATCATGATCGTAGAAGCGCCGAGCGCGAGACCCTTGACGATGTGGCCAACATTCTGGATACCTCCATCAGCGATGCAGGGAACGCCGAATCGAGCAGCGAAGGAAGAGACAGAGTGCACAGCAGCGGCCTGGGGTCGGCCAACAGCCATGACTTCCTGTGTAATGCAGGCACTTCCGCTGCCCATCCCAATTCGCAACCCGTCGACGCCAGCGGCAATCAAGCTGGCGGCCTGCTCGCGTGTCACGACGTTTCCGCCAATGACATCGATGTCCGGGAACTCTTGTTTGATCCACTTGATCATGTCGATTTGATACATGCTGTTACCTTGGCTGCTGTCAAGAATGACCACATCGAGGCCAGCATCAACGAGCTTCTTCAGACGGGTCTTGTCCTCGGGCCGGGTGCCAATTGCGGCGGCGCATAGAAGTTGTTTAGAGTCGGGCAGCTTGGAGGCAAGAGGGAAGTGGAGGTTCTTGGTCAAGTCGGAACGAGAAACCATGGAGATGAGGTTGCCGTCCTTGTCGACAATTGGGAGCTTTCCCTTCTTCGACTTGGCCAGGATTCTGTTGGCTTCAAGGAGATCGATACCTGTTTCAGCGGTGACCAGGTCCGTAACCATAACCTTTTCCACAGTTTGCGCGGAGTCGAACTCGAACTGTAGGTCACGGTTGGTGACTATGCCAAGCAGTTTCGATCCGTTCTTGCCAGACTCTATAGACCAATTGTCAGCTTGTGGCCTTGGTAGTAACGAAAGCCAACACAAGTGAATGATGAAGAGCATCCTCAGAAAGAGCATAATTGAATCCCCATGACATTGCTGTCTATACGGTGGAACGAAAGTTATAAAATTATTTTCGTCATCATTGAATGCAGTGATCGATACGATCATGGACAGTGCGGACAGAGGGAAATAACCAGGTACAGTAGGTAACGAGGGTCAGCGGTGTCGCCCTGTTGGTTGTTCCAGGTTATTCCACTGCAATCAGGCCATGCATGGTCGTATCTGTTTGCGAGTAGAAGAGAATTGAAGCTTACCAGTGACTGGGAAACCTCCAAATCCCCACTTCTCCTTTAAGGCCTTGGCCTCTCCCACGGTAGTCTGTCGGCTGATGACGACGGGATCGACGATGAAGCCGTTCTCGTATCTCTTCACCTTTCTCACCATGTCTGCTTGTTCGTCGGGGGAGCAGTTGTGGTGAACAACACCCAAGCCGCCCTGCAAAGCGATGGCGATAGCCATCTCGGCTTCCGTGACGGTATCCATGGGCGAAGACAGGAAAGGTGTCTTGATGGCAATCCGCTTGGTCACCGGGGAGTCGAGCATAACGTCCGACGCCGGGAAGCCGATGTAGCCAGGCAGGATCAAAAAATCGTTGTACGTCAGGCCACCATGCTGCTTGGTGTCCATCAGCTCCTCGATGCTGAGGCCATCACCAGACTCGTACTGCTTGAGGAGCTCCAGAGCCTTGCTGTAGTCAAGGAAGTTGGTAGTCCCATTGACGGGAGCAGTTCCGTTGGTGGACAGCATCTTCACTTTTTGCGCGAGATGAAGGGTATAATAGAAGAAGAGAGCAAAGCAGTTAAGCAGTGCAATGAGGTCGAAGATTGTCGTCTGGCTGTTCCTCAAGGTGACGACAGGTTGACCGTGATCTCCTTCCCAAGTAAAAGAAGGGCAAAAAAAGTTGCGACTCGACACCAACTCAATTTTTTTTGTACAGAATGATTCGAATCCACCGGAGCCTGCAAGCTGGGACCAGGCTAGTGAATGCGGGGCATTTCTGTTAGAGGACGACCAAATAGTGGCATATCAACAAATAGCATTTTTGCGAACTTTTCAATGGATAAATTCTTTTCAGTCGGTATTCTCATCATCTGACGGATAGAGTTAAATCAGAAAATTCTCAATAACATGTTTGCTTGTTGCAATGGAGTGACATCAATGCTTTATTTCTTTGCTGGCATCGGGATCTTGGCAACAAGAAGTCCATCTCTAACACCAAGAAATTTCTGCAGGAGCCAATTTGCACCCGGTGCCGACAGCGGTGAACTGTGGACTGCTCTGGAGCGCAAAGTTGGGCAGCTGTGGTGCGGGGCAGTTGCACAAGTGGCTGGAATGTACACGGGTGTGATGTATGGCTGATACTTGCCTCCAAAATATGCCCGATAAGAGATGCAGTTGTCCCGGCGACAGCAAATCAACATGGCTGCAGCTACCCAACGTTCTCCTCATATTGCCGTAGACCAACCCCTCCAAAACGGGAGCGCCTTCCTTGTTAACATCAGTGTTGCCGGCTTATTAGGTCTCTTATTATGGCCTTTGGCTGATATTGGCATGCGAGTTTCCCATATTTGGCGACTGACCATGTACTCATTCCTCTTCACATAGTAATTATTACTTGTTCTTATGTGCTTTGCGTTGAGCTCGTTTACGACTAGAGCAAACACTAGACAGCGCGACGGGACGGCGTGTTTTGCTAGTCTTCATTACCAAAAATCCAATCCCACTCAAACAACGACAAACCTCGGAACGCTCAATACATTTGCGACAATATTCCCTTGGACATATTCCGGCGGCCCAAACCGAGACCCGAATCTCTCATCTTGTTTGTATTGCATTCATCAACCTTATCCGATCTCAAACCTTGATGCTCTCAACACGAGCTTGTTGAACCTTACTCGCACACTTGGACCATAGCTGTAATGCGGAATTCAATATCGGACGTCGGTCTCAACAATAATATCAAGGACGAGCATCATCCACTGTTCTAGCCGTCGCCAATAACAATGACGTACCGACCGCATCCCCTCCGGCAGTCATACACTGTCGATTATGCCAATCTCAGCATCGACCCAGTCGGCCGCCAGCCCTCCACGACATCGTCTTCGGCCTCATCCGGTTACTCCTACACATCTGACTCGTACGACTTCGGTCGTGCAAGCACCAATTCTTCGATCACGTCCTCTTCCGTGTTTGGTCCCTCCGTTCATACGCATAAGCGCGGCATGAGCGAAGCGTCCATCCGACCCGGGCCTTCGAGATCAAGTACGTACGATGAGCCGAGAACGAAGCCCCAGGACATGTACGCTTCAGCGCGACAGTCTTTGCGCCCATTGCCGCAAGCTCCAAGTCCCAGTCCACCTCCGCATAGAACATCGCCAGTGTCCCCCAAGACACCACCGCGCCATGAGCGTGGCCAGAGCCTCGACATTGGCAAGCTCTCCCTGTCCGAGGAGAGGACATCACCAAGGACATCACCAACCCCTCTCTCCCGCTCGACAAATGCCCGCCCGACCTCGATGCTTCTCACGCGCTCTGACACCTGCAGACAAAGCTCTAATGCGGTTCCCACTTATACCCCCGGCGCCGTCATCACCCATTCACCATTAGCTGCACCTGATCTTCAAGAACTTGGGCGCTCGTCCACCAGTCAACTCCGAGCTCTCTCCAAGCTGGGTGCGGCTGAGGAGTTTGCCATCACCTCACCAACACAAGAGGTAGTTGGTCTTCGTGGGCGTCGACGACTTCAACGAACTGGTGATGGACCCGGCGCGCGCCCTGGCGACCGCTATGGCTTTGGTGGTCGGAACTGGATGGACAAACAACGTCAATTTCTGCAAGCCTATGAATATCTCTGCCATATTGGTGAAGCGAAGGAGTGGGTCGAGGACATTATACACCGACAAATCCCCCCAATTGTTCAGCTTGAGGAAGCACTCCGAGATGGGGTCACATTGGCCGAGGTGGTAGAGGCTTTGAACCCCGAAAGGCGTTTTCGCATATTCCGCCACCAGCGCCTCCAAGCCAGACATTGGGATAACGTTGCTACTTTCTTCCGCTATCTTGACGAAGTTGAACTGCCTGATCTCTTTCGTTTCGAGCTCATCGACCTGTATGAGAAGAAGAACATTCCCAAGGTCATCTACTGCATTCATGCTCTCAGTTGGCTGTTGTTTCGAAAAGGCATTGTGGATTTCAGAATCGGCAACTTGGTCGGCCAACTTGAGTTTGAACATCACGAGTTGGAGGCTATGCAGAAGGGCCTGGATAAGCTCGGTGTTAATATGCCTAGCTTTGGTACCATGGGCGCCGATTTTGGTGTCGAACCACAACCACCAACGCCTGAACCAGAGGAAACGGAGGAAGAACGCATCAATCGCGAGCTCTCAGAGAATGCAGCGACCATTCTGGACCTTCAGTCTCAGATGCGAGGTGCCATGCTTCGAATGCAATTAGGAAACGTCATGAACCAGCTCTGGGACAGGGAAGAGTGGATCATCGAACTCCAGTCGAGAATCCGCGGCGACTGGACCAGACAGGTTATGGGCTACAGGCTCCAGATGAAACGTTTCGCTGTACTTCTTCAGAGTGCCGCACGTGGATTCCTCGTTCGCAACAAGATGATGAATAGGGAACATTTTTGGAAGACCAAGGAAAAGAACATCATCAAGCTCCAGAGCTTGATGCGGGCCATGAAGACCCGCAACGAGGTACGAGAGACGCGATCTCAGTTGGCACAGATGGACGGTCCCGTGAGGAGCATTCAGGCTGTTTTCAAGGGGTTTCTGGCCAGAAAGGAGTTCTTCGCTCAACAGCAAGAAACAAATCGCATGCAAGGCCCAATCATGAGGCTTCAATCTGCGATTCGAGGAATGCTTCTAAGAGAAAAAATGGACAAAGATCTCTCGCTTCTCGAGCAGGAGTCTCATGCCATCAGTGACCTACAGGCTGCTGCGAGGGCTATGCTGACCAGGAGCCAGGTTACCCGGCAACGTAATTTTCTTGAAGGCTTCGCATCGAAGTTTGAGGTTCTTCAAGCCGTCTGTCGTGGTAACGTAGCTCGCTCAGATGTTGAAGTAACCAAAGCCGAGCTTCGAGAGCACAGCCCGGAGATAACATCTCTACAAGCTCACATGCGCGCTGCGGCTGTTCGACGCGAGGTGGTGGAGCAGCTAGATGCCTTGAACGAGACTGAGCCTGCCATTCTTGATCTTCAATCTTTGGCCAGGGGCATGTTGGAACGACAACGCATAGCCGCAGATCTCGACACACTGGAAAGCTTCACGCCAGAAATAACCGGATTACAAGCACAAGTTCGCGGAACATTGTTTAGAAAGCAACATTTCGCATTCCTGGACGAGCTGAAGTCCCAAGAGGATGAGATCATCTCGCTACAAGCACTCGCTCGAGCCATGCTTTGTCGAGCCCGTCTCGGGGAGCTACTCGCAGAGCTGGAGGAGCATGAAGAACCCCTTATTGAGTTGCAAGCCCTCGCTAAGGGATTCATTGTCCGCGGCCAGTTCGCCGAGAAGAAAAGGCACTTCAACGAAAATATGCAGAAGGTGGTCAAAATCCAGAGCTTCGTACGCGCCAAACTGCAGGGTGAAGCTTACAAGAGCCTAACGACTGGCAAGAATCCTCCCGTCAATGCAGTCAAGAACTTCGTACACTTGCTGAACGATAGCGACTTTGATTTCAACGAAGAAGTCGAGTTCGAGCGGATGCGCAAGACTGTTGTGCAGCAGGTGCGACAGAATGAGATGCTGGAGCAATACATTGATCAATTGGACATCAAAATTGCACTCCTGGTCAAGAACAAGATCACGTTAGACGAGGTGGTAAGACATCAAAACAACTTTGGCGGCCACACCAGCAATATCCTTGCGAACTCCTCTATCTCATCGGCAAACCATTTCGATTTGAAAGCTCTCAACAAGAGCTCGAGGAAGAAGCTAGAGTCGTACCAACAACTGTTCTTCAATCTTCAGACTCAGCCTCAGTATCTCGCACGTCTCTTCAGGCGGATCAAGGAACAAGGGACAGCCGAGAAGGAGTGCAAACGCATTGAGCATTTGATGATGGGCCTGTTTGGATACGCCCAGAAGCGGAGAGAGGAATATTATTTGTTGAAGCTGATTGCTCGATCAATACGAGAAGAGGTCGAAACCTGCAGCTCCATCCAGGACTACCTGCGCGGCAATTTCTTTTGCCTGAGGCTACTCAGCAACTATAGCCGGTCACCTAGGGACCGGAAATACTTGCGGGATTTGCTGGGCCCTTTGATACGAGACAACATCATCGAGGACCCTGCTCTCGACCTGGAGAGTGACCCAATGCAAATCTACAGGTCTGCCATCAACAATGAAGAGCTGCGAACTGGTCGGCCGAGTCGAAGACCACTAGACATTCCTCGCGATGTCGCCATCAAAGACCCCGAAACTCGTGAGCTCTTCATTGACCACCTCCGGGACCTGAGAGAGATATGCGACCAGTTCTTCAACGCTCTTGAGGACTTCCTGCCTAGGATGCCGTATGGTCTCCGGTTTATTTGCCTGCAAACCTTTGAGGCACTCCGTCAGCGATTCAAGCGAGAACCTCAACACCATGTCCTGCAAATGGTCAGCAACTGGATCTGGCGGTTCTACCTCCAGCCTGCTCTAATTAACCCCGAACAAGTCGGTGTTATCGAGAAGACGCTGAGTCCTCTGCAGAAGCGCAACTTGACTGAAGTCGCCAAGGTCCTCAGTCAGATTGCCGTGGGCCGTCCGTTTGGTGGAGACAACATCTACCTCCAGCCCCTCAATGCCTTCGTTGCTGACTCAATGGAGCGGATGGCTCAAATCACCAATGATATCATCTCTGTGGCCGACGCTGAAAGCACTTTTGACATCGACGAATTCAATGACCTTTACGCCAAGAATAAGCCCACCCTGTATATCAAGATGACCGACATCTTCGCCATCCACAACCTCGTCGCACAAGAGCTGCCTCAGATTTGCCCTGGCCGAGATGATGTCCTGCGCGAGATCATGCAGGACCTTGGCAGTGCCAAGAACAACGAGAACGAAATGCTCGCTGCCGGGTCGTCGGACATCCAAATGTTCCTGACACCTAAACTCCACGACATGGACGACCCTGAGGCTGAAATCAAGGCTTTGTTTATGGAGACCAAACGTTGCATCCTATACATCATTCGAGTCCAGACAGGCGCAAATCTCTTGGAGATCCTCGTCCGGCCTCCAAGTCAAGAAGACGAGGTGAAATGGCAGACGCTCCTCCGTGACGACTTCACCAGTGGTGACAAGACGAAGGGTGCCTACTCGGACGTCAACATGGTGGATGTGACAAGACTTTCATACTACGACATGAAACGCAATGCCTTGGAGAACATTATGCGCCTAGAGCAAATGGGACGCATTACCAAGCACAATTACTATCAGGACGTTCTCAATGCAATTGCGCTCGATATCCGGACCAAGAGCAGGCGACGCATTCAGCGTCAGCGAGAAATTGAAGGAGTGAGGATGACACTAAGTAATTTGCACCAGAAGGCAGCGTATCTGGAGCAGCAGCGCAAGAGCTACGATGATTACATCGAGCAGGCCATGGCAACGCTGCAGAAAAATAAGGGGTAATTCATGAATCCTTCCATCGGGTGGTATAAAACTGGTTACTAACTGTGACACTAGAAAAAGGAAATTCCTCCTTCCCTTCACGAAACAGTACAACCATCAGCGTGAATTGGAACGATCGGGGCGTGTCCCCAAGTTTGGCTCTTACAAGTACAGTGTGCGCGCACTAGCCGAGAAGGGCGTCGTGGTTACATGGCAAGGCGTGGCCGAGCGCGACTGGGGTGTGATTAATTTGACCATCTCCTGTGACGAAGTCGGCGTCTTCAACCTCGAGGGTAGCCGTGGCCATATTCAAATCCCGGGTGCGAGCGCACTGGTGCCAATCGAAGATCTGCTGCAGGCGCAGTTCGAGTCGCACCAGTTCATGAATTTGTTTGAGGGCAACTTAAAGCTTAATGTCAATCTGCTCTTGCATCTATTATACAAGAAGTTCTATCGGACCCAGTAAGTTCGACATCTTCAAGTTACCAGGCGGGTGGGAAGGAAGGCGCGAGGATTAGCGCGGGGCTGGCATCATAAGGGGTTCATGAGGGAGTGATCTCGGATTGGAGCACTCGATCACGCCAGCATGAAAAGACGACAAGACAAGACATTGACGGCTTGAAATGAAGGCATTTTTTCTTTGTGGTGTTATTTGTTTTTGCGTGGTTTCGGCAGGGGTAACAGGCGATGGTAGTGTTAGTCTTGGCTTCCCTCTGTGCTGGTATTGTGATGATATTTATGTCGATAGCATTGGATGGTGTTGTAGAACCGGAATTAAAAGAGAAACGAACTCACATATACCGTGGTCTCTGCAATAAATGTGAGCTGTCCAAATGATATCCTGCTAGGTCAGGAGGCTCAGTGAGTATCTGCGCTACCTAAAGCTATACCGCACTGAACACGAGCTGGTAGTGACGGTGGTTGAGAAATGTACGATGGGAACAGTTGACTCCTCGTTTCCATATTGGATACCCATCACAGCAGCACCTATGTATCAACTTCTTAAGCTTGGTTAGGCATAGTTTGAGAAGGCGTACATTATGGTCAATTCTTATTCCATATGACCAACTGCGGTGCCTAAGAACATGGCTTGGTCGAGGCGAGTCGGCGGAAGCTACCCTAGAGTGCAGATAGAGAGCCAGTTGACCCAGATCTTAGACAGCGAAATGCGAATTGGGTGAAGACACACCCATGACTTAAAAGTTGAAGACGAGGTGGGACACTTTCTGTGTACGACCAAGAGGTACCATCTGTAGCAAAGGTAAAAATCTAATTTTGGAGGACAATTCTCAGCTGCTTGATGAATCCCACAGTGTCTTGGCAGTGCTTTACCCCAATTGGAGTGAACACTTACTTCGCGTAAGTCACCTATCCTTGTCAAGAAAACCCGACGTCAGGCTCTTTCTGCAGATATTCAGCTCTCGCTTTCAGCTCTCATTCAGGTGATTAGGTCTCGACATGCGTCCCCACGACAGCTCGATCGAAGTCTTCGGGGCTTCGCAGATTCTATAGCACCAAAGCGCTTGTCCACTGCAAGTGTAAAGCGTTCACTTGCAGTCTCCAGTACTCGCAGGACAAGTCCACGGAGACATGGGCAACATGCTCATGAGGCACAGCGACTTGATCCCCTAGAGATCAAATCCGTAGGGTGAAACCGAGTCGCAGGGCCAAGAAGAGTACAACTGTAGTATGCCAGCACTGCGATCTGCGAGTACAATCGCCCGAAAGCGTCGTGACATTTCAGGGCAGTAATATGCAAGCTTCTGGCTCAAGCCAATATGCCACCCTCCCCACATCCAGGGTATCGAATCCATCTAGTAAGCCTCTTCGTCATCTATCTCTGACAAATTTCTCCCAACTATGCCCTCTTTCCTCGTACCCGGCTCTAGGACCGACATGCATTTCTTTCCAACACCTTGCACAGTAAATATCATCGTCGCATCCAAGACAGTGTATAGCACCATCCTCGAGGCACACGATGCACCACGTCCTCTGATCCTCATCCGTGTAGCCGCACCGCTTGTAGACGCCCTTGAGAGGGCGGTCTTCAGGCGCGAATGTCGGCGCGACAGGTAAGCCCAGATCATCTACCTGAGAAGTTGGCGCTGAGGGTAGTGTACGTCCCGAACTGCCAAGTCCCTTGAGGGCTGCCATGCGAGATGTTATGTCCGCTTCGAAGTCGTCGGCCTGCGATGGGTCTGGCAGGTCGGGTTGATCTTGGAGCTCAGACGGGACTGCGGGTAAGTTGAACGAGTCGGCGTCTAAGCACCCTGATGTTGTCGGCACATCTATCGCAGCGTGACCGCTTCGTGCTGTTGATCTGTCACATTTCAAGCCAACCCCCGAGAACAGTGGTAATGTCGGCCTGGGTTCAGCTCCAGGTGAATAAGCTTTCTCATACTCTGTCTCATCGATAGCTTGTGCGAGGATATCATCTGCTTCTTGTGTCATGGGCTCGCCGTCAGAATCATCTTCGTCACTACTGCCGTCGGCGTCGTGAGGATGAGGGGCAGTGTTATCTAGGCTAGCGTGATCCGGAGAAGTGGTGCCAAGTTCTTCGAGAAGCGCGGTAACTCTCCGATGTTCTTCATCGGCGGTAAACTCGGCAGCTGCTTCTTCGAGCCACTGATCGTCTGAACCAAGTTCCGCTAGTAACTCCTCAAGCGTCTGCTCGTCAGTATCAAGTAGCGGGTCTACACCGGTGCTGCCTGGCACAACAGTGGAACCAAAGTCTTGGCCCGACTCTCTTATATCTGGGTCTGCAGATGTTCGAGGCTGTGTTGTAGCAGTGGGTATAGGTGAACTGGGACCACTCAGACGTGAGTCCGAGACGGGGACTGCAGAGGCGACCTTACACCCTGACTGGCTTCGAAGACTCTTCAGCCTGTCAGATAGAGCGTCGTCTCTGGACGTTGACTTGGCAGGCTCTATGGTAGATGCAAAGACGGGTCTTGTGGTGCGGTCAGCAAACTCGGGAATCATCGACAGGGGCTACGCAATGTAGAGCAGAAGAAAGAGAGAACATAACTTACTTTAAAGGTGGCTCTAAATCGACTGATGTGGCTTTGAGCGCATTGAGACGGTCCAACAGGCTCTTATCTGATCCCGCAGGATGGTCCATGACGGATATGTCCTTCCTAGAGGTATTGAAGATGTGGCTTGACTTGAGGCTATACGGACAGATCTTTGCCAGAAGAAGATGGTAGATAAGGCGGGCTATCACGTTATCTGCAATTGGACTTCGGGGGTGGCGAATGTCTCGAGGATGACTCACAGCTGTTAGGCGGTTTTACATGTGCAGTGCTGGTACCTCCGCCGTCCGGGGGTAGCTCAACCCCACAGTGACCAAGGCGCCTATCCAGTGATCTATTTTGGAACTCGACGGCTTGGGATGAGTTGAAGGTGATGCCTGCGATATGAGTTGTCGCTAGCACAGCCTTGCAGAAGGGATCTACGCAAGTAAGGTTGAAACAACGTTGAAGATCCGTTGCTCCAGTCTGCAGTGGCAAAGTCTAGTTTCGCAGTTGTCTGAGAAAGTATGACATCCCTCCAATCACAATCACTGGGCTGAATGCCATCGAGCGGATCTCGCCATCAAGAGTTGGCTGTTCCTAGAATGGCGCTAGGATAGGATCCCAGCCTAAATCACTAGCTCCGAAGATATCGTCACAGCCCCGACGATCCAAAACTGGTGAGATTGATGACATTAGAACGGAACCAACAAACAAATAATTCTTTCATCAATCTGCTTGCGAATGTGTTTGTTGAACACCAAAACGAAACCAACTATAATGAACTCAGAAGCGGCGGGTAGTTCACGAAAGCAGATCTAGACAAGGAACTCAAAACCAACAATGGAGTATTTACCGCTTGCATCCAGAAAGCAAGCAATAGCACCGTGCTAAATTCCAAAGGCATGAACGAGGAAAGTGCGCATTCGCAGCTCAGCGCTGAAGGGATTTGATGGAACCTGCTGTGGCAAAAGTCCAACAGGGCTCATTGAAGCAGTCATTTTCAATAGTGGAAATCAGGGAGCTGTGAGGCGGCCGTGAGGAGATGATGTGTGGGCCTAAACAAGCTTAAGTTCCGGGTTGGTTTTGGGCCCTCACCCGAACGTCTGACCTTATAGGTGTAGTGCATCTCTGCACGCAGATTGTTAGTGGATAAGATACCGGCCCCATTGAAGCGACTGAATAATGCGTACAACTTGTGTGAGAGAGGTCGAGTACTGGCTTATTTGGTCCAAGACAATTATTATTTTTCATAGCAATGGAAATGAGTGGAAGACCAAGTATTGTAGTTATTATACGCTTACAATATGCCTGCCTGGAGGAGTGTAGGTCATTGTACGAAGTTGATGAGGTCATACTGTACATCCTCCAGATACTTGGAGGGTCCGATTGCGTCGCTAAGCTGCTGGAACCAATTGCCAGGATTGAATTCCACTAGTAAGATCATGATGCGGTAATCAATTTAGCACAATAATCGCTAAGCTCAGAGGACGTGACGCCACTGAGTCCGGCTCTTAGCAGTCGCAAACGGTGCCAATGTAGCATAGTGGCATTGCTGTGTGCACCATGACGGCTGTACCCAAGCTTGGATAAGGGTGAGGTAAATACCTTAAGTAGGTGTTTGAAGTAGCGCCTGCCACTCTGAAACGCATCCGCTTTAGGATGATTTAGATTTGATTCCCACTCACGATCCAACACCCGGCTGACCTTCAAATACTTATTGCTCTAATCCTTTCCTCGCGCTCTCAACATATACACTCTGCTTGATATTGCGAATAAACTACGCAGCATGAAGTTCCTCAACACATTTGTCGTGGCAACGGCTTTTACCCAAGGTATTAGCGCTGTCGCAGTACACAGCACCAATGACGTCGCATTAAACGAGCGCACATCACAGAATCCGTACTTCGACCCGCGCGCTGCGTTCGAGGATCTATGGAAACGGAAAGGTGGTGGCGGCAGCGGAGGGTGAGTCTCAATTATCCTATCCTGGCAATAAGCCGGGCAAGGACCTTGATACTAACGTGGCTCCTACAGACGAGGTGGAGGGTCTAGTAGCAGTGGATCATCTTCAGGAAGCTCATCTAGCGGTGGAAGAGGAACCACAACGAGTACTGGCTCTGGGTAGGGTTCTGGACCAGACCTGCCATTGAATGACCTTGCTAACAGCGAAACAGCCGGGGACAATCTTTATCCAACGGGGGCGGCTCGACGACGACAGGTAGCGGACCCAAACCACAGTTTGGTTCATACTATGGAGGAGGGGCGCGGACACCATACCGGTCGGGCACTCGCAGCCCCAGTGGCATCGTCCCCGCCGTGCTTGTCGGTGGTGCCCTCGGTTTCTGGGGTGCCTACTGGTTGGCGGGTGCGTACAGCTACCCGTATACTCACCACTACTACTGGCACAACTCGACGACGAATCAGAACGAAACGAAGCCTATTAACTGCGTTTGCGAGAAGACACAAGAATGCGGCTGCGACGACAACGGAGAGCAGCAGACGGTCATCACCGGTCTGGTTGGAAACGGTACCTACAACGCGCTGAACCAATCGCTCATTACTGCTGCCAACGTCAACGGCACCGACCAGCTCTTCATCAACGGCACATTGCCCAATGGCACCACTGCAGCCGGTGGCAGCGAGGATCCATACAGTGCCGGAAACCTCCTGCAGCCCATTGGATGGGTGCCAGTCATCACGACTATTTTTGCTATGATGTATATTCTCTAAGCGGCCCGTCGAACCTTGGATAGGAAGTTCAGAATATCCAGTGGGCAAAATGGCGCTACAATTTGCTGCGTCAGTAATACTGTTGCGCGAATCAAACGCACTTTTCTTTTTTGGTGACTTCTATGGCAAGTCACTTGGGCGTTATGATTTGGGTTGTAAGGCGTTCCAGGAAGGATCGGCAATATGAGCTCGTCTGCATGGGGAATTTGGGACGATTATGCCCTGCCTTTCTTCTTGGCATGATGCCAACTTGACTGACTACACGAAGGAACTTTTACGAATAGAGACCCGATGTTATCTAACTAATCCGTCTAATCAATTAAGTACTTTGAAACTCCTCCATGAGCCAGCCTATGCACACTGGTGACACAATGGTGTGATCATGACAGAGCGTAGGTAACAAGCACCTCGAGAGTCATTCTATACTGAAGAAGTAATTTACGAATGGATACAATTGATTTTACAGATTCATGTCTAGACGAATTTCTCATTTTCATTTAATGTACTTCATAGACTCACGTCGTTACTGATGCTATCCGGGTTGTTCACCTACCTGATTTGTTACTTTGATAGTCTGCATCTTCTTCAATTTGGTCGGCTTGATTATAAAGCTGCAGTCTAGGTGGGAGTGGGGCTCTGGTTTGAATGCACGCGTTTACTGTCACCAGCAACGGACATTCGGTCCAGACACGCCACGCCGGCTCTGCAGGTATGTTATGTTCTACAAAAGACCTATAACTTAGCGAAAGAACGTGTTCTCGACGGTTTTTGGGGGTAGGGATGAAAATCTGATGTCGTAATGTGTATCGACTTAGCCCAGCTCTACAGGAGGCACTGAAACCACTGTTTACAAATCTGAGCCCCTTTGGCAATCCCACTGCTCTGATCCGAAGTTATGTGGTCAACGGTGGTTCTATTCTTCTCTGCTCTTGAAATTTTAGGTCTATTTGGACTCAACAAGACAGGGGCTAGTGTACTCATGTACTGAGAATCAAATCTGGAGCCTGCTTGCAGATGCTGGGTATGAAGCTCTTGAATCCCGCTCTATATGTGCACCCTTCCCGTGCTCTTAGGTGTAGGTCCGGACGCCAAACTCCTGTGATACACAACCACGTATGGACACACCAGCAGCATAGTGATGTGGAGTCGTCAAATAGAATCACGACTCGACTCCCGAGCTTCCTCCTCCCTCTCCTTACGTCTCTTCACACACCAATCCCCCAACTCCTTCCAAATCCTCTCCTTCTCTTCCGGCCTCAGCGTCGCAGCCAACCCGCTTGTACTAGAAGCAACAAACACCCTCGCCCCCTTGAACTCCGCGTCCTCTCTTCCGCCAGGACTCCCAACCCCCATATTCTCCCCCTGGTTCTGCCATCCATACTTAAACTCCTCCTTTCGTATCGCCCTCCCCTTCCTAACCCTGAAAATACTCTCCCAAATACTCTTGCCCACCACGCACACCACCTCAGGCCTCCATCTCGCAACCTTCTCCTCCAGAATCGCAACACCCGCATCCATCTCGGCTTTACTCAGTTCCGCCCCGTTACGGGATGGCCGCGCGACAATGTTGGTGTTCCCCAGTGCGTAGCGGGCAGGCATAGTCTGGTCCTCCTCCGCTTTGCACAGCACGGGTGTGATACGGGAAGAATAGAGAAGCTTCCAGAAGAGGTTCGATGGGTGGGCGTAGGCGTGCCCGCTGCGGGCGGTTTGGACGCCGGGGTTTAGCCCGATGAAGAGGATTAGGAGATCCGGGGCTAGGGCGTCTGGGAGTAAGGGGAGGTGTGCGTAGGTGGAGGGCGGGGCATAGTTACCCGGTCCGCGGGAGCGTTTCTTGGGGGAAGGGGTTGTGGAAGGGGTGGACTGCTTGGTTGATTTACGTTTCTTTCCAGGTGCTGGTGATACTGTGGAACCGGGCGTGTCTAGGCGGGAACTGCGGCGTGGGGAGGTGCTCGCAGATGCTGGGTTCGTATACATGAACTCGGTGAGCTTCAGGCGACCTTCGAAGCTGGGCTGCTGTGTGGTGAGCGATGCAGGTACAGCTTCGTTGTCTTCTGCACTTTTGGACGCCATTGTGGCTTTTGAGGAAAGCAGAGTATCTCGTTTTGAGGTCACGGGCACCATTTAGAATTGATCGAGCCTTAGAGTGCTGAAGAACCTTGAAGTTGGTCTACGACGCCCGATGTTCCAAGCTGCTTGTGTAAGTCAGAGTTGGCGTGATTAGGAATGCACTATGAGTCTGTGGCGGGTGGTGGCGGGTGCCTTGCCTTAGCGCTCTTAGAATCGTGGCTGTTCATCACGGACCGTCCAAGTCCGTTGGTCACTACATAGCAGATCAAATCGCGAAAGTATTTCGAGCCCTCTGGAAAGCACCCACAAGGTTTTACCAGCTTGTTGCTCACACACAGAGTCGGTCTGCTGTTCGTGTTGGCGTCATGCCTCCTGCTGTTGTTCATTTGAGCCAAGGTCTCGTATAAATCTGGCCCACAGTAGCCACAAGGGTGGGTGCATTGACTTCCCACGTACAGCGGAACAAGCCATTTTACTTTGTCCTCCATCCTACTCTTTGTACGACAATTTGAGTGACAGATACAATGTTTCCCAGTCTCTGCGATTGCTGTCCGTAATATGCGATTCTCGTCAATTCTATTTGACAGCAGCAAATAGGAGGTGGCTGCGGCACAACATGAGCAAGTTCAAGATGGGCTGTGTGGTGGCGTCAGTTGGCGGGGCAAGCTGAGGGTGCCAGGTGAAGCGAAGCTCTCTGTCCAACTACCCCCACTTGCTTGGAACAGCTCCATGGCTAAGTATATTTGGACCACTCCTCCTGAAGGTTGGGTCAGCACTAGATTACATGCTGTTCACTCCTTGTTTCTTACTCAATTGAACATACTGTCCTTGTTTGCCGATTTGTAGATCGACTGAGCTCCCGTTCCTCGTTCAATTGGCTATATACCACACCGACACTGACACCGACACCGTACCGCAACCATGGCACCGAACCCCTTCACAGCGGAGAACGTGGCGGCCCAGAAGGCCAAGTACGCCGAGGCTGGTCAAGGCCAAGTTCACGCCTTCTACGACTCTCTGTCAGATGCCGACAAGGAATCCCTCTACCTGCAACTGGAAGGCTTCGACCCCAAGAAGATCAACGAGTACGCCGAAGCAGCTCTCAACCCACCCAAAACAGACGACAAGGCTGCCTCTGTCGAACCCCTCCCAGAATCCGCTACCGCGAGTATCCTCGATTCGAAGCAGGAAGATCTCGACAGATGGTACAACTATGGACTGGAGTTGATCGCTCAGAACAAGGTGGCCGTAGTTCTCATGGCCGGTGGCCAGGGAACCCGACTGGGAAGCAATGCTCCCAAGGGATGCTTCGACATCGGGCTGCCATCTGGCAAGTCCCTATTCCAGATTCAAGCCGAACGCATCCTGAAGGTTCAGGAGTTGGCACAGAAGAAGGCCTCGTCCGGTTCTGAGGTTACGACGCCGTGGTATGTCATGACAAGCGGGCCGACCCGGGGACCGACGGAGAAGTTCTTCCAAGCTCAGTCGCTGGGTGACCTCCTGCCCAACGAGACCGAACAAGACAGACAAAAGCGCGGGTCGTACTTCGGCTTGAAACAGGAGAACGTCATCATCTTCGAGCAGGGCGTGCTTCCTTGCATCTCCAACGAGGGCAAGATCATGCTTGAGAGTAAGGGCAAGGTGGCTGTTGCCCCTGACGGCAACGGTGGTATCTACAAGGCCCTTCGCGAGGCGGAAATTGTAACGGCCGGTGGGAAGACAACCACAGTCCTCAAGGATATGGCGAGCCGCGGTGTCGAGCACATCCATGCCTACTGCGTGGACAACTGCCTTGCTAAGGTGGCTGACCCCATCTTCATCGGTTTCTCCGCAGAGAAGAAGGCCCAGATATCGACCAAAGTTGTCCGAAAGCGTGACTCAACCGAGTCGGTCGGTCTCATTCTGCTCAAGAACGGCAAGCCGGACGTGGTCGAGTACTCCGAGATCGACCAGGCGACCGCCGAGGCCAAGGACCCCAAGCAGCCCGACGTGCTTAAGTTCCGTGCAGCCAACATCGTCAACCACTACTACTCGTTCGATTTCCTGAACCAGTCATTCGAACTGCCCCACCACGTCGCGAGGAAGAAGATCCCCTGCGTTGATGTCGAGACGGGCAACTCCGTGAAGCCAGAGAAGCCCAATGGCATCAAGCTGGAGCAGTTCGTCTTCGACGTCTTCCCCCAACTTGCGCTGGAACAGTTTGCGTGTCTGGAAGTCAAGCGCGAGGACGAGTTCTCGCCCCTGAAGAACAAGGCCCCTGAAGAGGGTCTGGGCGAGGACAATGCCAAGACCAGTCGACGCGACATTAAGTTTCAAGGCAAGAAGTGGTTGGTGGAAAAGGCCGGCGCAACGGTCAAGAGTGAGGACGGTGTCGAGATTTCGCCTTTAACGAGCTATGTAAGTACAGGGCTGTCCCCGATACTGGGAAAATTGCTGACGATGATGTGTAGGCAGGGGAGGGCCTGGATGGCTACAAGGGCAAAGAGATTACGGAAAATAAAATTTAGGCGTTGGTTAATGCATCGGTTGGGTCAAAAAGGTATACAGATTTGGGGACAGACTTGGCGGTTCTTCATCCGGATACGTACAATAAAGCTTGATTACGCTACACGGCTGTCACGATGTTTTCATTCTCGGTGACGCTTCAATATGCATCCGCATATACTCTTTTCTAACAAAAATTTAGCCGTCGTCTCGAGGTGTTCCGGCGCAGAGCTTCTGTCTCTTTCTTGCCAACCCCTGGAAGAGTTACTTACTGATACGTTGGGTATACTCCAATGGCACCACAGAACGCGGTGCGAAGGCCCAAATGTCAAAACCGGGGATGTAAGGAGTTAGGGCGTCCAGGGACAATGCTGCATTCAACGCCGTCGTCACTTGTCATTGGCCTAGTCCAGAAGGGAGAGGAGTTACAAACAACCCACACACAGCCCTACATAAGTAACTTCCCCGTGGCCTATTTATGCTGGCCTTGCATAACTTCAAATGCGATTCTCTCACCATCGAAGCCATGGAAATCTACTTTAGTAGTTGAGGAAGTCTGCCGTTACTCTTCCCACCAAAGCTTTGCTGCTCTACGTTTGCGCACATTCGTCCGTCTGATACCTCGGCTGTTCCTCTCAACATGATTACCCCAGGGTGAAGCTCTTGTAGAACCTGCAATAACTGGCTTCTTGCAAAAAAAGCGACGGCCAGTCTTCCGGCTAAGATCCGAGCATCCTTCCGCGAAGCCAGTAGAGATGCATCCATGATATAAATTTGTTCAGTAGCTTCCCACGGAGTCGGAGATAGGCGTCGATGGCTACGACAGGAAGAGCATGTACATAACTATACAAGCTCTCAAGTAGTACTAGGACAATAAAAACGTGAACCACTTATTGGAATTCGCTGGTGTGCATGTTGTCGATTATCGAGATATACAAGAAGGATTTTGTCTAAATCATCTCCACCCTTTCGTACATATCCGCGTCTGACTTTTCGTGGTCAAGTACATTCACGATTTCTACGAAGAGAACCTCAATGAAGACGTCGTGCCTTACGACGGGATGCCCGATCTGCTTCACCTGGTCCTGGTGGGGGGGAAACACGCCACAAGTTTGTCCAAGCCCAGATGCTGGTTTCCTCCTGTAGTACTCGGACCGAAGGAGCTGCGAGGAAAAGTCGTGGATCCAGGTTGGGTTCTCCCTATTATTGTGCTGAAGACACTCGGCACAGCCAGGCACGACCCTGAGATACCAAAACAAGTCAAACTTCATGAATCGAGTAGGCTGCGAGGGATCCCCAATGTAAGTCAACAACTAGACTGTCCTGTCTCTACTGTATCGAGAGTCTTTAACTTGGGGAATTTTCAGCACACAATTGTCATGAAAGAATACCCAGAGCACTCTCTCGACTATGTAAATAAAGTCAGATCTTACGTCACCATGAGAAATGAGGACCACCTCATGCGCAGTCCAGCGTACTTTCTCTCTTTCCACGGATGGTTCGAACAGAACAGATGTGTCATCCTGCTCGAGTACGCTGACCAGGGCAACTTTTTTGGCTTCTTCGAGGCCAATGAACGACCTTTTCGACAAGGCTAGTTTGGCGATATGTGGGTGTGATCGACGTCGATGGCGAGATGGCGAAGATGGAAAGCTGAATTGGAAACATTTGCCTTCAATAGGTCAAAGCAACACAGTTGAAGTTAGCAATACCATGAAATTATACACAGATTTCACTCAATAATTGCTTTCGTATACGGGGCGATATAATATCACAAATACTTAAGGGGTAGTTCTGTAGCTTAACCTATCCACTCACTACACACTCAATATGCTAGAAACTATGAATTAAACACAAAAAGTCCGTTAGTTTGGGGTGCAGTTACTTTTCATCCTTCGTCACTGTTTAGTCCATTGATTAGCAGACCACCAAGTGTTTTCGATGAACAATGCTCTCGCTCGACCATCAACTCACACCGGGCGGAAGAGGCGCTATGTACCTAAACAATTCCCCCCAATGTCTGAAAGTCAATTGGTAGGTATGGACACCCTAGAAAAGATCCTCATCGCTAAGTTCAAATCTGGTCTTCACCCGCGGGTGCATAACTCCATTTGCAGCACGTCTGCCAATGGGATGGCCACCAGTACCATAAATGGAGATACCCATTAGATCCAAAGCAGAATCCATATCTTTGCCTACATATCGAACGCCCGACACGCCCTCCCATTCTCCGTACCTTAACTGCACTAACTCGAACCCGCCCAGTGCCGGCATCACCGGGTGCTCTAGAAAGGGACAGAAGAAGACCCCTTTTCGCTGCAAGCCCTCGAGGCAATTATGGATCGTCAAGTACTCCAGACGAGGGAAGTTACCATGAAGGTCGCTTAAGATTTCTTTCCAGGTCCCGGACCTCAGACCAACGTGGACGAAATGCAGAAAGACGAGGCTGTCTTTCAGACGGAAAAGAAGCTCCGAGATTGTTATCCGCGACATATCCTGCGGTGCCATGAGTTTGAAATGAGTAAGTCGGGGGAGGTTCTCCGCTGCGAGGAAACCTTGCAGAAGACCAGACGGCGCTGTCGTCATAGATGAGCTGAGTTCTGGCCATTGAAGGCATAGCTTTTTGAGGCAGGTGGCCGTCGTAACCAAGTCGAGAGCCCGTTGGAAGGCATCGTCGCGCCGTAATAGCCAGGACAGGTGTAACTGCTGTAGATGGGACGCCCAAGCATTGCGGAAAGACTCTTCTTGGGGTCCACTTGGTGGTAAGCGGTAAGAAGCAAGGTTCTCCTTCAGATTGATGCGGAATGCTTCAACTGGGAGCTGAGCTCGAGCGATGATGGAGAACAGGACAGCCACTGCATCTGATGGAGACAGATTGGAGAGTCCCCACTCGGGGTGTTGTATATCGGTAGTATGTATAGCCCCAACGTAGTTTTCGACATGGAAGGATCTGCAATTGATGAGTTTGTTCACCAACAGGTCGTTCAAAGCAATGACGCTAGGTGAATCGAACTGAACGCGGCCGGCGTTGTCTCGAGGCCAGAAGTTGCCTCGGCCAAGCGGTTGATCCCTAAATACCCATAATATGTGTAAATCCCGTACAAAATGGCGAAGCTGTTGGTGGTTTGCGATGCCCTCAAGCTTGATCATGCTGTCTTTAGACAGATCTGTTCGGACAGTGCTGAAGCAACAAGCTCCAAATGCGGGCCACGACACAGCATGGAGACGGCGGCTGGCCGAGTGCAGCGCACAAAGGTCTGGTTTGTGATCCAAATAATTGACGATCTGCGCGATGAGCTCGTTTGGCAGAGTACCCAACATGGTAATGTCTGGGGTAGGCGGGCCCTGGAGGTCTCCAAATATTGAGGTGCAGGGGCTGGCGACACCCGAGAAGGGCAGGAACTGGCAGAACTGGCTCAACGGATGATATATCTCATGGGGAGCGGGTTGGCCCAGCAGGCATCAATCTACCAGAATTGCCAAGCCATTTGCATTAATCTTCAGGTCTGGTTGGGTGAGATGTTGGGAGAACAAAAGTCCGCGATGACGTCTAAGGCTTGGATCTTACCGACGAAGATCTCATTGACGGAAACTGCAGGAGTACCATGGCCTTCCACACAACCAACAAAACATCAAAATCACGACACTGATATCTGTACTTCAAGATGGGCTTGGCCGGGATTGGAAATCCGAAGATAGTTAGAGAGGTGAAGCCTAGGGGAAAAGGAACCCAATCCCATGACAAACCCCCATGTATAAGACCCGCTATTGAAATACACCGACAGAGCTCTAACCGGGATACAGTCCCAGCTGGATATTCAAATGGTCTTGTAGACAAAGAAGGAGGCTAGGTGGTTTGGTTTCCTAGGCCGTACCAGGAATCCGGCTTGCTCCAAACGTGCAGCAATTTAACAATTGACCAAGTAGACAATATACCTTTATTTCACGACCATCTCACTGAGATGTGAGCTATCCACAGAATTCACCATCCCCAAATAGGATCGCCGCTAAGGACACACACAAGGGCCCCAATTCACTGTCTCCAACTCACTCCACTTATGAGATCACCGTGCCTGCTCAAAACAGTTCTCAACTCCACGAGAGATTCAGGGACCTGGCAGCAACTTCCTGCGACAACCACACACCCCAAACCCTCGCCGTTCAACTCCCCCTAATTCTCGCAATCATGCTTCGCTGGTAAGTGCCGCAGCAGTCCTTGTTCAGATGTGAGCATGTCCCCGTTGCACTCAAGCCAACCCCCCCTCCAGGTACCAGGCCAGGCTCGCCTCACGGCCGCTGCTCACGCAGAGCATCACGACGGCGGTGCTGTTCGCAACGGGCGACATCACCGCCCAGCAAGTCTTCGAGAAGAAGGGCATTGAGAAGCACGAGCTGGCACGAACGGGCCGCATGTTCCTCTACGGCGGTGGTACGTTCCTTCCTCTTTTCTCTCTTCTTCCCCAGTTCAGCCCCTTTCCAGTTCCCCACCACCTTTCTCATACATGCGCGCATCCTCATCCTGGTATTCACACGTACGTCTTCTAGCCGTCTTCGGCCCCGCCGCCACGACCTGGTACAAATTCCTTTCGCGCAAAGTCGTCCTGCAAAACAAAAACGCCGAGATCGCGGCGCGCGTCGCCTGCGACCAGCTCATCTTCGCGCCCACCTTCATCAGCATCTTCCTGAGCAGCATGGCCGTCATGGAGGGTGGGAGCCCCAAGGAGAAGCTGCAGAAGAGCTATATCCCTGCGCTGTCGACCAACTACCTTGTCTGGCCCTTTGCGCAGATGGTCAACTTCAAGATGGTGCCGCTCAATGGCCAGGTCTTGTTTGTCAATGTCATTTCTATTGGCTGGAACTGTTACTTGAGTGTTGTGAACAGCGGTGCTAGGAAGTAGAGAGAGAATAAAAGAGATAGATACATAGATACATAGATTTGGGATTAAAATCCAGGGACCAGGTCGATGGGCATGGGGACGGCTAATTGTCACGCACGATTTTCTCGTATGCTGTCTGGTTTTCCTTCTGTTACCAGCTCGGCTCAAGACAGTATAGCAGGCGTTTATTATAAAATGGTCAACACAGGGTCTCGAATCACATTGGAGCGCCTCATATCCGGCACATGTGGATAGTTTAGCAGTGCGCAGGGCTGGCTTTGAAGCATTTGAGGATGTCATCATTTCACTATTCTATACAGATACCATACCAACTATAGACAATCGAGAAAGAAGGCCTCGAACTCTTATATAAGGCTAAGTGATTGTGATATCCAGAATTAGCATCATGTACGTTGATGCATAAATATGCAATGGTGCTGGTCCCGAGCCTGCGGGTGGGTATATATCCAGGCTAAAGCCGTTGGGCTTGCCATCACGAGAAAAGGAACTCCTTCAGAACAGGAGATCCGCTGAACTCGGGATTCAGTAATATACAGCTTTGTCAAGTCAGCAATCCCGCGTTCCCCGTTGACGGCTCTAGCGAGCTGCGGCATACGTACTTGAGAAAATATTGCAAGCCCGCCCTCCGCTTTTCCAGAAACCTCGGCCGAAATTTCGAAATCAGGCTCTTAGGCGGCAGCTCTGGGACGGCGGCCTCAAAGTTGGGGAATGTGCGAATGAGTCGCCACCGGAAGTTATTGAACTCGGAGTACCGCTTCCGTATGTTCATGTAGCTGCCCTGTGGTTGCAAACACGTCAGTCTTGGTACCTTATCGCCTTGACCAGCTTCACCCAAACAGAATCACTACTAACATTCAAGGTCTGCACCCTAATATTGAACACGACGAACGCGCCAATATTGGTCGCGCTGCCGTTGACGACGACGTAATCCGTCACATCAACACTTTTAGCCCAGCACCCGCGGTTCCTATCATCGACACTACTCCGATCATCGACGTCGTTGTCCTGCAGCGTGATGCCGCCGACCTGCAACGAGTCGACCGACGCACTCGAAGCGTTGTGGTGATTATAGCTGGATGATGACGGGTATTGCCCATGCGGCCAGTACGGCGGCGAGGTTATGCTCGATGGTGACACCACATCTTCCTCATGCTCCCCTCGCCGTCCTGCTCCTTCCTCTTCCTCTTCATCTTCCTCTTCATCTTCATCTGCATATTCTTCACCGATCGGGGCGTGGGGTATCGTTTTGAGCCGCCGTAGCTGCTCTGGTCGCGCCGGTAGGGCCGGGGGCGGCGGCTCTGGTTCCTCCGTGTCGGTCTCGGTCGCCGGCGGCGAGGGCGGTGCTTCCACGGCAGCTACGGGGCCGCTTGCGACCTTATGGCTGCCGTTCAACCCGCCGCTGCCATTGAGATGCTGTGGCGCTATAGCCGATGCCATAGATGGGTGATGTCTAGATCCGAAGCAGGGCCACTCGTGCAGGAAGGGGCACGCGACCGATCGTGGTGGGTTGTCCACAGATGACGGTTGCGACGGGCCCAAGCTTCCTTGTGGATAAGAAACTTGAGAAAGCTTGCGATTGCCGTTAGAAGATGGTACGCGCCCCGGTGGGGAATAACGGTGATATGTCGATGGTATCTGGTATGTTCAATAGAGCACTTGAAAGGCGGTTCTCGACTGTGATAAGAAAAACGCTGGTCAAACTCGGACTGTTAGAAGATTACGTTGCCCTAGAGAAAGCAAAAAGCCGGGTCCGTCAATTGGATTGGAGGTGAACGGACTCCAACATCTGTTTCGCTGCTGGGATAGGCGAAAATGTGGGGAGATAACGGGGGCATTTCACCGGCATCTCGATATTAGCTGCAACTCGGGACCCACTATACCCCCGATGCCCGATCAACGTTTGGTCGCGACTGCCGTTCCCGCTTCCGTTTTCCTCTTGAACGTGAATGTAATTGACCCTCTGAGACAATCGAAGGCACGCATATTTTCTTCGGACGGACTCGTATACATTTATGCGGCCGTCGTTCATTTCCCAGAAACGTGACGCAGCTTCCTATCTGATAAGGGTTGCCATCTCCGAGCGAGCTCAAGGACTAGGTACACCCGTCTTGTAGTTCTAGCGCCAACGTCAAACAGCTTGATTAACTCGGCCGTTCCCCCTCAGCGTACTCGGGTATTTAATTTACAACACCCTTGCGAGGATATCTGCATGTCGACTTTAGTCAAAACTCGTCTTCCCATCCTCGATATGAATCCATCATTGCATTCATTCCTCAGGTCTTTGCAATCCCATTTCCCAGTTGCCAAAACAGGGATTACTGCAAGAATACCCACCGCCGTCCATCCTTCAGCTGTGTATCTGGTAGATGAAAACCCCCCCTGCCAGTCGGAGGCTGTGTCCCCCATCATGAGAACTGCGCATATTCCTGTTCCTGAGGCGTAGCCAAAACCTCGCGGGACGGGCAGCAAACAGATACATACAAGGTTCCCAACAGTCCGAGCACTGCCCGACGATGTGCAAGGGCAGCTGTTGTGTTGTGTCACCTGCGAGCAGACAGTCAAAAGCACATGGCATCGGCCGTAGTGGGATTCTCTTCGAGTCATACTGATCGTTTGATTGATAGTTAGTTGTGTTTATTTGACATTACTCTCTGTCTAGAATTCTGTCGAACTTTCTCTATACCAACCAGCTAGCGGCGGTCAACGCTCGCTCGAATTGAGAAACTAGTAGTGGAAACCAAACCCTCCACCCCACCCCCCCCCCCCGCTATGAAGCTAATGCAATGTCAAAACGCCGTAGAGACAACGTGCCCGGTGGTATATACCGAAACACGAAACCCAGAAATGTACAAAAACCTCTGTTTGTTGTGTCGAGTCGTGACCATTGATGGATAACAGCCACTATTATCTAAGCGCCGTATACTACTTGCTCATGCACGAGATGGACGAATTTCCCGACGAGCCGGGATTATCTCATATGACGCCTCCATCCCAAAGGTTGTGGTCCGCGTAGACGTTCTGGGCTTCCCATTGCAAGAAGTCCCCGAGGTCGTGGCCCAGGTTGTATCCCATCGGCACGACGTCGACATCTCCGACTTCGCTCTTCCCGAAGTCGAGGTCCGGCATTGGGCTCTCGGGCAGGCTGCCCAAGCTCTCCCGGTTGACGTAGGGGTTGGCTTCACTCTCGGCAGTCCACCGTCTCTTGCCGCCTTCGTCGTTGTACAAGCTGTGCGGGTCATATCCATCGAGACTGTATTTGTTGCTTGCGTGGCGCGACAAGTTGAGATCGAGGTTCTGGCCCTTGGACGCCTTCTCGTTCTTGAGACATTGCCACTTGTGTCTCGCACTATAGGGATTGTCGTTTTCGATCTCGCTGTAGGAAAAGTCGCTGCAATCCCCGCCGGAGATGGTGCTTGTAGGGCTGTGGACCTCGGGCTCCTTGGTGATGAGTTCGCCAGCGCCGTCCAAATGCAAGTCGTCCCACCACGCGAAGAGAGTCTCGAGGTCCTCCTGCTCCCATCGCCGAATCGTGTCCTCGCTCTCGGAGTACAAGTCGCCGGCACTGCTGATGGCGATTTGAAAGGCAGTCCAGTCTAAACCTTCGTCTACGCCGATGACGGGGTCGGGGTGAAGATCTGATTTTGCTAGGCGTATTGGGCCATGGCGGAAGATGGGGGCGGTTATGGTGCAGGGTGATGATCGAAGAAAGATATAGTCTGCATCCGCCACCGTTTCTCTCGAGGCCTTGGGGCTGTTCTCTCGAAACAGTTCATCATGCAGCACAGGCCCGATCTCTGGAATGCTGGGGAGAGCAGGAAGCTGTTTCCTAGACATGTAGCGCAAGGGCCCCCGGATTGGTGGCATCGGAAACGTCACATTCCTATAGGCCATGGCATTCTCTTGTCCGGAAGACGGCCGCTCCGGGGTTTGCAACGCCTCCCAGCATACTTTCTCGTCCTTTCGTTCTGCTGAAAAGTCGCGCTTCACGGCACTGTCGAATGATGCCGCTGCTGGTTTATTGCCGACTGGTGTGCTTGCTGCGAGCGTGAGCCCCGAAGATCCTATTCTCAACGGTAGATCGTCCATGTGGAAAGGTTCAATGGGCGTATCCGCGGTTGACTCGGGCCCCCCTAGCCTGTGTAGCGTCTCAGTCGAGCCCTGTGTTTCGAGTTGAAGCTTGGACTGCCTCCGTAACTTGTATGCCTCGAGCTCGGCGGGAGTTAGCATTTCATCCGCCTCGATCTTCTTGAACAGATGGCCACTGAACAAGTCGGTGACGTTGTCCGTCAGCGTCCATCGTGAGCTGTTCTTGACGGCATTTCTCGTGGGTTGGGTTTTGCGATGTGGTTTCATTTGCTTCAACTTCTTTGACTTGTTCCGCTTGATCCTCGACACTGACGGATTCCGGGTTGGGGATGCGAGGGGTGGAATTGCGAGTCGTTGTTGATGTTTGTGTCTTGAACTTTTCAGATTCAGAATCGGTTTCAGAGTCGGTGATTCTGCCACCACGAGGGGTGCAAGTTTGGGGGTTTCGTTGAATGACATCCGTGCAACATAGACTTCGGCGAGAGCGCTGCCGGCCGCTTGAAAAGCCTCATCAGTTTCCCGGATGAGCTGAGTGATATTATCAGGTAATGTTGATGATAATGGGTCGTCTTTGCCACAGACTCGATGGTCTGGAGATGCCGCTTTGTCTTCGGGTTCAAGCGATAAAGCTTCCATAAAACCGAGCCTTGAACTCGAGGGCCCTGCCTTGTGCCTCTTGGTATGCGGGGGGGACTGGACAGGGTCTTTCAAGGGAAACCGCGGTGAAATATCCTCACCAGCGTATGTAGTGGCGCTCGAGAGTTGAGGCGAGCATTCGCTTCGTTCATCCTTTGATGATAGGGAACAAAGAGGAGACCGTCTTATTCCAGCAAATCTTGGGGAAGCAAACTCGCCATGCTGCTCGCAGCTACACACTGAACTAGCCGAAGAACGTGGGGTCTCATCTGGCAACGGGGGCAGGGGCGTTAAGACATTATGGACGCTTTGGGGTCTGCTGATAATGATCGGGGCTGGTGGTTGTTTTGTGCTCTGGGAGCGCCTCATTAACCACGACTCTTTTCGGCTTTCTTGACTGGAATGGGCCCGGCCACCCTCATCGCTGTCATAGTCCTCGTCCGCATGTTTGGGTTGCCTTTGGGAGATCAACCTCCGTATGTTGAATCCAGCCTTGGACATGATGATGTGGGATGACTTGATGCAAGGGAGCGTTCAAGCAAACAAAATCGGGGGGGGGGGGGGGGGAGGGGCGGGTGGGAGGAGATTACATGGGATTCATGGATGGGGAGTGCTAGAGCGAGCGCGTGATATGATCGTCGAGAGTTGGGGAAGACATGTTGGCCAAAGAGAAAACAGAGAACAGTGGACGTTACTGCGAGCTCTGGAAATGCGCGTTGACAAGGCCGTGGGACGAATAGTTATAACGCAAGGGAGACATGCTGAGGATCGGGGCCCGTCGCAACTTGTACCTGAGCGGCATAGGCGACTTACACGAGCGTGGCGCGGTCAAGCGACGAAGTGGTGGGTTGCGCAGGAAGAAGCTGCCAACCTGGTAGTCCATGTCGAGGTTGGCAGATTGGGGTGTCAAAGGGGGGCCGGGGGGGAGTTCCGGGGTCTGTTATTTTTGTCGTCTATTGGCCCATAATAAGCATTCAAGGTTGCTATTTGCGAGTTACGTGCATGTTGCGAAGATCGCCCGCCCAGACTAATCCCAACGGTCATGTTGCAGATACGTACTTGAATACTTGGTGAGCCTTGTTGGATGCATTTCCACTCTTTTGATATTCCTGCGTGCTGGAAAACCAAGATGACCGTCCGAAAGCCAGCTGGGATAACCGTAACACCCGAAAGCCTGAATCGGTAGGTCGGTCATTGGACAGGAGAACGGGTAGTGGCAGGCGAATATAGTTGACTAGTGACCAGACTGTGCAACCAGCTTCAACAGCGGCCAGATGCATTGGCCATTCATCTACACGAGTGTGGTTAAGCTAATGACCCGACCCTACATCCCAGGACATCTGGAAGGTTGTTCGTGTCTCGGCGCGGCCTATTGCGAGAGGATACAACATCAGGCTGTATCAAAGTACAATTACCTTTGCCAACCTGGAACCTGAGGGTCCACGGCAACGGTACGGGGACCGTCACTGTCCTCCACAAGAGCTCGCATTGCTGTATTGTCTCGAGGCAAATACTTGCACAGCATGCCTAGCAGATAAAGTGAAGATCCCTCCACTTGTTCGATCAATCAGATTCGGCCGCAGATTTAAGACTCTGTCCAGCGGGTGGTGCTCATCAGCCCCGAGTTGATCGGGCTGCAGCAGGGCTGAACGGCACCACAACGGGTAGGTAGCTAAGCATGGGGACAGTCATCAAAGTGTGGCAGGGGTTCGGACCCCAAGATAACTCGCGAGACTTCCAGACAGGTGATTGGCCGTGGGTGGATGATGAATCACGGATCGCGGGTAGACCGTGTCACAATGGAGGGACGGAAGCCCTGTTTAGAGGGCAGTGGGTGGGCATTTGAACCTCTCCAGTCTGCCCCTCATCTTGCCATTCCGACAGGCACATCTGGATGTAGGTTGCTGTGCCCCTTATACCAAGTCAAAAGAAAGGCCGCATTGGGGGAGTACGAAAATATGGGACGTGGATGGAGAGGAAAGGATGTTCGCATGTCCCCGGGGTAGGACGGCAGAGCTTGGAATCTTCATCAGTTCGAGCAAAACACAGGCCGATCCCAGCTGTCGGCAGCCGAGTTTACAGGTGGCATCATCCACTGACAGCCCAAACGGCAGCTGCAAAACTGTACCTGGGAGAAAGCGTCAGCTCAGCCGACGATAGATTGCTGGCTTCTTTGCTGGCTTACAATCCATTGTTGTCAGCCCAACAAGCCCAGCCGCCCCGAGGACTCCACGCACGTTGACACCCTTTTCGAAACCCCATTTTCTCGTGACTGCAGCACAAATGTTATCTTGTCCACGTGTCATAGAGCGTGATCTTCCCCGCATTGACGATCGTTTTACACTGCATAGGAGTCTGGTTTGCTCGCGCACTTCCTTCTTAGAACCAGCAATCAACGTCGTCACGGAACTCAAATGCAGGAGCAAAATATGAATGTAGTAATTGTTTATCGGGAGAGGGGGGATAATTACCCGAGCATCTCATCAATCAATCAACATCCCGTCACTTACCTCATGCTGACAAGGACCGTTCTGCAGGTTCCTGCCGTTCTGACCTGAACGATGTCACTTCACAATATCACCCTGCGCTTTTCATAGCTGTCCAGGATTTCGCCTGACGTCCAAGCCCAGTTGGCCGCAGCAATTTGTAGACAACAATACTGTCATCATTGCGAGGAGGCTTCTATTCCCGATGGGCCTAGATGTACCTCAAATCGGGGTCGCAAATAGATATTGCTACTGCCTTATAGCAACACTTCCTCTTACATGACCCACTTGGACGAATGGCGTCGTGGTGACGAACAAGCAGGGCATCGAGTAAAGGCACTCGTATGTCATCCTTACCAGTTGACTGCGTCCGTTGAACTGGCTGGCGGTTATTATTAAGCAATCAAATACCCCTGTCACTGCCGCATAATCGCGCTTCTTCGTTCTGTCCCTGCTTTGCCGGCAAGCCGGCCATATTCAGCCTTCTTGCGTTCCCAGTAATTTAGCCAATCTGACTGACCTTGCGATGACCTGTCAAAGTGAGATTCGGCTGCCGACTCCTACTCTGCATCTTCTACAGGGCTTGATGTGCTGGATTCCTCTGCAATGAGCCAGGATCGTCTGGGCCATTGCAAAATTCCAAACGCCCGTTTAGGGTGGATACCTGCAGAATGCGTGAAGTGACAGTAATCAGAGTGGGGAGACACTCTTGGCTCGAAGACTTTGGGATCGATAGGAGACCTGTTTCTCACCAATACCTAAGTATACTAACGCAGTGAGACCCAAGTGGTGTTGCATAAGCCCGGATATCCACTGACTTGGTAGTCACTTTTATAGGTTCAAGCGCTTAAGCATAGCACGTCATCCGACAGACCAAGTATATTGCGCGGCTACCATATCGCTACTACTCACCGAGGTAAGCAAGGTAAGCAAGCGGATAGGAGACAGTTGTTCCTGTTGCTATACGTAGAACCTGCGCATCATATCCATCGCAGGCACAATCTGGTGCCGCATGCCCTTCCCATCTTCTAAGCCACCTGGCAACCCAACTCCTGTACCATACACCATGAGGTGGTTGAATCGCTGCTTCATTTCGCGTTGTACAACTGCCCTAACCCGCAGCATCTGGAGATTTTCACCACCCGAATCCGAAACACCCGCCGCAATCTGTGTTGTCACGCCACAGCGCCCTGAACGTAAATTCCTGCCCAGTTCCAGTGCCAGTCCCTTGCAGAAAATCCGCTTACAATACCATGGTGCCTAGGACATACTCAAACTCACGGCATGGTAAATGACTCCGCCACATTGTATGTTACACGTAAAGCGACCATTCGGCCCTATTGCTTTCCCTCTCTCGCGAAACGGGATAACTACCTGGTGGCAATGCTATGCCAAGCAAGGGAGTCGAAGATGCAAGAAGGCTCTCCCCGCCCCCATGTACACGCCAGTTTCCAGGACCGTCCTTGCTTCGATTTCTCTGCTGTGGTACGGGAAGCGCCGTCAATATTCGAATCGATCGTGGTGCTACCGTATGTTATGGCCAAATATACCTTTTTGTCGACGTTGCTCTTGGTCTTATAGAACATCGTTCTCCCTCTTCATCTGCCGCGGCGTCGAGGTCTAAGCTGAAAAAGCGTGTCTGGGTATGAGGACATATTTCTCTTCGGGGCTTCCACTATCTGGGATCTCGGTATGTTGGTGTTTGCTGCTGCCGCTGAGGGCACCGATTTTTCCGCGGATCTATGAGAGAGGGGTGATGAGCAGCTCGAGGCAGGGGGTGCGCTCGTCAGTTGAGTTGGAGAGGCCTTGCATTGTTGATGGGTATGTATCGCCGGTTAGTTCGTGATAGTGCCAGTGAGAGATGTTATTATTGAGCGCAAAGCTGCACGTATCGTTTTCAAATTCGTATACATACCTTGCTGTGAATTGGAATGTGTTGGTATCAAGACTGGTTGACTTCTTGAGAATGTCTTAAGATGAAGTCTTGGAAATGCCAAGCACCTATGTCAGACATGACATTGTCATCAAAACAGCGAGCCGCAGTCTATATACCGATAATGGTCTTCAGAAATGGCCAACCACTGCCACAAATCCTCCATCTCCATGTCACACCGTAGGGCTGTTTGAGTCTCAGAACTTAGACAAAAACAGAACCTTCCTTGGGTCTCACGCAACAGCGCGCTGAAACTGCCATTACAGCCTGCCAATCGTGATTGCCCCATTTCTAAACATGGCCAAAATGAGCCATTCATGGCAGTTCGACGTATACGTGGCCAGACACAGCTGACCATATAATAACAAAGCAATGCGCCTGAACATCCGGGACCCCCGTGGCTGTGCTTTGCCGTCTTCGGCTGCAACATTGTTCTGCGATAAGTCATAGATGCTATCAGCATGAAGCAGATTTCGGCTGTCTATGTGCCGCGAATCTCGCCGGCCGTGGAAGCGGCGAAAACGTATGCTAATATCGGCCGAGGCTTGAACGGAGAAATCGGCAATGAGGTGAACCAATCTTCAAGACAGAAGTAGGCAACCGAAGTCTCAATAAAAACAATGTTGTCTTAGGCCGGGGTTCAGATTGACAACATCCAAGGATGGCGCCGTGGGGCTACTCCCAGTCGAGGCAGCATGCGGTTTCTTCTGGTCGTCCCCGGCTGAATGACGAAAGAAAGGAGTCTAGACAGTGAAAGTCGACAGCTGAAGGCCAGTATCCATGCGGCCTAGGACCCTCAGCGCGTTACGAGGAAATAAATCATGTGTGGATGCTCCATTGTGGCTCAAAAGCATACAACAGCTTCTCACAGTGGTCCGATTTGAGTCCAGTCAATTGAACATGTCAAATGTGACCCGGCGCAAGCATGATTATGAAAGCTGTGAATTGGGCTGATCTACCTGCAGTGCGCGTGAAGCGCTACTTAGCCTCGAAGACATGCTTTTTTAGTCTAGATGATACCGAAGCAAAATCATCTGGACACTTCAGCGGTTCAACAACTTGAGGGAGCCAATTCGGTTAAACTTGAGGAGTCGACGTGCCACGACAAGATGCCATGCCAATGAGGCACGACCGGTAGCCACTATACCTCAGTTCATTCCTCTACATCTCCCTCCTCATCCTCCTCGTCCTCCTCCTGGGTGATATAGGGTACGAATCGGAAGTCGAGGAAGCTAACCGCACCACCTTCAACTTCCACCATGAATTGCAGGCTGAGCACACCTTGGCCGTCGCCACGAAAGCTGACTTTGCTTGCTATGCGCATCGCTTCGCTAGCTGACTTGACCAGGTCAAACTTGAAGCTCTGAACCCATTTTTCGCGTACAGAGAACGTCTCGAGTAAGTCGCGTCCGCTTGAAAAGTCGACACTTGCGCTGCCAAGGGATCCGCCGCTTGATAGACTCAGCCATGGCACATCAGTAGATGCCATAATGGTGATTCGAGTAGGCGACATGGGTGCCAATTCAGAGAGACAATCCAACAACCATCGAGCTTGCATGATGATTTTGAAAGAGAGGTCGTCGCGATCAAAAGGGATGTCGTCCGGTTGCTCCGGGGCATAGGTCACCATGTTACACCGCGTCTTTACGCCTGTCTCCTCCAGGATGATGCTGAGTGGTGATCCATCATCCTCATATAAGAGACAACAAGTTCCAGGCATACCCAGAGTTTGATGACTGAACGCATCTGGGCGATAATTTCTAAGGTTGCTTCGATATGGCTCCGCATCTGCTTTGGCTTGCTTCGCGGCTATATCCGTTGCGCCAAATATTTGCAATGCTTCCAGGAAAGCGGCCAGGTTGATCTGAAATTGAGGGAGGGCTCCATCCTCATTCTCAGCTAGGTTTAGAGTGTATGTAGTGAATAGAGCCTTGTCCAAAAATGCCACACCTGGTTCTGGTTATCATCTGGAGATTGACAAGTGCATACAACACCGGGTGTCCTACCTTGCATGACCCTGGAGTGATCGGCTGCGAACCTGATTCCATCCTGCGTGATCTGCACATGAACCTTTGTGGTGAAGCTGATGCACTTCAGAAGTTGGTGTATTTGTCTCGTGGAGCTTGCGACCGCCCGAAACAAAGGCGCCTGGGGTGGTACTGAGCCGATAGAAGAGGCCATGATGAAAGATGAGAAATTGGTGTTGGGTTTGGAAGAAACGATGCCTAGATCTCGACCCCGGTTTCTTCACGGCCAGAAAGTGGTATCTTAAATAATGCCTTTGCACGCCTCAATTCAGCTATTGTACAGGCCCACGGATCTTTCGGGCTCACGATGCCTTTTCTGGGTATCTTCTCTCCCTTAGACGTAGACTCCGACTGCGCAGAACATGTAGACCGTGCCGACCCTAAATCCAATGTTAGATATTTTTCAACAGCAGAAAATTGTTCGAATTGAGATCACATACGCCAATGCGAACGAAGCAGGGATGCCGAGTAAAGGTACGTTGACTAGAGATCGATCTATGTGGTGCACGTCAGTCAATTGTCTCAACAGTACAAACCCAAGTAATCTTACTCAGGGTGAAGGCACCTGACAGGGCTATGCCAATGAGAATCAGGGTGAATCCGACGGTGAATTGGCTTTCCTTGCCGACGGTGGGAAAGAATGGGCTGCCTGGAGCAGTTTGCCAGACCTCATGCAGTGACGAATCCATGAATGATGATGGGTGGGAGGTTGGCCGAGGTGATGGTTACAGTGACAATGGTTTGGGGTGAATGTGGAATTTGGGGTTTGATTTATGTCTGCATCGCACGCAAGTTACAAATGAAGGTGGAAATTATGAAATATCTCGACACCTTGTTGAACTCGGGAAGCTGCAAACTGATTTGCATTTGCCTCTCACAAGCTTCGGGTCAGTGTCAGTTGCAAGGTGGCAGCTACCAGCATTGAGCCGCACATCTCCCAGGCTGCAGATCTCCGCTAGGAACATACATATTCCTTCCGACAAAGCTCCGAGCCCCCGCGCATGGGTGCCTGGGGACCCACCGGCCCGCACTTGCCCCGGATCAACTCCATGTCACGACGTCTTCCGCTTACTGCACAAGATGGTTCTTGCAAGTGGAGCGCAGTCCATCGACACGGTCTACCCCAGATGTTGTCGCAATGGTGGTAAAGGAAGAAAGTAAGCTCTCAGCCCTCTTCGACAGTATGTTCATGTTGCAGACCGCTAACAGCTCTTTTGCGCGACAGATGCCAAGCGCAAGGCGAGCGACGAGCCTTCGTCGCCCGTGGCGTCGAAAAGGGCGAAACACAGCGACTCGACTGAGCTCGCGACCAACAAGAAACCTGCAATGAAGCCCATACCTTTCCCCGAAAAGGTAGATACCACCCTTTCTACTTTCAGCAACGGTGACTTCTTTGCCCGCCAGTACTTCGAGCCGATTAACCCAGATGCGCCTGTGGCTGTTGCAGATATCAGTGACATCGCACAGCACTCCTCCCCAATAAGAGGTCAAGTGGTGCCGCATCTTGAAGAAGACAACGACGAAAATCCAGAGAAATCAAGCGATGACTCTGATACCACCTTCCTCTTTCCTTACAGCAGCAGTATCGGGCAGGACGCAGTAGCACTCTATTGTGGACACTGCCTCCAGAATACAAGCCTTGCTAACACACAACTTCCTCAGTACGGCGTTATCGAAGAGAGGAACGGCGAGATCGAGTTCCGTGTAGTCAATAACGACAACAAGCGTGAATCTCTAATCATACTAACAGGCCTCAAATGTATCTTCCAAAAACAATTACCTAAGATGCCGAAAGATTACATCGCCCGACTAGTCTACGACCGAACACATCTGTCAATAGCCATTGTCAAAAAGCCTCTCGAAGTTGTCGGCGGCATCACGTACCGACCTTTCAAGGGACGCCAGTTCGCCGAAATTGTCTTCTGCGCCATTAGCAGTGACCAACAGGTGAAGGGCTATGGCGCGCATCTAATGTCCCATCTGAAGGATTATGTGAAAGCCACCAGTGATGTCATGCACTTCTTGACGTATGCTGATAACTACGCCATCGGGTACTTCAAGAAGCAGGGGTTCACCAAGGAGATTACACTCCCAAAGTCAGTGTGGATGGGCTACATCAAGGACTACGAGGGCGGTACCATTATGCAATGTTCGATGCTGCCCCGGGTGCGCTATCTTGAGATGGGTCGAATGCTTCTGAAACAAAAAGAATGCGTACACGCCAAGATCCGCGCCTTCTCAAAATCGCATGTTATTCACCAACCGCCTAAGCAGTGGAAAACCGGAGTGACGGCTATCGATCCTCTCTCCATTGAAGCAATCCGGGCCTCGGGCTGGTCCCCCGATATGGACGAGTTGGCGCGCCAGCCTCGTCACGGACCGAATTACAACCAGCTGCTTCATCTCCTGAACGATTTGCAGAACCATCAATCGGCATGGCCTTTTCTCAACCCCGTTAATAAGGATGATGTTGCCGATTACTACGACGTCATCAAGGAGCCGATGGATCTCAGCACCATGGAAACGAAGCTGGAGGCAGACCAGTACGATACACCGGAAGCGTTCATCAAAGATGCCAAGCTCATCTTTGACAACTGCCGAAAGTACAATAATGAGACGACTCCATATGCGAAGAGCGCCAACAAGCTCGAGAAGTTCATGTGGGCGCAGATCAAAGCAATCCCAGAGTGGTCACACCTTGAGTCATAGAGGAAGCGCAAGGTTAACCAACCCGGGCGCAGAATATTCGACGGACTGGAGCTGAATGATAATGACGTACAAGAAGTGGAATAAACTGGTACATGCTGGTTTGCAGGAACAGCAGAAGGGTTGGGAATCGGTTGGGCTACCATGCTGTATCCCTCGCATCGAGCCGCCTTCCATCCTCATTGTCGTCTGCTTCGAGCAGCATCGCCTTTCCCACAATGACCCCATTTTCCATCTTCATCTAGGCCGGTCGGCCCGACTACTTCGACTACCTCCCGGATCTAGATGGATGACGGGTGTCATGTGTGAAAGAACTCTCAAAGAAAGGTGGTAGATGCGGCCCGGATTTCTCCAGCCAAAACCATAGACTTGTGTTTTGAAGGCGTATATAGGAACCGTACGTGACTTACTGCTCTGATAGTGCATATCTGGAAGGCAAGCATTTGGCGTTCAGGATTGAACCGACAAAAGGGCCACCCGGGCGGAACGGTCTGCCGGTTATATGTATTATTGGTCATGGCTCAATTGGCATTGATGAATCTGAGTAATTGTACATCTTTGTTTGATGGTTAAAACGAAGCCGACTTTGCATTCATTTGTCCGATGAACGACCGTAGGACGGCCAGTATTGCGATTAGAAAGCCAACTTTGGTTGCCAATAAACGGGGAGAATGTGTTCCAATCTCGAATAGCATAACTGACATGAGCTAGATGGGGTGCGAAGGGGGGGACTCCGTTGCAACTAGAATCCTCGCCAGCTTCCACAACTAACCTAGGAGGCTTGGTTTCTTGCGTCGGCGAGACTACTATGTTGAAAGCCTTGAGGGAGCGAGCGATATTTGATGAGGCCACGGCACCGGTTGTAGACTCTTCTCAGAAACTCATCATTTATGTTCGTCGAATCTGCACACCTCAATCCAGCAGCCCCTTCGTTGCCTTGCGCGTTTGGCGTGCTTAATCCTCCCCAACTCCATCGCGGTACGGGTGCTTCAAACGAAATGATCCGTCTTCGTTGTGGTGAAAGGTTATTAACGCTGAGACTTCTAAAAAGTATGTACTTTTGGAAGCATGGCACTTGCTGAACTCAGATATGAGGCAAAGGGGGGGAAAGGGGGGTTGGCGCTATTCAATACAACATCTATCCGAAGAATAATTGCCACGAAGGAGCTGCAAGTAATCCTTGCTGCCCATGGCCAAAGATGACTGTTAACCACCTCAGGCAGAATCCCCTTAACTCAACTCTATCGAGACTCGCTACTGCTTTTCGTATGCATGGGGGCATAGAAGCCAGGTCGATCGAAGGAGCTACTCAGTTGGACTTGTAAATCTCAAGATACCTACATAGGATACGCAAAAGGAAACATAGCCCCCGTAACAGCAGCCAAGTAGCTTGTATTGAGTAGGTGCATCTTGAGCAACACGTCCATGTACTCGCAGTCAACAGTTTGAGCCAGTCGGCCTTTCCATTTCTTCGCTTCGATCCTGAATACAACACCACTACGAACCTCGATGCAATACAATGAAGAGCACACAATAAAGGGACATGTGGTAATTAATTGCGGAGTTCCCGTCTTAGTTAAATCGCCCGCAACCGCGGCACGGTCATTTCCATGCCCCCATCGTGATGGATCCCACACTCTAAGCATAGACAGCAGCAAGTCAAGTTTCCCTCCAGATCTGCCAAAACGCAACGCATGCTTAGAGCGCCCCCTGTGTGCCCTCCCCATGTAAAAACTCCATGCTTTGCTAATAACTCGTCATCTCAATTCGTCCCCTACGCCACTACCACTCCATAATCATGGAGGTCGGAAAAGCAACCGCAAATTTGGGACAAATGACGCAGAATGGGTATGCTTGCTGGATGGCATGATCGGCTGCCTCTAAGTAAAGCCTCCGCTTTTCTTTGATGTCAAAATTCAAGTATATGCCATGGAAATCATCCTAAAGGTCCGAAATGTGCTACGACAACAAGACTATTAGGGCTAAGGGGAAAAGGATGAATCATGGTCATTAAGGCCCTTTGATGAAGGTGGTGTCGTGTTCGGAGCTAAAGCCAAGGGAGAAATGGGGGTATCGATGCTTGTGACTGGTGATGGTAGTAGAATTTCAGCGTTTCTGATTCTTCCCTTCTGCTCCGCAGGTCACACCGTGGATTCTCATGCTCCCGGCTGGGCTGTGCGTTGCACACGAACATTTCCCGATGCTGTGCTGGTTCCGCGGTCGCCTACTGGGAGGCGAAGATCCGAATACGTCCGCCGCCAGGGCGAATAGGCATGTCGACTAGGTGAGGCTCCCGACGTAGATGAAGCGTTGTTTGCGGTTGCTGCTTCTGTCTCGAGAGTGCGTCGAAGCATATCATGCAGGAACTCGGGGATGTCTTGCCAGTCGCCAGATCGAGCAGCGCTTAACATCCTCGGGGGGAAAAGCGCTTGGGGAATCAACATCAGGTCGTTGGACTGTTGGAGGATTTGTTCGGAAAGGAAGGGAAGTTCGCCAGAGTCGATTGCGTTCTTGAGCCACTGTTCCCATTCCTCGTCCAGAGGCTCTGATGTATCGCCGGCCTCGTGGCGCGCGGCTCGTTCACGCAGACGCTCATTCAGCGCTACACCAATGCTCTCCAACTCCCCCTCGCTCTCCTCGCCTTCCATATCCTCATCCTGACCCTCGCACGCGTCGTCCTCCAAATCATCAGTCTCCCCGCGCAACGTCGCACGTAGAGCAGCCGATCTGTCCTCCGGCTCGATCCAGTCGGGAAAGCCCGCGTCTGCAGTGTCTACGATGGTCTCTCCCGAATCTCTTTCGTAGCGCTCCTTGGCCCATTTGGTACCCTCCCATTTGGTAAGACCTGCGATCTCGGCGTTCGTCAGGCGTAGGGCATCAAATGCCCGAAACAAGCGTCGGTGCCAAGGCCATCGTCCAAGTCGTATTCGATGGATGCGATGGCAGTAGTCGAGGCCTGGATACTTTGCTTCTTGAGTGTCGAGATGTCCGTAGAAAGAGTGCACTTCCTGGCGGACTTCGAGGATGAGGTGTCGGTGGAGGAGTGCGTGGAAATGCTGAGGGTCGGTGGGCCGGGGCTTGGGAAACATGTACTCGTAGACGATTTGGTCGACCGGGCGTCCCTTCATCTTGCCGGTATTGTGAAGCACCTGGAAGTCGGGGACGGAGGAGATGGCAACCCTCTGCTCTGCTCGCCTGGGAAGAACTCCAGTTAGGAGTAGTAGACGCGGAGTCGATGCAGCACGCAGCCAACAGTTGGGTGGTTGGTTGCAGAAAATGGTGGAACACGGTGAACCGCGTGACCTGGCTCGAGTGAATCTTTTATTGTCGGTGATTGACAATCTGATGCTTCGGGATGATTGCTGGTGAATTTGGCGAGAAAGAGTCGAAGTTGAGTGGACGTGTGGCCGTCGTCGTAAGAAGATCAAGGCTTCGTTTGTGTGAGAAGGATCCAGGCGGGGAGATCCCTGGAAGACAGTCAAAGCCGTGAAGGAAGCTTGTAGAGGGGCGCCAAGACACAGGGAAACGGGATCTGTGCTTCTGCGACAATGAGATATTGGCCGGCCTGAGCACCTGACTTCGGGGAACCCAACACTTTCGGATGGAACTAGACGGCGACAAAAATGAATTCTAAAACGTGGGAATGTGGTCCAACGAGGAGGCGCTGGTGAGCAACAATCAGGTGACAGAAAATCTTAGTCCGAGATACGGACTAGCAGTAGAAAGATCTTGGGAAGGGAAGGGACGTTGTTCGAAGTTGCAGTTGCAGTTGCAGTTGTCCTTGCAGTTGGACGATCCCTACCGTACCCTTTACCCCCGGCGTCGGGCTGTCCTGCATAGACTGCATACGCTGACTGCATACGCTACGCTGCCCGCATCCGTAAATAGGAAGGCATGCACACATCACAACGGCATTGAGCGCGCTTTCCTGCGCTTGCTAATCAGCCCCTCTGATTGATTCTCGCGCCTTGATCCACTGCACCCGACGAACATTCTTGACCATCAAGCCATTTGCATGCAACGTACACGAGCCAAGCTTTAAAATTTGCGACTGTCTGATGATCACTTAAACGTTGAGCACTTGCAGTTAACCTGGGGAGTACGTGTCCAGCTTCCACCTACTGCCTCTTTGCCTCGAGTACCCAACCTAAAGCATGACACTTGTTATTACCTAGTACCTACCTAGGCACTCAACATTCCATGCGGATGCCTCCTACGCCATCCCAGCAATACCCAGTCCCTGGTCTCGACTCTCGAGCAGCCGACCGCTGATCCGCTCCTTCGGCATGTTTACAGCATCTAATACCACAGAAGCGCGATTCGTGAAACATCCCATCGCGTGATTGAGTTGGGTAATAACCATACTTTGTCCAAGATCGTATTTAGCGCCATTTTAGTCCTAGCTCAAGTTCACCTTGCCATTATCAATATAGGAAATCCCCATGCGGCACAGCCCTATGACTCTACCACGACTGCCCCCTTCTTAGGCACACTGGTAATGTCGGGTATCTACTTGAGGCCTTGGTCAAAACATCCTCTAAGCTGCAAGTCCCCAGCTCAGTTGTCTCGTGCTCGGGTTTCAACTGTTTCGTTCCTTCACGGGTCTGAATCGCCGTGCAAACTCAATCCACAACTCGAGAGCTGTGGCTTCGTTTGGCTGTCTCATCTTCAATGGCAACCCACCCATCATTCACAATCATTCCGACCCCTCCAAATAGGCAAGTGCAGCGGCACGTCAGGCACTAGGACGTGTCCCCTTGCAATCCATTGATCACCCGTTGCGATTCAGAGATCGGACCTTGGTAGCGCCACTCGGAGGCTCCATTTCTGCCCCCATCAAACTTGTCACATCCACAGGCGCAAGCGATCGTTTCTTGGCACAACCGGACTGCAAGACAACCTATGGGCATTGGGTTGTTCATCCTCACCCAACAGACCTGCTGACCGCCTCTTCACGTTGCATCTTAACGAGAGGCTCCTATACTAATAATCCACCCCCGGGATGGAGAACAAACGACGAGCCAGTCATAGTCTTTATAGTTCACAGTTCCTTGAAATCCGTTGTCAGTTTATCACGTATCAGCATCAGTAGGCTATTGAGTTGTCTACCGCACCCTACTCGTCACAGGTGGAGGAAGCAATGCAGCCCTGTTTAGGATGTTTAGAAGTTAGGTTGCTCAACGGGCCAGGTCTAGAGGATGATAACGGTCGAGACCATTAATCCAGTTACAGATATTGTCAAGCGGAACACGGATTGGCAGCCCAATGACTCAATACCCTAATTGGCCACTTAGTGGCCAGGGGATAGTGGTCGAAAAGGGACACATATCATTTTTGGACGAACATTCACGCTTTATGCAGTTTACCATTACTTGTTAAAGTTCGACATAAGGAGAGAAGATGTCGATGACGACAATGCTAAACTTACTCGAAGAGCGACCGCAGATCCTACCTGGGTGTGTACGTTTGTTCTCTGTACCATCAAGGGGCGTTACGCTACAGCGGCGACACTGAGATCGTGGCATATCTCCTATTTCATGCTGCTTCTGTGTGGGCTGGACTCCTCATAAGGGTCTCATCCGGGTTACACATTCGCCTCCTTGATTGAACCTTTGTAATGACTGGCGAGGTGATTGAAATGACTTTCGCCTCCAAACGATATTCACGGGGCACAAAATTGACAGCCATGGCAACATCTCAACAATGCCTCCATCTAGCTTTGCCGGCAATCGATACCGGCGTCTCTTCAGGTCACCCAATACTAGGAATTGGACCATGGCGTAGCTATGTTGTCAACAAGTAATGAACATGAAATGATTCCAGTGGCATTACATCCACATTAACTCTTATCTTAAGAAAGCAAGTCAGAGACGAAGTGGAACGCCCTATCAGGCCGATTGCTTGCTATTTCTCAGCAGTCAATTCCTTACATAGCTGGTTTGCCACCTTTTCTATCTGGTACTAAAAACCTCAACTAACCTCCGCGCACCCACGCCGCTAACCTTTTCATACGAGGGCGACTCGGCTTCGTCACTCGAGCTTTCATTGCCAAACGAAGCCCTCCTAATCCTCATATCCCTAGGCCCCCGTACAGTTGTGCTCACCCCAGTTGCGGGCCTTTGCGTAGTACCACCATAATTATAATTTCGCCCCTAAATGGCACTCGCGATGGCATGACAAACTCTTAACCCCCCCCTTCCCGCCTCCGAGTCCCGCGGTGACCGCACATCGGTGGCCCAACCATCGGCAGCAGTATTCCTATCCGCTGAGCTTTCCATGGATGTCTCTCTGCCTTGCGGTAGCGCTTCCTCTCGCGTCTAGTAAAGGGTAGTACTGGCTAAAATTGGCGGGATCGGTGTTATAGTTCGAGTGATTGGTCTGCTAATCTTGGCCCGTGACTCCGTAGATAACACCGTCGACTAATCTGAAGACGAACCCCATGTTTGATCAAGGCGAAGCAAACCTTCCACTGATCATTCCTACGTATTCCCCTTCACATCCAAGCTGTCGAGATGCGTTTCACCTCGGCATCTTCAAGCACAACACGTACCAGTAGAGTCTACCCAAACTCGCTCTCATCAAGTTCAACTTCGCCCGCAACATCCATCCTTTACTTTCGTCGCTGAAAAGGGGAAATGGCGAGGGGAAATGGCGAGGCAAACCACAATGCATCCTGGCCCCCCAAGTCGGATGCGAACAGCATAATCGGGGTCGACGTCCTATCTTCTATAATTCACGTCTGAAATTCCAACCCCTGAATCTCAGAGAAAGGCTATTCTGCTCCTCCAAGGATTCGCCGCTCCCTGGCCCTCTTGAACCTGGCGACGCCATCATGTCCAGTCTGCCGCCAGGCATTGCGACCATCTAGCCGCTGCAGCCGATTCACCCCTCTGTCGCGTGCACCTTTGCCTAGTATCACCTCAACGAGGCGCCGTCACGCCCAGAAGCTGGCGCAGAACCCTTGAAATGCCATGCGGCCTGCAAGTCCCGCCTTCTCAATTTCGGCTGGAGCAGGGAAACCACCCGGGTTGCTGGAGGCCTCTTCTTGGCCCAAAACGCAAGTTTTCGGTGGTCCTCTGAAAGAATTATGGTCAAAATTGCATCACTGCTCTCAGCACAATGCGGGTTCAAGGAGAAGCGTGGGGTTCTCAAGGAGGTATGTGAAGTACAGGAGGAGAGAAAGTTACAGTATCCTTCCTAGCAATCTACACCGGGCGCAACAATACCGAGACATTGGGAATTAGGAGAGCATCATGAGCAAGAACGAGAAGATTATCAAAGGTATGCTGTACTACACAGCGTGCACTCTCATGTTTGCGCTGGAGGACGACAAAGTAAACGTAAACATCCCTGTGGACAAGTACCTGGAAAAGGGGCAAGATCTGTTCAGCGAGATGATGATCGCTATGTCGAGGGGAGGGAGAGCCATGACTCGGGTCGGGAAGAGTACTTCCAGAGGCAGGAGTCTGTTCTAGACAGAGTGAAGCAAAGCAAGGAATGCAGTTGACTGAAGAGAGTAATATCAGAGATACGTACTGACGGATAGTGTTAGACAGCATGGTTAATCACGAATCACCCTTCCAGCATTTTGAAATCCTTTCGTAATCCACGTGATCGAGTGCAAATGATGAGCCTTATTGAGTAATGATGGCGCGGAATACACACCCATGAGATATGGTCTACGGGAGACCACTCCTGTCAGCTAAGTATACTCGATGCCTCAGATGACCCACCTGGAACATGCGCATATAGGTAGGATTTTCGTTATATTGGACCCTGAAACCAAGACAGCACACCACAGTTACAAAAGGGAGGCAGGCCAGGAACGCAGTAGCACGTTCACACAGCTTGTGCATGCATGCGTTGTAAATGCCATGCCCCCAGTATGCCGATACCGATTATCTCTCGAGCTCAACTTGACAAGACTAGGGAAACAGAACATGAGCTCATTATTCCTCTGGGAGACTCCTTTGGTCTACCTATATGCTTTATGTACCGGTCAAGTTCACCCTAGCAAAATACTTTCGGAGATTTCTGACACAGTGCAGAGCGACGTGGCTCAAAGTCATCACTGTAGTTTAGACTGATGAGCTACTGTAGGGGTCCGTGGAAGCAATGCGGGTGGCGGCATTTGGTTTTGGCAGTCTCAGTGACGGCCATGCCCAAAACACAGATTCCACCCAGTTTCAGGTCATGCTCGCTCAATCCTGCGTCCATCCACACTTTCTCCTAGTTTTATGACACGAATATGCCTAAGCGATCTCTACCTCTCACCTGCTAATCGTCGGCTCTGCACTTCACCCAGTGCCTTGGTTCCGCTCAAGACGGTAGTTACGCCCACGGCGCCAATGACGGGCAGGATCTGGAACAGGTTCCATGTCGAGTAGTATAGGTAAAAGACAGCCTCCATGGCGACTATCGATCCGAAGAAGACGCCGTGCGAGACGGGCGCGGCGGAAAAGGCCTTCTGGAGGTGTGCGACGTTCCCGCCCAATTGGCCCCACTGTTGTGCTGTTAGCAATCATTTTCCACCCGTTGGATCTATGTGATCCTGATTCAGCCCGGTGCTTACATAGAAGAACAAAGTGGGGACAGTAGCAACGACAAGTCCCACGAAAACCAGCGAGATGGTCATGGGCGGGCTCTTGGCGTCGGCGCGGAACGTGTGGTGGATCTCCTCAAGCTTTCCGTAGCGCAGCGGCTTCTCGTAAGCTGGAGTGGCACTGGGGTCTAGCTTGATCACGACGTCGAAGACGGGGCTGTTATAGCCTTGGGACGAGCCGAATGAGGCGATGATCAGGGAGGCGTGGAGGGGTTTGGTCGCAAGCAGAAGGGGAGCGGGGATGTCAATATGTTTCTATTTCAGGTCAGCGCCGAGAAAATCAATGAATAGTGGCTTGAGACATACAATATCAACGGTCGCCTTCCCATTCTCCTTCAGAGTCAGAGGGAACGGAGCTTCGAGACCGCTGTCGGGTTCCTGCAGGAGGAGGAAGGCCTGGTGAGGTTTGGCCGCCTTGCCATTCTCCTTGGCCGTTAAAATGATCTTAAGGGTATCTGCACTGCCCAACGCGACGGGCGACTCGGGGAGCGATTTTTCGGAGAATCTGCAGGCTGGTTGTTAGCAATTGGTGGCTGGGTAAGCTTAGAGCCCGAGAGCTGGGAGCTACGGCAGCACTCACTTCTGCTTGACAACTCCATCGCCCTTCTTAGCAGTGACAGAGAGAGTGGCGTCGTCAAACCCCCAGGATGAAACTGCCTGAGCTGCACCAGCAGCCAGGAGGACCACGAAGGAGTTCAGGAAGCGCATTGTCGTGGTGTTGAGTGAGCTGTTGGGAAAGAAGGTCCAGCTTCACGAGAAATCTGGTGTGGGACATTGAAAGCAAGTCGTGAACACCTTGCCTTTGGCTGACGTTGCAAGTAGCTGTAGACCCTGGTTTTGTGGGTCCGGGCATACAGTGTGGCACCATGGGTTCTCACGGTCCACTTACAACTTGAAGTCCAGGAATACTGCTCGGCTTATATCTCGAGAATTCGATCTGCCATACAAGATCGATTTTCCTTGAAATCTGTAGTAATTTACACTTGCCGAGAATTTCTATTGCTTGTTCATCAACATGATACTAGGATATCAGCTCAGCAGTGTGCAATACGGATGGGGCGAGCTTGTTAAGTACTTTGTTTTCATTTCACCTCTGCACCGTTTGTCAACTATCTAGGGTCCTATTCGTGAGGAACTTCTCCCTACCCAAAGCTAGCCTTGGAACTTCGGAGGTTCGCTATTTCCCTCTGATCCTACTCTAGTTTCTGAGCCATTGCCGCGAAGAAACAGAGATTACCTGCGTGTGCGAAGCAGCTCACTGCTCCGGCGGCAGCTTCTTAAGGAGGGTTTGGGGGTGTTATAGAATAAGGATTCGACGTTTCGGAATGGATCAGTGTTGTTTGGAATACTTCCAGGCGGTTGTCATCATTTTGCAAGAGAGTTTGAGAACAAACAGACGTGTAATGGCTACGAATGATGGAAACTACCAATACCTGGTTGAATCCTAGATGTCGTTGAAGTGTTGTTGGGAGAGGCCGTCCATGCAGGTCTGCTTATGAAATGCCTTGAACTGTCTTGTGACGATAACAAGGACAAACTGAATAGCTTTGTAGTCAAATTCGTTTGTCAACCGTCGACACGGACTGCCATCTCAAAGTCTTGTTTGAGATGAAATACCGGCAGCAAATTACTGGTTCGGGTTGGCTAGCCGTAGGTCTCTCTGCCTTTTGTCGGCCTCGATATTCTGTCTGTGTCGGGCGCTTTTCCAACACGAAGGGGGCAGCAAATAGATGGTTCTTGTAGATCTGCTCATCTCTTGCCCGGCATTTTCGAGATCATGACCCGAAGTCATTCTGTCAGAACATTTAGCTCGATCACTTGAGCGTACTATGCATATGCTCAGATACCTCGAGAAACCCGCTTCATAGCTCAGACCGCTCCCGAACATCAGGCCCCTTCTCCAAAGGTTGTTTCGGCGAATCCATGAATCCATCCAACTCCATCCATTCCGCCGCAAAACCGGTAATGATCTTCGCCCAATCATCAACAGTTCCAATATCCAGGTGCTCGGCGTTATCGTCCATCGTATGCCATACATCCGGGAAGGGCATAGGGATAATATGCAAAATATCGACTCCCCGTACGAGAAAGGGGATATGATCATCCTCGATATACCCGCAAGGGACGTAGTCTCTTTCTCCCACATTCGGTATGAATGCATTCTTCGGCGTCGACTGCAAAATGTCGAGTTTGCGCATCCTCTCCTCTATCTTGGCCATCCGTTGGTACGCCCAGTGGGTCTTCTGGAAGTACGACGGGACATGCGGATCCGCTGCCCCCAGGAGGTCAAGGAGAAGAAAGAGACCGATGGCGTCGATTGGAGTTCGATACGCCGTGCTGGCTGGGTACATCTTGGACTCCCAATGCTCAGCTAGTGCCCTGCCCGATTGTCAGCCATGATCCTCTGCAAACAAGTCCCGCCTACTATGTACCTCGCTCCATAAATGGAATCCGTAGCACTCCAATCAACGAAAGCCTCCTCGCCATCAAGCAGCAAAATCTGCACTCCCTTCTCCGCCTCGAGTCCTAATCCGGCTTCACCAGAAGCCTTCATGTCGTCCCATTTCTTGGTCAAAGCCGCATCGATACTTCGCGCCACGTGCATGAGTATCGCGCATGGTGCAGCACTGTCTACGGCCCCGATGAAGCCTTCGGGTTTCCACAAACTGTCGTAATGAGCGACGAGCGTCAATCGCCCCACATCACCGGCCTGCGCCCAGGGCGGGTCGCGGGTGAAAATGAGGTTTGAGAAGGGCACGTCTTTGACTCCTGTTGCCGGCGTTTTGGATGTCGAATTATGCCAGTCCACACTCCAATCTGGCAGGTACTCTGAGAAAAAGTTGACGAAGTGCTTTTGCACTGCTTCAGAACCGGGTGTGCCTGGCACCCGGGGTATTAAAATCGGCGATAATAAGGGTCCGGAGAGTATATCGAAATCCCCTTGCCCGCTGGGGATGTTACGGAGTGTCTGGTCGGACACTTGTTCATAGGCGAACGGTAGCTGCGATAATAGACTCAATATGAAGAACGATGCTAAACGCCCGACGTGACGGGGGAAAATGAAAGAACCCATCGCAGGGAAAACGGGGCTTCTGTAAGCTCCCTCTCAGCAACAAAGAAAAATATATGGAAAAAAATATACTGATGTAATTTCGAGATTTCGAATTGGTCGTGAAACTGGTGATCTGTCAGTCTCGGACCATCTATCTTTTAGCAGTTTGGCCAATAGAAATGCGTGACGGAGGTTGCCGAGGTGAGCTGCAGTAGCGCCAGGGGGCTCTCGGTGGGTGACCTGCAGATATTCTACTGGTAGCTTGAAGTCAGTCTATTTTACGTCTGAGCGACTCTTCTAACCTGGATGCGATGAGTGGCGTTGCCAGATGCAACACCACATACTCAATTCTCCGAGGTGCTCTTTCAACAACGACTGACTGTATTTACGCACCATGTCCAGAACTCAACGGCATCAAGTCTACGGTGTTTGCGACAGTTGCAATAAGCTACTTTCAGCTTCGGATCGGCCGAATCATGCTTTTGCATCCTGCAGCCCTTTTTGCTAAGTATCGGCGCTAAGTATCGGCGTTGTGCTATATCGCCGATGCCCAGCTCGAGTTGGACGGTGTTAGTGTAATGTTGGACGTTATCCCCGCATGTAAAGGATTACGCCCAGACGGCTTGACCAATGGAGTTGACGTTGGGTTATCGACCTTGGGCGGACTTGATGTAACTTGTAAATGGGATCAAGCCGCAAACATTGGCGCGGCTGTCCTTACCAGTGACAACTATACAGGTCATCCTGACCAACCGCGCATTTAAGCTGCAATTAGGCTTTTGGCTTATCTACGATGCAGGCCAGGAGGAAGGTGAGTAGGCGTTAAACGATAGACGGGTGTAAAAGAATGGAATCGAACTCAATAAAAGGGGCTCTCTATATTCGAAAGCATCTTCACATGGTCACTCAACAATACTCCTGAAAAGCACTGGATCACACTCTTAATTTAACCCAATCCAACTCGTTCTCAAGATAATCACTACCGAAAATGACTGGAAACAACGTCTGGTTCATCTCGGGCGCGACCAGCGGCTTCGGCCTCTCCATTGCCCGTGAAGCCCTCTTCCGCGGCGACAAAGTCATCGCGTCCTCGCGCAGCGCGACGACATCCAGTAAACTCATCTCCCTGTCCTCCACCTACCCCTCCTCTTCCCTCCTTCTCATAGACCTCGACGTCTCCGCCCCAGACTCCACAATCCAGTCCGCCTTCCAAAAGGCCACCGACGCCTTTGGTCCCATAACCCACTTCATCAACGCGGCGGGCTACCTCCTCCAAGGCCCTATTGAAGGCGCCTCCCAGCAAGAAGTCCTCAACACGTTTACTGTTAATGTCCTGGGCAATATCAACCTAATCCGGAACGAAATCGCCCTTCTCCGTCCCCGGGGCCAAGAGCACGTGGGCGTCATCGCCAATTTTGGCAGCATGGCAAGCTGGGGTGGAGGGCCGGGGTACGCCTATTACAGCGCCACGAAATGGGCCATATCGGGGTTCACCGAGTCGCTGTACGAAGAAGTGGCGCCGTTGGGGATCCGGGGGATTGTGATTGAACCGGGGTACTTCCGCACGGGGTTCTTGAGTACGGGAGGGGGCAATATGCTGCGTGTGGAAAAGCAGATGGCGGAGGAGTATAAGACGACAGGCGTGGGTGGCCTAGAGACTATGCTGGCGCAGGCTAATGATAATCAGCCGGGCGATGTGGCAAAGGGAGCCAAAGTCATTGTGGATGTTTTGACGCAGACGGGGGTTGGGGCGGGCAGGGAGATTCCGATGAGGTTGTTGCTGGGGCCGGATTGTGTTGAAGCCGTGCGTAGCAAGATGGCTAGGACAGAGGCCACCATCAAGGAGTGGGAACATGTCAGTCTTGGGACTGATCATGAGGATGTGAGGAAGGATTAATGCATACGAAACCGGCTTAGTTAACTTGGGAATGCTGGAGTGTCCCTCACTCATTTGCCTCTTTGACCAGCTTCAAAGCCACGTTCCACGATATTACTGTATTTCAAGACATACATTAGTCACTACGAGCTGAGTCTACTCCTGATTTGTTACATCCCTTTTCCTGACGCCTTGGTTAATGCGAATACTCCGTGTTTGCAACTCCTGCATGCGAATGATACCTCTCTGCCTCTGTTGTAGCCAATGCCTGAAAGATTTACTGTTATTACACCAATCCACCGGCCTGGCCACTTTGAGCCGGCCACAAGAAAGTCTCCAGAACCTTACAGAAGTTTTTAGCCGCCCGATAAATGCTGCCCGAAACACTGGTCTTGGGCCAAACAAGTGCTCATGTCGCTCCATAAAAAGGGCCCCTACCATCTGACCTCGTTCCTACGTTATCGGACAATTCTATGCGCAAAGCCAGCGCGGCCTAAAGCTCCTTCTTTCCGTTCGCTGTGCCATTGGCAGCACCATTGGCCGCGAGTTGCAATTTCCTCTTATTCTCCACCTGTTTCTCGTGCGGGATTGTCAGGGCGTTGATGCCGAGGAAGTTGCATATACTCGTCGTGACCAGGTACGCCCAGCGGAAGTAGACCACCATGGAAAAGACAAAATACGCTCTGAGGTACCAGAGCTCCATCTCGGCCGATATAGGTGCAAGACCAAGTCGTGGAAGGTTGCCTAGCACCGCGCCACCGACGAGCGGGATCAGCATGACGGTCCAGTAAGGGAACGGTTGCCTCGTCAGATGTGCGAGGATCATCTTGGTCGTCAAGCGACCGAAAACGAACGACATGGTCAGGCAGAAAAGGACCAGGTGATTCTCACTTCGCAGCGTCGTGTAGGGCGAGTACAGCCAAGCCGCAATGGAGAAGCTGTAGACGGCCATGGGGATCCATTCGAGAAATACTGGGAGGACGGGGAGTCTGTCCTTTCTGCGGGCTTTGACAACGTTGTAGACACAAAACGGCGCGTGTCCAATGAGAAAAGCGCCGGCAACAATGACAATCCAGATGTCCCGAATCGAGTATTCGCCAACCAAATGATCGTAGCCAAGAAGGTTCTTTGAGCCAGCGAGATCCACGATGCGTTCGGTCCAAATGCCGGGCCCATAGATCCCGGAGAGCGCCATTACGGCACATGCGATCAGGAGTCCCTCTGTGGGTCCATTGAAGTAGCCCAGGTACAGCGTGTGCGTGTGGTATGTTTCCCAGGTGGAAAAGAACATGGGAAGACAGGGCACGAGGGCAGTGAATACGCCCGATTTGGAGGTACCCAAAGCCATCGCCGCCGTCTCCAACAAGCTGGCAAGCGTGCAATTCAAAGAATCGATTCCGTGGTCGAACAACTCGCCGAGTCCGCTCGATGTTCCCGTTCGTCGTGCTTGCTTGCCGTCGATGTTGTCCATCGTCTGGTACATAAACAGGCCGAAGGCAAAGCTAAGGTACAGCCATGACGGGCCCTGTTTCGTTTCAGCCTCGTCAGCCCTCGTCCTTCAGGTACAGCGTGTAGAAGATGGGATTTTGCATACCGGCCCCACCAGGTCTGGCATGAATATCACCAGCAGACCAATATTGCCTAGGATGAAGAAGAACCCAATGAGGGTCACCATGTTGGGTGCCAGCCATAATGGCATGAGCTCGACAAAGGCGTTCCACTGCAGTGCCTCTTAGCTTTGATCCCAACCCATGATTCCGATGCGAGACGGGAGTATGCATACGTAAGGCCGCAGGATGTATTGGGATATGGGCGACTTGTCGACGGCTGAGTATTTGTACGATTTCAAGTGGATGAGGGCATCATCCGAGATGCATTCGGCAGCGGCTTTCTCTGGAGGCAGGAGGCGGTTAGCTACTGGGGACGTTGCCTGAAGGTAAACCTCCTTGCAGCTTCTTTGGTATACATACTGCTGTTATTGGACGCCATCTTTGCTTGCTATAGCCGTCACTTGCTGGTGTGGATAGGTGGGCTTTGTTGGAACAATCGCGATGCGACGGGCCTCACAGGTTCGATATACAATACCGTATGTTGGCGCGCAATGAATGAATAGCCGTAGGTATCAATGATAGCTGTAAAGTGTTGTCTCTCTTGTCGCCGCAGCCGTTGTACTTGACGTCACCACTAACAGAAATGCATCGTGAACAAAAAAAGGTTTGCACAACTTGGAATCTGCCTTTCTGAAGCCAAAGTCTTGGAAGTTTGAGGTCAAATCAAAGAACAATAGAAGGGTCTGGCCTGGTGGGGATTATGTCTTGACTCAAGTGGACTGGGGCCACATGTGAGAAAAAAAGGGACGAACCGAGAGCGTCGTCGACCTTCAGGGATGGAAAAGCTCAAGATTAGGCCGCGAATTAGATCCGCTCCCGCTGCAAGACTCATTCTTACCCCCAGGTGCGGCAGGTACAACATCTAGCAAATCAGACGTGGGGTTTACAATTTGGCGGCATCATCAATGTCTTTGGTCATCTTCATGACAAAGTGCGTGGTACTATTGACTCCGTACTAACGAATAATTAACTTATTGGGACTGAACGTATATCGCCATTTTGGCTGCTCACTTCATTCGATGAGCATGAAGGCAACCAAACCGGTACGTTGGTACCAGAATCCCCGGAAACTGGTTTCCGAGGTTGAGCCTAACTAACACGTGAAGAGCGATGCGAAACATTTAAACTTTTCTGTAGGCCCATGAATATCGGCAGGATGCATTCACTTGGAGCTCTGGGTGTCACTCGAGACTGAGACCGCGAGGAAATGCAACTTTCAAATATTTGTATTAGCGCGAGCTCTCGCCCGACTTTACTCGCTGTAAATGTAGTCCAGTAGCTTCTACTTCCAACTGCCGACTTTCCCCTTTTACCATTGCTGGCAATCCAGGGTCAGCTTGTTGTACGTGGTCTATCTTCAGCCATGTACTGTATCTCATGCGGGTGCCATAAATGCGCATGGGCCATTAAATGTATACCTCAAATGCAACTCTTGCCTGGTAGATTCAAATCATAACTTCAAACGCTAAATATCCAGAGGACAATTAGTTTCAGGGCCGGCCGCGCCGAGCCGGCGCACATTGGTTTTGTGACCCGCCCATCTTGGGCAATTCTCATAACCTTCGAGATCTATCGAAGAACATGATGCCGTGGATCGTGACGAGTTGACGGATGTCGGCCGTGCATGTTTAGAGGATGCATCCGAATCCGGCAACAAACGCTGCTGAAAGGGTTACGAACCCCATAAGACTACCGACCGCCAAGTTGGGAGCGGCATTGCCACCGGGCGTGGAAGTCGCTGTTGAGCCCTCGCCATCGAGGCCAGTGTAAATGACGTTGCTGCCAGTTGCCGTACTCGTTCCCGTTGATGAGGCCGTGGCCGAGGTTGAGGTGGAATTGACCTTGTTCGGGTTCTGGGCGCCGCAGGGGTGGTCTTGTATGCAAGAGCTGGAGCAGGTGTTGTCGCTACCGCACGCCTTCACACACTGTTGACCCCATTCCTGACAAACAAAGTAGGGCAGAGTCAAGGAGTACTCCGACACGTTAGGCTGCAGGTTGTTGCCACAAAGACAACCGTATGTCAATGTTGCCTTTTTCAAAATTAGCTGTGGCCTTTCAGGTACTTCACGTGGTAGTCAATGGCACATACCGGATCGCATTCGTTGACAAGTGTAGTTCCTGGAGAAGATTGTTTGCAGATCAGAGGGCAAGTGCTTATCTCTGACTGGCACCAAGAGGCTATGTGGATCGAGTCAGCAGGTGGTGGTCATCGCAGTTTAGACATGGACATGGCGTACTTCTGAGGCTCAATGATACACTGCTGGGGACAATGACATAGTCGGCGTGAACGGCAGAGACGAGGGTGGCCGAAACCAGAATTATGTTCTTGAGTGAAAGCATCGTCGGTGCAAGATTCGTGTACGATGAGATCTTGTGCTATGTGTGCTTCAATGCCCAAGTAATCTAGAGAGAAATATGTCAGCATTTGAAGCTCCTGTTACGGGTTCCAATAGACTCGATTGAGCTAGTTCTTATAGAGTCATCCCGGAGCTCGAAAGCGGAAGGACAAGAGCGTACCTTTATCGTGTGTACAAATGGTGAAGATTGTATGCTTGAGGTTGAATTATAGCAGTGGTGTATTACAAGGGAGTAAGTATTGATAGAATAGAAATTATGTGACAGATGAATCTGAATCACAAACGAATGTTGATCTGTCTTCAGAGAAGAAAAGAGACGAGAGATCAAGTCGATGAAGAGGAATCCTCAAAGCCAAAGTCCGGGGTTCGCGAATTAGGAAAGAGCACTGGAGCCAAATAAAAGGAGCTTGACAAGCTTGACTTAGAGTTCTCGACGCCATCCTAGCAACCTTAGCGCAGAATCCCAGCCTCTTAGTGCCTGGTGGCTGTTGAGCTTTAGTCCTGAATCCCTGCCGCGGGATATCAGACTAGATCGCATGCAGACATGTATTGGTGGAGAAGGGCTACTGATTGCTAGTTCTGATTCGACACCGTTGCCTCTGTGAAGCGGATTGTATCGATGCTTTGCAAGGATTTGGCAACATTAGTACGACCATAAGTTCGTGATCATGCCAGAGCTCGGCTTCACGATCTCGGGGTCCCGCTCCGACTGAACCCTGACCGCAATATCGTATGGTACTTCTCGAGTCTTTGACTGATCCAAGGCAATCGAGGGTACAACACCTTGGCAACGGAACACCGACAAGAGAGTTAAATGCAGGTTGCGTGGGTGCGCAGTTAGCACTGGCCAAATCGGATCAGCTTCATCCTTGGCCCTAGCAGACGCCGCTTGACCACGTACTATTGTAATCCAGAGCCTCTGAGTCTTTCGGGGAGACTGTTTGCTGAGAAGCATCGTTACCAGGATGTCTTCATAGCCCAAGCCGTGTCACCGGAGAGCTACTTGCGTGCGTGACGGTCAGCAGGTACTGCATATGCTGTTCGAGGGCCGATGAACGCATTGGCTGAACATCAAGCAGCGTTCAAAGAGGCCGGCGCACTTGCCCGCTTGCTGGTGAGTATCGTAGCCGTTCCGATTTGTCGGTCGATCTAGCCAGTGAGAGTGGACTCTCTGGGGATACTTCCAATTGGGTACGATGCATGACTGACGACCGTTTCTGGAAGGCAATACGAAAAGCTTCGCCGCCATTCGATATTTGCCGCCTCGCTGCCTCCATCGCAATGCTCGTATTGCGTGGACTGCGTGACTCTAACGCAATGGCATGCATTGGCGTGCGCATTTGGAGGATGTAGCTCTCTATTCCAGCCACTGTCGTGCGTGTGGAATGGTGTGGTGAGACTCCATCGGCTTGCAACGCGAGGCGGGGACGGTATCGCCGGCTTGTGTTCAATGCATTGGGTGTTTGTGAGCAATTGAATCTGAACTGACGGAGCAAACCGATCACAAGAAGCTAGGCCTAGATTGCATTATAGGTGGGGGACTCTCCACAGCACTCATAGCCGAAGGTCCGAGGTCCATCCTGCTCCGGGGATGAATTACTTTCACCAAATAACCTGGGAACTGTGCGATGTTCCATCGTCTTTCAATGCCAAATGTTTTGTCGAAAAGTCCGGAAATAGGCACCGGATTTACAGCGAATTATCAGACGGAATCAACATCAAACCGGCCCAGAAAAATAGCCTAACGCGATCCCCGATACCACGGAAGCCGCACCCCGGAACCTGCCTGCATATGGACAGGGAACCCCTAGCACCTCGGAAGTGCAAGCGGATTGCTATTATTTCTTACCTGCATACTCTCTTCGTGTGCAACCTTCGAACTCTGTCAACTCGAAACCTCAACAGACTCGACAGACATCTTGGATGATTCCATTAGCCTCGAGACCAGTCCGGTACTCTGACGATGCTATTACAGTTTGGCCAATGTACACAAGGAAACCGTAGTCTATTGGTTACCGCCTTATACCATCCCATATTTGATGGCAGGCTTGCGAGCCGATCATCAGTACCCCAGAAGATCATCTCTCCATATCCTAGGCTGATATGGTGTCTAGTAGAGCTAACTAGAGTATTTCACTCTACGCATGGAATGTGTATTTTCCGTCACCAGTGAGTGCGGCTCCCCGCGAAATTGTTGCCCCTAAGAGATTCTCAGAACGTATCGAGACAGGTTGGCTCCAGCGTACTCCCTTGCTTCAACAAGTTATCAAACTTACCCGGAGCACAGAAGCAGCACGGTTATAACGTTGCCGGGCAAGGTGCATATGTTTTAATTCGAGTAGCCCCCCAAGCCTCAGTTGATACCCTCTTGTGCCATCATGCGACAAGGCAAGCTCAAGGCAATAAATCGGCCGGGTAGCACGACTTAACAAGTTATCAAACCCCAGTGCATGGATGGCTCGAGATTCGTTGCAACTGTTGCAAAATGTCTACAACTGGTCCTTGACAATGTCAGCACTCGTTTTACATGCCGTTATGGTGATCATGTTAGATGCTTGGATTGTCTGATTTGTAGGGGAACCAAACATTTAAACATAGAGAATATAGTAGCCAGATGGATGGGCATGGCTATATTAAGGTAAGCATATGATAGTTGGTTTCAAGGTTATTTACTCGATCTAGAAGAAATCCAGGTGAAGACAGTGTTTCGAAGCCCATGTGTCTCGGCAACGAACAGTTTACCGACTTTTTCAAATGGGATGAGAAGATGCATGGACCCGTCATAAAGTCGTTGTCGGTGCTTCTAAGTTCGACTGTAGTTGATTAGGATGGGAAGGAACGTGGGTATCGACAGGGATAGTCTGTTGCTACCAAGCCGTTACCACGATGTCACACAGTTTAATTCGATGCCCAGCTTCCCCAATGCCCTCAGCTTATGTTACAATAGGCCAATTCCCACAACGCAATGCTGAAATAATAATGCTGACGTGTGTCAGTCACACATGACGGAGCTGGATATGATCTGAAACATAGCCGCCCAAAAACTCCAAACGAAGGTGGTGGATGAGCAGCCGGTGTGGTTTGCAGCTTCCCCACACCTTTCGACTTGCATGTGCTAGATCCCAGCAATGAAACGAAGTTTGAGCACGGCTGATGAATGGGACTGAGATTTTATCAGACGGATGCCCAACCATAAACATTCGACGTCATTCACCCAGAGCAGCGTTCTGGCCGTGACTGCCTGTTGGCCGACCAACTGTGGTATATGCCCGCGGTGTTCCCAAACATATTATACACTTCCAACAACATCGGCAGCATTTACTCAACAGTCGTCATCTGCTACCTAGGCGACGAAACATTCGACACGTGCCGCAGCAATGGCACATTCGTACGACTACACCTGTCACACCCTCACGTCGATGGAGACGCCGGATCCCTTCATGACCCAGGCGAACGGCGTTTTCTATTTCGTACGCGTCTCTCCCATAGCAGCAACTTCCCAGAAAATCGCTAACCTGGTACACGCTTAGACTTTCACAGCTGGAAACAGGATCGAGGTCTGGTCATCAAGAAACCTCAAAGATTTTCAGCAGACAGCCAAGAGAAGCATTATATGGTATGCCCCGGCCGTTACTTCCCACTACTGGGCACCACGCTTACATCAAACATAGGACACCGCCGCCCGGAACAGACCATTCCGCCGATCTTTGGGCGCCAGAGCTCCACGCTCTACGAGGTCGGTGGTATGTTTACTACGCCGCTGCTCACCCGGCTCAGGGGAACCGGAGTCACCGGATGTATGTGCTCGGCGGCCCACCGTCAACGGAGAATCCTACTGAAGGGCAGTGGGAATTCCTTGGCCGCATACATGGCATGCACGACCATTGGGCAATCGACGGAACAGGTGATTTCCCTGACGTTTCCTTGCGAAGCAGCTGTTGCTAATCCCACAGGACAGTCTTCGAACTGAATCATGAGTTATTCATGGTTTACTCAGGTTGGCCCCTGGACAATCACCACGAATCCGACCTCATCCAGCAGCTCTTTATCATGAAGCTCGAGCACCCAACAACCGCAGGTAGCCCACCCGTCGTGATCAGCGCGCCAGAGTTACCGTGGGAGTTTACCCATGACCACGTTGGCGCTCACGGCATCAATGAGGGACCACAGTTCTTGGAGTCGCTGGATGGAAGCTGGAGAGGTATCGTTTATTCCTGCGCAGGGAGCTGGACGCACGAGTACAAGATGGCCGTCCTGCACTACAACGGCGGAGATCCTCTCGATCCGCGCGCCTGGCCTAAGGGCCAAGACCCGTTGATACAAGCCGAGCTGCAAGGTCAAGGTCCTTGGGGACCGGGACACGGCAATTTCTTGAACCTTGGGGGAGACACAGTATGTGTATTCCATGCCACGGATCATATGACCGATGGTTGGAATAACCGAAGAGCAAGATGCCAGCAGGTCACGTTCACGGAAAGCGGCCCATATATGGGCTTATTCCTCGGAGGGCGCTATGAACGTCCGAAGGGTGGGCTGATTGAGAAACTGAAGCACAAGTTGGGCAAAGGCAAGGAAATTATCCCGCAACAGGCCAGGAATACCCTGAAATCACTGTTGGGTTGATATCGAGCGAGGTTAGGGGTGCAAACTAGACAATTGTGGTGGAAAAGTGTAGCGCCGGAAACGGGCTCAATTCTGCCTACTCAGTAGCAGAACCAGGTATTCATCAGGCATTTTGCTACCGTTATCAACATATTCTCATGCCGTGAATGTGTAGACATGTTTGTTGATTAGTAATCCCTGCTCTCTAATCATCTTGTGCGATTTTGCAAGATAATATTGCGCAGGGACTCACTAGAATCTAGCCACGTTTTCTAGTCAACCTTTTCATTCAATCGTTAGGAAGACCACCAAGCTCTTGTTGGCTGCAGCTCTGGGGTGCATGTTAAACAAGCAACTCATTTCCCCCGCTGTATCACTCACTCCAATGAGATTCTGGCCCAGGTGGGTTTACCGTACTGGAGGTAGAACTGCTTTCACTAGGCGAGGCATCCTCTTCGGGTAGTAATGGGGAACCGTTAGAAGCCCGATCCGGCGGCTGGCCAGGCATCACTTCATCGGGTCCAAGTCTGGCCGCCGCCTTGCCCTTGCCTCTGTCAACACCACCCGAGGCGCTCCCAACCCCATCAAGCTGTACCAGCCCGCGGTATTGTAACGCACTGTGACCAGCAAGGTGCCTGCGCAGCCGCCTCACCCTCTCCGAAGCCGCCGAGAGGCGAGGTCCGAAGCGCGTCTAGCGTGGTTCGCCACCTCCAAGCAGGGCCATTCGATTCCGCATCTGGCTGACGAACTCTTCGAGCTCGATCTTGACAATGTACTGCCCTGGCACCACCACCAGACCTAGGTACCGCGGCGTCATCTCCGCCCTGAAGGTTTCCGATGAGTCAGCTTTGGCCATGGCTTCGGCTAGCTTCTGCGGGGAGGGCTGCCGGTACTCGTGCGTGAGCGAGAGCACGATGTTGCCGTTCTGGCAAGTTTGTTAGTGGAATGATTGGTTGGTTCCCAGAGAGAAGATGGTTGTGTATTTCAACAAACAAGAATAAAAAATAAATCAGGCCCGGCTTGAGGCTACATACAGGATCCGTGCATTTGAACGTGCCTACGAACATGCGCAAGTCGGTTGTGTGGACACGCAGGTTCTTGTTGATGAGTGAGTGAAGCCAGGCCTCGGCTTCCGGTTTGGCTGGTGAAGTGGCAGCAGCGGAGCTGGGGCCTAAGGGTGCAGCATGTTCAGATTGGACCTCCATGATTTTGTATTTTTGATAAGAATTCTCGTGTTGTAGCAAGCTGGAATATGGAAAGTTGTCATTGAAGTTTGGAAGCCGGCTTCGAACTGCATATGGCTATGGAGCCCCAGGCCCCTCCTGGTCTTTATCGATTCTGCAAGCACTAAAATATCCCTGTCATTCGCGGTTCGACGCGCTAAGGTCGTTGTAGTCATCGTCATGCCTCTCAGCTCAATTCCAGGCAACCTCTCGCCAACGTTTGCGCATAATCCTTCTTTCTCCCAATCAAAATTACGTTTCCCTGGACCGAATAACTAGCTAGCCTGCGAGTGCAGCTAAGATATTCGCCAACATGGAGAACTGCTCTATTTGGACATGAGTGATCTTTTTCCTTGCCACCCGACAGTCGCTCACCTTGTAGACCTTGAGTCCGACCGTCGAGATGGGTGTGAACGGCCTCTGGACCGTGATTCAGCCCTGCGCGAGACCGACGAACCTTGCGACGCTGAATCGCAAGCGCCTCGCCATCGATGCCTCCATTTGGATCTATCAGTTCCTGAAAGCCGTTCGCGACAAAGAAGGAAATGCCCTGCGCAACTCCCATGTTGTCGGCTTCTTCCGTCGCATATGCAAGCTTCTCTGGTTCGGCATCAAGCCGGTTTTCGTGTTTGATGGAGGAGCACCTGCGCTCAAGCGTCAGACCATCACGAGCCGCAAGCGAAGACGGGATGGCAGACGGGAAGATGCCGTGCGCACGGCGGGCAAGCTGCTGGCTGTCCAGATGCAGCGCATCGCTGAAGAGGAGGGCGAGAAGCGGCGGAGGCAATTGGAATTGGAGAAGGAAGGTTTCAGGCCGATCGAGGTCGAAGAACCGGTTGAGGAACTTCCAGCCGCCGACCAGTTTGTCTATGTTGAGGAGCTGGGCATGAGCCAGAAGGAACGGCAACAGAACAGGAAGTTTTACAAGCAAGATGCATATCACCTACCCGAGCTCACCACCAGTATAGAGGGAATGGGGAAACCCGAGGATCCTCGAATCATGAGCGTCGAAGAGCTGGAAGAGTATGCGAGGCAGTTTCAGAGTGGTGAAGACATCAACCTCTACGACTTCAGCAAGATCGATTTCGAAGGCGACTTCTTCAATAGTTTGCCCCCTGCAGATCGCTACAATATTCTTAACGCTGCAAGGATACGGAGTCGACTCAGAATGGGTTTGAGCAAAGAGCAGCTAGACGATATGTTTCCCGACCGAATGGCATTCTCAAAATTTCAAATAGAAAGAGTTAAAGAGAGAAATCACCTAACCCAGCGGCTGATGAAAGAAGCGGGCATGCAAGGCACTGATTTGACCTTGGGTGTCAATGGCCGCATCGCGGGAGAGAAAGACCGCGAATACATACTGGTCAAGAATGCTGGCGCCGAGGGTGGCTGGGCACTTGGTGTTGTTAGCAAGGAAAGAGATGTGGGAGAGATGCATAAGCCAATTGATGTCGACGCACTTGAATTCCAATATCAAACCAAAAACGACGATGAAGAGTGGGAGGATAATGATGATTTCGAGGATGTACCGATTGAAGGCTTGAATAGGCTGCCAAAAGTCTCTCAACCTACACGGCGACAGCTCTATGATTCGGCCGTTCAGGATGACCAGCACAGTGGCATGATGGTCGATGAAGACGACGACTCTCTGTTCGTTCAAGACCCTTTCGCTGCTGTTGATGATCTCTTTGAGCCTTCAAAGGGTGACCAGATAGCAGAGGACGAAGAAGAGGACACCAACCGTGCCATTGCCTTGTCACTTAAAAACCAGCATCGAGGCGGGACTCTAGCACAGGAGGACGACGAAGCGGATTTCGAAGATGTCCCAGTTCCTCAATGGACCCAGAAGGCTGTGGAGCAGCCGAAACCAGTCACGTCTATGAGCGGTAGCATGATAGCGCACATCGTGAATAATAGGGCGAATGCGGCGACTTCTGCAGTGCGGAAGAGACGGCGGAGCGATGCAAGTGATGATAGTGACGTAGACTTGCGTGCAGCGGTCTCTGCGGCCAGAAAGAAGAAAACAGTACCTCCAAAGCCCAAGGTTGCGCCAAACTTCTCAAACGTAAAGAACCCATTCGATGGCCCTTTGCCCTTCGAGAAACTTGACTGGAGGTCTAGCATTTTTGGCAAGAAGCCGGAGAAGCCAGTACCGGAAGATCCTTTGCGAGAGCGTGAGTCCGTTGCGGAAGAAGCCGAGAATGACCTCGGCGGAGGTTTTGTGGTCGAAGTTGAGGGAGATGAGGCAGAAAGAACGCAGGGGGCAGAAGAGTCGCGGCCTTTGCCGCCGTGGATGCAGAGTGAGGCGGATATTCGAGATTCAATGAAGGCGCAGCGCGAACTCGAAAAGAAAATCAACGAAGAGGATCGTGAAGCAGAATTGGAAGAGGAGGAACAGCGGCGGAAAGAAGCTATCATTGAGATTCCGTCGTCCAATGAGGATAGCGACGTTGAAATCGTAGAAGCACCAGCACCGAAACCACTAAAGTCCTCGGCGGCGCCGGCACAGAACCGTCTATCAGCAGCAACGCTGGCGAAGCTCAGTCCCCCGGTGTCCAGTATTGATGCAGTGGCAGATGATGTCATCTCTGTCCATCCTCTTGACACATTTGCAGAAGACTCTGCTGTTGAGGAAGCCCGGACTAGTCATGCGAGTGATGGAAAGTGGTTACACACACAAACAAATGATGTACAGCACAATGATGAGAAAGCCCGATCGCCTGAACCAGCGTTTGAGGATATATCAACGACGCCAAGCCAGCTTGACAAGGCCGACATTGCCGCAGCAGAACTTGACAAGGAGCTTTTTGGTGACGACAATGAAGCTTCTGTGGCAGATGTGGAGATGCTCGTGAATGACGAGGGCACTGCGGGGGACGAGTTCAGCGACCCTGAAGATGAAGAACTTTTTGTCCAGATGGCCGAAGAAGCAGAAGAGCACGCACGTTTTGCCAGTCAACTGAATAACAAGTCAGAGCGCGAAAATCAAGAAGCTTACGAGAAAGAACTGAAAGCACTGCGAAGTCAACAGAAGAAGGATCGAAGAGACGCCGATGAAGTCAGTCAAATCATGGTCACCGAATGTCAAGCGTTATTACGACTGTTCGGTATCCCATACATAACGGCGCCGATGGAGGCAGAAGCTCAATGCGCAGAACTCGTTAGGCTGGGGCTGGTGGATGGTATCGTAACAGACGACTCGGATACTTTTCTATTCGGTGGCACGCGAGTCTACAAGAATATGTTCAACAGCAACAAATTCGTTGAGTGCTATTTAGGATCAGACCTCGAACAGGAGCTCTCGCTCTCTCGTGAGCAGCTCATCTCCATCGCACAGCTTCTTGGATCTGATTACACCGAGGGTCTACCAGGGGTTGGGCCAGTCAACGCGGTGGAGATTCTGTCCGAATTTCCAGGTCGAGACGGACTGACAGCATTCCGTGACTGGTGGCAAGATGTTCAAATCAACAACCGACCAAAAGACGCAGATAAGGGCTCCACATTCCGAAGAAAGTTCCGCAAGTCCCAAGGCACGAAGCTCTTCCTGCCGGTCGGCTTCCCCAACCCAGCAGTATTCGACGCCTACTTCAACCCCGAAGTCGACAACACCGAGGAGCCCTTCCAATGGGGCGTACCGGATGTCGACGGCCTGCGGAGATTCCTCATGTCCACGATTGGATGGAGCCAGGAACGCACCGACGAAGTTCTGGTGCCTGTCATCCGGGACATGAACCGTCGCGAGACCGAGGGTACCCAGACCAATATCACGCGTTACTTCGAAGGCGGTGTTGGGATCGGTGCCAAAGAGGCCTTTGCGCCGCGGCAGCGCGTTGTGCCTAGTAAGCGCATGGCTGAAGCGGTTAACAAACTGCGTGCGAAGGGGGTTGTGGATAGTCTGGCTGAGGGTGACGTCGAGGCTGGGTCTGAAGTTGGGGAGGGTAACAAACGGCGGAAGCGGAAGGCGAGGAATACTGTTACGGTTGAGGAGAATGACGACAGTGGTGATTTTGCAGAAGGGGCATCTGATGGACATGAAGATGGTAATCAGGAGACCAGCCGGCGGAAGGGTAAGGGAAGGGCGAAAGCTAAGAAGGCTTGGGCATGATATTGCAGAATATTAGAAAGGGATCCGAAACAGTTTAACCCACGGGTTTACAGTGAAGGTGTGCTTGATGAGTAAAGGTATTAGTGATCGACGAGCTCTCAATTCAATGCATAGTTGACACTGTACCTCTCCAATTCAACATAGTGCGCAATACTTACATACCACGAGAAGGCCAAAGAAAATTACCTATGGCATTGGCCGTGGCTGGAATTTTATACCTGATACCTCAGCTGAAGAAGTCCACCAGTCAGAAATCTCTCAACGAGTCCTCTTGTGTGTGCAGTCTAGAATGCCAAATCAGTACCCAAATCCCCTGTCCTCCCATTTTCCCATGATATTTGTCCAATTTGGAATGATTGGTAGCGAGCCCGAGTGTACGGGCTCATCCTGACACTGATGTACAACTAGATATCAATTCGACAGGTGTGGAAAATTCATGGCAATGTCTGTCGACGACAGTTGATGACGTCAATTCAGGAGGAGGCCAACATTGTATTGAGCCAAGATAGTTGCTTCGTGGTTTTGTGAGAAACAAACTTTGAGCAACATATACTCTGGTCGATATTTATTTTCATATGTTCCTGAAAAAAGCAAGGTGAAGAAGAAAATCAAGAAACAAAAAGCCAGAAATATATTATATTATTAAATACGCCGTAGGCTCGAAGCCCCCGGTGCCTCTACTAGTACTCCCGTATGTCAAACCGTGCCCTAATGGCTGGACTAAATACATACGCTGCGTCGTCGGTTCGCCCTATTGGCGACTGCGTTGCGTTCACTACCATACTACGTTGGTTCTCAACCTACCAACAAAGTCCCCCCTGAGAAGATCGATGCTATCTGGGCCTTGAAGCTGTCCGACCCGTCCCTAGCAGCCACCTTACAATAGTCCCACTAACTACTGGTTCTCCTGTTGCCGTTGCGAGGTCTCTGCGAGAGTATAGTGGTCGTGGTGCGATAGCGGCCCGTAATCGTTCCCTCGGTCCTTCCAACAGCCCGCAAAAGAGGATTACGTGCTCTGCCGTCTCAGGGGCGTCGCCACAGCGGCATAGCGGCGAGTACACGCCAAAAGCCCCTGTCTTGAATAAGAAGGCTGCTAGTCCTATTTTTTCCGTCCTGATCTGGCACAGCGTAGACGCCTCCAGTCGGTTCAGGCCGAAATACTTGCCCCCTTTCGGTATCTGCATCGAAGGGCCCTCCGGTTCCTCAGCGATCGTGATGCTCTGCTCCGGTGAGCCATCTCTTCCTCCAGTGGCCGAGGAGGGCAGCCGGGACCTCCTTTTCCTCACTCATCCACTCGGAGCCCCGGGCCTCCTTCTCCATAGTGTACCCTGCCGGTCGGAGTAGCTGCGACGCCTGCTTCCTCTTCGCCGGCCTATCCTGCCGGAGTATATGTGACGCTTTAGCGCTCGCGCTGCGAAGCAGATTTCTCTTCCCGCTAAGCCGTAGCCGTTCTTCAAACTTAGCAGCCCGGGCACTAAGATAGAGGTCTAGTGGCGGGATTGCTGCTTCTGCTTCCAGGTGGCGAACCGGCGTCGCTTTGTGGGCGCCACAGACTACCCGGGGGCACTCGTTCTGTATCCCCATCAGACTCTTAGCTGGCCCTGCTGGTTCCTCACTTATAGTATGCCACGCAGTCGCCCCGAAGGCGATCGCGCTACGGATAACCACCGTATATAACAGCCTCGCCCGTATAAGATCGCAGCCCCACGACATATCAACTAGCTTTGTCAGGGCTAGATTTTGAGTTGCCATTTTTGTTTTAACACGCTCAACATGGGCGTGCCACGTCAGTTTGCGGTCGAACCAGACTCCTAGGAACCTCGCTGAGACTACCGGCGACACTGTGGCGTCCCCAAGGCGAATACTTTGCGGCAAGGGCTCTCGGGCCCTAGTAAAGTGCATTAGCTCACTCTTGTCAGGAGCGAACTACATCCCGTGCCTCACTGCCCACCGCTGACACGTAGCCCATGCGCTCTCCAACCGGCGGCAGGTCGTGTCTGGATCGGTGCCGACGCTTAGCAGGTTCGTGTCGTCCGCGAACCCGACTACTAAAAGTAGTGGGTGCTGCTCCGCTAGCTCCTCGTACAGCGTTGAAATGTATAATATAAACAGTATCGGGGATAGCGGTGACCCCTGGGGGACGCCAGCTCGTAGGGGGATTGGCTCTGACTCCTTGCCATCGAACCGGAGGCGTACCGTCCTATCCAAAAAGAAAGAAAAAGAGATAGTTATAACATAGCTACAAAACAAAAGAATTTGAAATAAAATAAAAGGAAAACCACCCCTAACGAAGGGGTATTTTCTGTTTTCTGTTTACTTATTCTTTGGTCAAAGAGAAGGACAAAAAGGAAGCAAGAGAGAAGGAGAAAAAGACGGTCTTTCCACGCCCCGACATTAGATATTGGTCTTCAGCTCCTGCGCTATAGCACACCCCGTTTCCAAGGGTATTGGTCGTGGGTTCCGGAACTTCGTCGCCTATCTTGCCAGGGGTTCCGGGCCATGTCTGAGGCTTCTCTAATGTCGAACTTTTACAAATCGGACACGAGGTCATTAGCCGCTGTTGGAATTTTGGACGAACTGCTTGGTACACCCGGGATTCTCTGGTTGAGGACAATGGATAGCTGTATGGTATGATGGACCCATTGGTATTGGTTCTTGGATGTGATATATGTTTGAAAGGGGGACGTGGAGCTGTTGAACTTTGATATGTATTTGAATAAAGGGGAAAGGAATACACGGTAACTTATATTAAGATGCTCTTTGAGAACTATCGCCTTGCTTTGTGCTTCATGAATACAGTTCTCCTTTCACATTGCCTATTAATACTTGTATACTCTTGATGGCGTATAGCTCATCAAGACAGCCAAGACACATGGTTACTGTTTCAGAATTCCAACTACAATCAACAGACGATTTATGTCGTACGATTAACAAACCACAGTACGTTATCTATCGAGGTTCTGGTTATGGGGCCAAACTCCGCAATCGGCCCGAAGGTCTTAACATGTCGTTTATAGCTGCACTTAACTTATCTATAAGATCTCGAACTTTGTAGATTCAGGAATCCCTTAGGATAGCAGTTACTCAAGTTTACCTGGTTAACTGAAGGACTTTTGTGGGATGAGAATTACTCGATGACTCGAGTAGTCAAGGAGACTTCGAGTCGGTCAACTAGTGCTGACACTCCCAACCTGGAAGTAGTGGTCCTATGCAACGTTGGAGTCTCGGCCTCAGCAACCTTCAACATCCCCATAGGCGAACAGGCACGATAGAGAGTCCCCTTGTGTAACTAGATCAAATCATGAAGTCTAAACATCTGCCGCCTCTCACTGCCGAAGACACAAGGCCCAAAAAGAAACCCAGAAACCCGCCCACATTCCGAGTCTACGTTACACGGATTGGTATGCGGTGACTTGACCAGAACCATCGGTTGCAGCGGAAGATTCAACAGGAAAATCTGCTTGTAGTTGGGATCCATTACGTGTATGCTTAGCCAATGCGGGATTTGAGGGGTTACAAAGTGGAGCGAATCCTCATTGCTTTGGTTTCTTGATGTTTAAATTGGCATCCCGTCCCAGCAGCTGCTACCAGGAAACCTTATTTAGGACGACGCAGACTTTCTGGCAAGATGACCGACCACGTGGTTCCATTATTCATCAACGGCGAAGAATACCGCCTTGAGAATACCTTCGACGTGTTCTCTCCTGACACAGGAAAGTTGCTGCACAAATGTAGCATCGCGACCAAGGGCGAAGCCATTGCCGCCGTCGACGCGGCCGCCAAAGCGTTTCCGAAATGGCGGAACACTACGCCGGGGCAGCGCCGTGATATCCTCTTGAAGGCGGCCCAGGTCATGACTGACAGACAACAGGAGCTTTCTCAGTACATGAAGGACGAAGTAGGCGCAGCTGATGCATGGGCCGATTTCAACCTAAACAACACGATTGATATCTTCAAGGATGTCGCCGGGCGAATTAGTGCCTTGAATGGTACGGTTCCTGCGTTGTCGGACCCCAGTCGTGGGGCTATGATCGTAAAGGAACCATTTGGCGTTGTACTGGGTATCGCGCCGTGGTATGTTTGTCCCGAGAACATGCGTAGGCAGAGGACTGACTTACACGTCTAGGAATGCACCGTATATTCTTGGCACGCGCGCGATACTGTACCCCATTGCGGCAGGTAACACGGTGGTATTGAAGGGGTCTGAGCTCTCGCCGCGTGTTTTCTGGGGAATTGCCTCAGTATTGCATGATGCTGGCTTGCCGGAGGGTGTTTTGAACTTCATTGCGACGGACCCTGCGCATGCGGCCGAAGTCACCAGTACTCTAATCGCGCATCCACAAGTCAAGAAAATCAACTTCACAGGAAGTACTGCTGTTGGTAAAATCATCTCCAAGCTCGCTGGCGAGCACCTTAAGCCAGTTTTGCTGGAACTCGGGGGCATGGCACCTGCAATCGTTTGGAAGGATGCCAACTTGGATATCGCCGCTGAGCAATGTGTGCTTGGGTCTTTCCTGTTCGCTGGACAGATTTGTATGAGCACCGAGAGAATTGTTGTCCACAAGCAGGTTAGTGAGGAGTTCCAGAAGAAGTTTGCGGGCATGATTGAGGCAATCTTTCCGTCGAAGCAGGATGCACCGATCCTGGTCAATGCAAACGCTGCGGAAAAAGTCAGAAAGCTGCTCAAGGACGCTGTGAGCAAGGGCGGATCGGTCATCGCCGGGGACATTGATGCAGAAGAAGCGTCGAAAACGAGGATGCGGCCCATTGTCATCGGCAAAGTGACGCCCGAGATGGACATTTACAAGACAGAATCGTTCGGCCCGTCTGTCAGTCTTATCGAGGTCGAGACAGAGCAAGAGGCGCTTCGAATAGCCAACGATACTGAATATGGTCTGGCCTCGGCAGTGTTCACTGAAGACTTGCGGACTGGGCTGCGATTCGCCAAAGGCATTGAGAGTGGTGCTGTACACATCAACAACATGACGGTACACGATGAGTCTGCTTTGCCGCACGGAGGTGTCAAGGCTAGCGGATATGGCCGTTTTAACAGCTCAGCCGGTCTGGAGGAGTGGACGAGAACCAAGACGATTACGTGGAGGGCATGAGGTAACGGGCATCAATATACATACTTGAGTAATAAACACTTGAGCAATCAGATAACAGCATCAAAATCCCCAGGTGTTATCGGTTCTTTGAGTATATGCATTTTACGGTGCGGGCTGGCCCAAGCTCCTATAAGTACTATGTACATAGTAGTAGTCGCAGAACGTCATTCGAGATTGACAACTTCGTAGTCCCACACAAAAACACATCTCTCTTTGCAACTTCCATCGCTTCCAGCAGTCACAGAACCTACTAGAGCAATGGGTTCCCAAGTGTCGAAGCCTGCGAAAGCAGCATCGCGCAAGTTTCCGACTCGTCCGGGCGGTGCACTCCCTCCGCCTCATAGGCCAGCAGCTTTAAGACCAGCTCCAGCATCAAAGGCTTCATTCGCCAAAGATGACGGTTAGTAGACAGCTTCGTCTTATGAATCATAACCCCATACATTTTTGTGTGCTATAACTTCCAGTATGCTCATATACTAGCAGCGATTCGTGCCGATTCGATTGACCCGGACCAAGGGACAAACCCGGCCTTTTCACAGCGACTAAAAGGCATGGGCATCGCGACGCCCAATCCCACACTCTCCAATTCTTCAATCGCAGACCCGGGGCCGCAAACATCTTCCCAGTCATTGTTGGGATCCAATTACCCACTGCCCTCCAAGAATGTGACGTTAAGCGCTCTTGAGGCTCGGAAACGAATACAGGATCAGGCCGACAAGCAGTTCGAAAACATGGGATCGGCCAAGGATTTCGTCGACGCCGGCACCATGAGACAGATCCTTACAATGCGAGAAAGGGGCCACGCCACTGTTGATATCGAGAAGCGGTTGCGACTAAGGAGCGGCCTCGTCGCCAAGTTGGGAGCCCAAGGCATCGTCGCACCTGTGATGTGACGACTACAAACACAACCCCAGGGAAGGTGCAATGGTGTATCATCAGAATTTAGGTGTATATTACGACTTTGGTTGGTCATCAACATGTGCCCCTCGTTAAATAAATACGCAAATAGTTGACATCAAGCAGCAAAAATATTCCAGAACTGCCGCGCCATTTTTGGGAAGGTTGCCCGTCTTGAGACATACTGTCAATCTGCCGCGGAAATAATACCCAAACTCCAGAAATCGCCATCGTCCCGCTGTCTACCACGCGGCATGTCCGCCATCAATGCGCAGATCACTGCCTGTCATGAAACGACTGGCATCGCTGAGCAGAAAGACGGCGGCGCCGCGGTAGTCCTCGGGCTTGCTGAGCTTGTTCAGCATGTTGTGCTTCGGCCACTCAACTTCGCGCTCTGGGAACTTCTCAAACAATCTCTGAACCATTTCCGTAACTATATAGCCGGGGCTGATGGTGTTGACCCGAATACCATACTCGCCCCACTCAGCGGCTAGATTGCGAGCCAGCTGGATAACACCGGCTTTCGAGGCATTATACACCCTGGCAAGTTTGGTTACTGAGGTTAGAGTCACGACTGGCAGACTTACGGGCAGATTAAACCACGATTAGCAATGGTGCCGCTCATACTGGCGATCAGAACCAAGCTTCCTTGCTGCTTCAGACGCACCATTTGTCGGGCGACGGCTTGGGCTGTCATCAGCACACCTGTCACATTCACCCCAAGCATTCTGTCTGCATCGGCCGCTGTGTACTCGAGGGCAGGGGTCTCCTGTTGGATTCCGGCCGCGGCGATCAACCCATCAATGTGGCCGTGCTCATTCGCGATCTCCTCCGTGATTCGATTAATATCATCGACTCCGGTTCGCACGTCAACCTGATGGTAAATCAAAGCGGTCTCAAGCTCACCCGCGGCACGCTTGGCGACATCATCGTACCAACTGCCGGGGCCAGGCTGGGGTTGTCTGTCGTACACATGCACTATCAACTGTCAGTCTACTTAATCGCAAAGTGGGCACATCTACAAACCAGTGGCGCCTGCTTCTAGCAAGGCCTCTGCTTGGGTCAGCCCAAGGCCCTGAGCGCCGCCTGACACGATAATGACCTTGTCCTTCAAGCTGAACTCGGGTAGTAGAGCCTTTGGGCTATTCCTAATAGGTTGACGCTCTTGGTTGGCAGCTGTGCCGTGAAAGGATCTTTCACTCGACCCAAATTGAAGAGCTGCCCTTCGTGCTCCTAAATGGACGGCAGGGGCATCAATGGCGCGAGCTAGAGCCACGCAGGTTGTGATACGGGCTAGTCTTCTTGCGGAGGAAGATTGCCGGGCTGTTCTGGTTGCAATGTTCAACATCTCGCGATTTGGTCAGAGGAAATTGCTCTATGGTGACTTCTGCTTGTTCTTTCGGAAATGGGGAGGATTGGCGTTCTTTAGCATTTCCAAGAAGACTTGGGGTTTATACTTTGGCTAAGCTGGCCAGTACCAGGTGGCTGGAGTAAAATCGGTACTGAGTGAATATAGTAACTATTCATCATGTACGCGAGACCCACGAAGTTGCAGTCAAGAGACAAGGGTGGGGAAGGGAGCAATTGAGCTAAGATACGTCTCATTCCGAGAACGTGACACATACGTGTCAATGATGAATATGGAATGAGCCAAAGTAACCTATCCACATGGTTCCTCATGGCCTCAGAACATTCTGGAGGACATGACTCCGGACTCAAGGCCGAAAGAGTTGTTTGGAGGGGCACAACATTGGCCATGGCCAGAATGGAACATACCTCGACATGTCAGTACCCTATCGACGACCAGCCTTCTCCCCCTCCTGTCACCAAAGGAACCGGTTTGCAAAATGTGACAAATCTCAAGGTGAAGGTTTGAGCCTCTCCACGGGCTCAATCGGGAATTTCTACGCGCCATTCTCAAGCGACGACCTCGAATCACAATAGCATCACAGTTGATGGTTAGTGGCGACTACCTATCGGGTGGCCACATTGGGTAACCCGCCCAATGCCAAGCAAGTGTGGTCTAAGGTTTGGTTTCCCCAAACTCGAATATAGACAGGGTTTAACCCCACATTGCAATACTCTCCTCCCCACGATGGTCTCGGCCGATGACCGCAACCCATGACCACAAATCCCCACCTGACATATAAGATTGCAAAGAAATTACGATAGTAAACGTCGCTTGGACGTATCTTGCATCTGGCAGCTGCAAGAATACCAGTTTCGGGAGGAGCTATGCATTCTGCCGTTACTAGCGCCGCACCAGTTGCTCTTAGGTAAAGAAAAGCGGATTTGTTAGATGCGTGGAGGTTGGCTATAGTCCCGCCTATGGTCAATTTTGTGGGGATGATGGATTAGCACGATGATCCGTGGTCGCCTCGTTGCCTTGCTGCCTCGCCGTCTTGCATGATAGCACTCACCTGACCCATGCCATCACCTGGCAGTTCTGCGATACGGCACTACATATACTGCGTATTTTGGTGCCAAGGAACCCTCGCCCGGCCTGACCGCGGCTCTACAGTGCGTCGAGTATGCGTCTCTTTATCTGGCGGCATTGTGAGATCAAGATGCGGTCCCATGAAGTCGGCAGCCCCAGCATTTACATGTGTGGTCGATTCCCGCAACAAGGTGGTAGCTAGCTACGAGACAGGAGCCCACGGTTGTAACAAACGAGAGATATGGTTTGATGCCACGCACGATGAGGAGACGGCTTAGGCTACCACATGGGGTGTGTCTCCGGATTTCCAACCTTGTGAAACCCGGGACTGCGGCCGTTGCAGATCCGCCCCAAAGAGCCGAAACGGACGGTGGACAGTGGGTGGAGTGGATAATGGCACGGACGGATCGGCAACCTTAAACAATAATACTTCGTACTGAAAAGGTAACCCGCCCACAAGAGCGATACTCAATACACCATGCAGGTTCTGCCCAACAGACGCGTTGGACGTCTGCTTATTCCTAACGCATGTGCAGCTGCAGTAGTCACCATGCAATCTCAATTGGACCAATCAATCTTCAGGCACCGCGGAGGCGGAGCGGGCGCCTACATGTAGAGCCTCATATCTCGAACCCAGCCTATCCAACGACGTTTCTTTCGTTCGTCTTCCCTCTTTCACATAGATTTCCGAAAAGTCCGCTGGGTCAAGTACTGGTTCTCCTTTGCCAAAGGAGTAGAGGCCAAACATGACGCCGGTGAAAGCGCCGCCCACCGGAGGCATAACAGTCAAGTTACTGGCAGGGAACTCCACCTCTAGTTTCACACCATCATTGGCTCTGAGACTCAGCTTGTAGCCCGTGGGTTGCGTTTCGATATGTAATTCTGTCGTCATCGACACACCCACGAGACCCTGCTTCTGCGTTGATGCGAGACGGCACCCGGTTTCCTCCATGACGCCAGCGTGACCGGTGGGTTTGCGACAGATGGCAGTCCGTACCTGGTCTCCATTCGGGAGCTCCTGGAGAGTGATACCCATTGTTGCGTGGGAATACTGACTCCACCAGAGCACAACGCCGGCCTCGTACCCGGGTTGGCTGGGGCCGAACTCCATTTTGGCGTGGAAGGATTCGGTGTAACTCGATTGCTTTATGAGCAGCATGGCTGGCGCCTCGGGCCATGTCAAATCATAGCAGTTACCGTAGAGTCGCAGAAAATCGGGTCGTTCCGTGAGTGTGTAACACTGTTTTAACGGAGTATCTGGTGGCCAGTCAGACAAATATGCTCCATAATAAGGAAGAGACGTAGAGGCTCGCTCTTCTGATACCAGCCCAATCCCAACAGACTTTGATCAAGATCAGCCCGCCACTTGATGTTGTCTGGCTTCGTTTGGGCGAGCAGTTGCTTCGCAGGATTCCGCCCGTGTGTCACCAGAGTAACGTTTTTCCCGTCGTTGAACACCGGCCAGTCGTCCACCCAGTCGACCTTGACCAGGAACGTTTCCCTTCCTACACAATTGTCATGAGTCCGGTATGCAACATTACGACAGACCATAAAATGGGACTGACCAAGTTGCGGTTCCAAATAACCTCCTCCCTCCCCCTTAACCGGCCTCACCCCCAAGAAAACCGCCCACCACTCCTCCTCCCCATCCTCAAACACATCCGCATGCCCCGTCCTCTGCACCTCATCATCCGCACCGTTATACCATAGTGGCTTTCCCTGCGACTCCCACGGCCCCAGGGGCCCCTCGCAACTGCGGAAACACCACTCCTGATGTCTCGCTTCAGTGCCCCCTTCAGCTGTGAACAGGTAGTAGTACTTCCCCCGCCGGAGGATGTGCGACCCCTCAGCGATGCCGTGCGGTGACTCGCGGATTACGACGGGTGGGGTTAGGGTTCGGCCGGTGGCCAGGTCGATCTCGGAGATGTGAATGGCGAAGTCTTTGAGCGGGGAGTTTGGGGGGCGGTGGGAGAGGCGGACGGTGGTAGAGAGGTAGACTTTAGAAGGGGAGCTAGAGTCGTCCCAGAAGAGCTGTGGGTGGATGAGTATTTACTCCCCGTGGTGGTGGTGGTGGTGTATCGTGAAGTATGGTTGGGAAGAAAACGAAGAGTTCATGGACGGGAGACTTACATCCTGGTCAAATCCGGGGTTATCAAAGTAGATGGGGTCGGACCAGGCATTTGAGTCCCAGATGTCGTCCGTGTAAACGTAGAATCCGCGAGGGAAGATGCGTTCCTACCACGCTATGTTAATCTCGAGATTTCCTGCCCCTTAAGAAGCGTCCTCTGAGGTCTCCCCAAAGCATCGACTCAACCGTCTCTGTCTCATTACCTCAACCTTCCAACCCAAGTCTTTCCCAAATAATAACAAAAGAAAAGAAAAGAAAAGAAACTCACATCCACCCTTGGCCGATACCGCATAAACAGCCCATTTGCCAAATACCACCTCCCCTTCCCCCCTTTTCCCTCGCCCGACCTATACCTCAACGTACCCGCCCAGCTTCCCGCCCCAGGCTCCACGGTTCGCAAATCAAGCTGGCTTTTCCTCGTCAGCGCGTGCCCGATCAGATCCCAATTGATCAGGTCCGTGGACGCGTAGATGGCGGCACCCGGAAAGAAATCAAAGGTCGAGGTGCTGAGGAAGTACGTTGTGGGTTTTGTGGCCGTGGCTGGGACCACCTGTATGAATGGGAAATTAGTCGGTCAGTTGGTAATTACTTCATTTGCAGGCGGAAGGGAGAAATTGGGAGACCAATCGGGTGCAGAAGCCTGTGAACTCAGCTTGCGTAGGTAGGTAGTGCTGTGGTCTAAGGACAAACGAAGGGAGGGATGGACAGCAGAAGGCGCATACACAGATGGTCGGGTCTGGGTTGAAGCCCCTGATGATGGGATTCTGGAAGGTGGGTTCGGGGTCTGACATTGCTTCTATTCGTGGAATAGAGTCTTATTATAATGAACTCGTAGCCTAGAAGAAGATGTGATTAAATAACTGGAACAGTACAATTTGCTGCTAAACTGAAGCAGTGCTATCAAGCGGTAATTCAGATGCCCAAGTCTATCCAGGATGAAGCTGCGAATGTAGATGCTTGGCTTGGTATGAGGTTTTCGGTCTTCGGTGTCTTATTCTCCATCAATCACAGTAAGTGTAGAGGGCCCGGATATCGTTAACTTTAGGTAAGAATTACTCTTGCTGTATGATTCGTCAATTTCCACTAGACCATAGAGGCACGCAAAGTGTGTAGATCATCCCAGAATTACTATTTCTAGTTCGAGCTCATCGGTGACCTGTGTCGTGACGATAACGCTAGTGTCGATCTCGTGTGACCCAATTATTAGCTCAGATATCTTGAAGGTGTTTCTGGCATGCTCTATTGGACGCCTTAGAATGTCGCTATACAGCAGTTGCATCGCTCCTAAGATGGAGGCACATAGGCAAGTTCCGATTGCAAAGAACTAATCAATTTTCTCCATGCTCCCTGACTTGAGCTACGACCAATTCATCTCTCAGGCCCTATTTTCCGTATTCGGCCCTTGGGTATCGTGTGCTTCTCATGACCTTGTCACAAGTCAATTTTTCCCCATTGGCCACTTTCCTCGCCCCTTCTCCCGTCCCTAAACTCGTTCAAGCTTGTGTAGATTAAGCAATCTCAGATCGTCCGCTGCTGTCACCAGCACCGGCCCCGTTGGTAGTCTTCTTGGCCCTACCCGTGATATCCTGCCAAGTAGCCCCAAATCTCCGACCAGTACTGGCCAAGAGTCCCTCCTCTTCATCGGCCTCAGCGTCCTCGTCGAATTCGCTCAGACCCATTTGCGGGGTGCGGAACAGGCTCGTCAGGAAGACAATGAGAAAAACGGCGAGAAAGACAAATTGACCCCAGAAGTCGATGGCACCGAAGACGGGCCAGTTGAGCGTAACACGGTTCAGGAACGAACTCATGACTGTCGGGGTACACACTTGCATGCTGTAGTGGCGGTCGACCCATTCGGAGCACGGTTTGACGGCCTCGGGGTGGTTGTCGCAGCTCGGTATCTCATCTGCGTGATGGGCCGGCAAATCACAAAAAGTTTGCGTACCGAACGCAGCGTACTGGGGCGCGACTAACATGGCGACGGCATAGTTGATGGCCAGGGTGATAAGAGCCAACATGACGGTAGCAATGAGGAGGGCTTGCGGAGCAGTTCGTCCCTTGCGAATCTGGAAGATGCGTAGCCACAGAAAGCGGATACCAACGGTGGCAAGGCCAGTGATGGAGCTGCTGAAAAGGAGTAAGATCAACAGTACCATCAGAATGTAGTCTACAGGGAAGGCACGTGCTGTTTGCACAAAGATCCAGTTGACAGGTTGGAACACGTTGATGTGTGCTAAGATGTAGCCGCAGTGCTCCTTGCAGACCGAGTTGGCGGCCTTGTCGATACCCGTGATGAGCATGGATACCCAAACAAGAAGAGCGATCAGAATTAATAGGAGGCCTCCAATAAGCTTGATAGGTCGGAACACAGCACATATCTTGGTCCACGTCCTGACAATCCAGCTCTTGCCTTCGCCCTGGGCCTCAGCCGCAAGTCGCTCGCGGCGGACCAAGGTCCGTTCTTCTCGTGCGAGGGCTTCGAGCTCGCGCCTATCTTTCTGCGACATGCCCTCAGAGCGTCCCGCACTGCACATCTCGAGTTGTCTCTGGCGCTCCCGGTTCTGTTCCAGTTGCGATGCCGTGTTCTCCGACAATTGTGGCGCTGAAACCGACGGTGCTGATTTGATGAAAGAGACTGGCAGAAGTGCTAGGCCAACACCCGTGTAAAGTGTGTACATCAGAGTACCCAGGGTGATCAATAAGCCTAGCCCAAAAGTCAAAGCCTTTTCGCCATGGTTCTCGTCTAATAGCCTCTTGAAAAAGTCCAAATCCAAATGCTCTCCTCGACCTTTCCCGGAGGCAGGCACGAAGAATCCGACAAGGAAGATGATAACCACCAGCAAGATGAAAGCGATAGTATACTTCAAAGCGCCCCAGAGTCGACTCCCGAACGTCTGGTTGCCCTCCTGCTCCTCCACCTCATCGTACTCCTCGTACCAGAAGTACGAGAAGGGAATGACGATCAAGCATAGCAGCGCATCGAAGCTGTATAGCGAGTAGTATACGATCTTGAGCGTGAGAAGAATATTGCGGATACGCGTCGGTGTCGCCCAGTCCTTCTTGATGCCGAGGGCCGAGTTGGTCGTGGCGGAAACGAGCGCGATGTCGACGGGGAGGAGAAGCACGGTCGCCAGGAGCGCCGTAAGACTAATGATGGCTACTGTGCTGATGATGGCCGATCTGTCGCGATGTGTTTGCCAGGTGAAGGTGGTGATGACCGCGATAACAAGGGCTAGTAGGACCGCAATAGCGTATGCCACCCAGATTAGTGAGACTTGAATATAGCCGGCCGAGGCCATGCCGCTTGAGTTGATGGAGACGATAAGGTTGTGTTGACTTGCAGAAACTGCTCCACGGGATCATGCAGAGATTAGAAATGAACAATACTTCAACAACATAGATTGGAAACTGCACAAAGAAAGTATGTCATGACTGCTCAGATATTTGTCCGGGGCGTTTTGGAGCTTGCGCTAGCTTGAGCTCGAACTGATGAATGCATGTATCATGACGTAAACATGACGTAAGGCCCGTGTCATTTAAACATATTAGCGTCCCGATATTCACATATGCGTGTAGCCAGTATTGCCGTGTGAGAGGGCTGGTCCAACTTAAAACATCATTCCATACCGTTGTATGTGGTTGGTTATTGTAATGAGGCGCAGATATCCAATATCAAATGTCCTTGAATTCTTATTTACTACACAGGCATCCTTATCAATATCAATCAACCAACCAAAACAAACATTGCAACGAACAGTCACATTGCAGGCCCATATTTCGGTTTGTTTTGTTTCATTCTTTCATTCGTCCTAATCTACATGCAATACGCCGAGTATAGGATGGGGGTCATGAAAGTTCGGGCTGAACTTCAGAGGGATATAAAGGAGGTCGGGAGGGAGAAGGGGTGAGAGAACGCAGCGTAAACCATCCTGCAAGACTTTTGTGTCCTCGTTCATTACCATGACAAGGAGAAATAGGAAAGACCATATTTGCCTGGGAGATGCCAATGTCTATCGTTCGTGAAGAGGGGCATAAATCATTGCCAGACCATCCTCTGAGATCCGGCGCATGCCCAACTAAATGTTTCCATGTTTGGAACTTGGGGGACTAATGGCGAGAAGCTTATCGCGAGGACATGGCCTTGGTCACAAGTCTCTTCAAGGCCAACTCCTTCTTCTTCAAGTCATCGGCAGACGAGTCCTCAACCTCGAGCTGGCTCATGGCGTCGCTCAAAGACTGCTCGATCTTCTCCTTCTGCCCGCGCTTCAACTTCAGCGACATCGTTGGGTCGGAGACGATCTCCTCAACACGGCTGATGTAGGACTCGAGTTGCTGCTTAGCCTCGAATCGCTTGCTGAAAGCCTCGTCGCTATTCTTGAACTTCTCGGCGTCTTTTTATCGCGTTAGTTACACGTCACTCTGTGGGGAAGGGCGTGGTGAAGCTTACCGTTGATCATAGTCTCAATCTCAGTGGAAGACAGCTTACCAACTGAGTTGGCAATGGTGATGTTGGCACTGCGACCGGAGGTCTTCTCAGTAGCAGTGACCTTGAGGATACCGTTGACATCGACCTCGAAGACGACCTCGAGCACGGGCTCACCGGCACGCATGGGCGGGATAGGAGCAAGGGTGAATTCTCCGAGGGAGGTGTTGTCCTCGCAATTGACACGCTCGCCCTGGAATACGGGGAACTGGACGGTCTGCTGGTTGTCGGCAACAGTGGTGAAGGTGCGCTTCTTGATGGTCGGGACCGTCTGACCACGACCAACAACGGGAGCGAAGATGTTACCCTCCATGGCAACACCGAGGGAGAGAGGAACGACGTCCAAGAGGAGGAGGTCGGCGGTATCAGCCGAAGTGGCCTTTCCGGAGAGGATACCAGCCTGGACGGCCGCACCGTACGCGACGGCCTCGTCGGGGTTGATGCTCTTCTCGAGCTTCTTGCCATCGAAGAAGTCGCTGAGGAGCTTCTGGATCTTGGGGATACGGGTGGAGCCACCAACGAGAACGATCTCGTCAACAGCGGACTTGCCGACGTTGGCATCCTTCAGAACCTGGGCAACCGGGTCCAAAGTTCCGTTGAAGGCCTTGGAGTTAAGGTCCTCGAAACGGGCACGGGTGATCTGGAGGAAGAGATCCTCGCCATCGAAGAGAGAGTCGATCTCGATGGTGGTCTGAGCACCGCTAGACAGGGTTCGCTTAGCACGCTCGCATGCAGTTCGGAGTCTTCGGAGAGCTCGCGGGTCAGCGGAGATATCCTTCTTGGTCTTGCGCTGGAACTCCTTCTTGCAGTGCTCGAGCAGGTTGGTGTCGAAATCCTGGCCACCAAGATGGGTGTCACCGGCAGTAGCCTTAACAGTGAAAACGCCACCCTGGATGTTGAGGAGGGACACATCGAAAGTACCACCACCAAGATCGTAGATCAGGACGTTGCGCTCCTTGTTGGACTTGCCGGAGCCAAGACCGTAGGCGATGGCGGCAGCAGTAGGCTCGTTGATGATACGCAGGACGTTGAGGCCGGAAATGGCACCAGCATCCTTAGTGGCCTGACGCTGGTTGTCGTTGAAGTAGGCGGGCACGGTAATGACAGCCTTCTCAACCTTCTTACCGAGCTTGACCTCGGCAATCTCCTTCATCTATTCGGGCAGGAATGTCAGTGCTTGTATGGGCCAAATTGGGTCATGGGTAGCGCGCTGTATTTACCTTGGTGAGGACCATGGCGGAGATTTCCTGGGGCGAGAAAGTCTTGGTCTCGCCCAAGTACTCAACTTGGACCATAGGGTTGGTACCCTGGTCGACGACCTTGAACGGCCACGACTCGATATCCTTCTTGACGATGGGATCGTCGAAGGGACGACCGATCAGGCGCCTGAAAATAGAGTCAGCTAGCCGTCTCATGTACGTACCATATACTACCGCCAGGGGATTTCGGAGTTGAGTAGCATTGGATGGCGGGGTGGTTGAGCGCTTACTTGACATCGAAGACGGTGTTGCGGGGGTTCATGGCAGCCTGGTTCTTGGCCGCCTCACCGATCAAACGCTCCTTCTCATTGAAGGAGACGTAAGAAGGGGTGGTGAAGCTACCCTGCTCGTTGGCAATGATCTCGACATTGTTTCCCTCGTAGGTGGCCACGCAGGAGTAGGTCGTGCCTGTTTGCCCCATTATTAGCAATCGTTTCTTCTCTCAGCGATGCGCCCTTGGTGGGCAGCGATAGCACGGGGCGACAGATTGATTATGCATCACGTACCCAAATCGATGCCAATGGCACCATCGTAGACTTCTTCCGCCATGTTGATGAAGTTGTTTTTATCTTGGGACTCCGGGAAAATGCGATCTGGGAGTGAACTTCAACGGGCAAAGACGAGGGGCAATTGTGGATGGAGAATTTTTGAAGTTTTCACATCTTGCAACTTTTTTTGCCAGTGGGGGGGCGGTGAAGTGTCCCACCCGATTTTGCTGCCTTTTCTAGATCGGGTCTAGTGGGGGGTTACGTCTAAGCTTCCATTACCCAGGGTTTTTTCCTGAAGGATCCTCCTCCCCTCCCTCACCAACGAACAAACGAAGTAACGTACAACCCCACCTTTCCGGGCACCCACCTTTCCGGGCACCCACCTTTCTGGCCACATATTGCAATCCAATTGAAGGTATTCGAAACAGTGTATTCAACGTACTATTATAGCTATTCAGGTACAACCAGCTCTAATAGAAAGCTGTGCTCTAGGGCTTCCTGAGGTAGAGATCTGATAGATTCTGACGCCTTAGCTGGGTCCAGTATTACCTGATTCCGACGTTGTACCTGGTCTCGTTGCCGTTCTACTTCAAGGGCTCGATCCATCGCTTCCTTAATCTGTACAATGTTACCAAATCGTTCATTAGGCCCTAATCGTACCTTCTTACGTGGTTTGGGGCGTAACAAAGTTATCTCGGCTTCTAATGCGTGTACACGATGGGTCAAAGTAGCGACCTCGACGCTCTGTACATCTAGCGGACGAGTCAGCTTCCGAAACAATAGCCGTTGCGACGGTCGCAATGGCGTAATCGCTGCCAGACTCTCCCTAGCTACTAAGCTAGTCACTGGCGTCGCTATTATTGTCGGACCAAGCCAATTACCAACTGTTGGTGGTGTAGTTGGTCGTTCTGATAGGGGGGCTATCGTCGGCTGAGGTCGCGATGGATCCAATGGGTATATTCCAGTTGCAGAGAAGCCTGATTGTATATTACTGATCGTGAACGAATTCGTATATGCCTCGATGTATAGCGAGAGGAACGTCGACTTTTTAAATGGAATAGAACAGTACTCGATCGAGAGAGAGGTCGCTAACGAGCGATAGTACCGCTTTAATGGAGCAAATACGGCGACGTCGAGAGGTTGGAGCCCGTGAGAACAGTGTGCTGGCAAAAATAGTCACGAGATCTTGTTACAATAGGCTAACCACATAAACTCGACGTTGTCGTGAGCGATATGACCATCTAATATCAAGAGCCGCTGCTCGTCGGGATCAACTGGTTGTCTACGAGGTATAAAGATATCACGAAGCCATCGAACGGCGATATCTGTACTGATCCAACCGTTAGACGAATAAGTATATTGCCAATCAGGTATATCGTCGCAATCGTTAAACCATTTCCCTAGATAGCTTCATCGACGCGATTGACGCGTCAGAATGGCTGAGGCCATCGCCGAGTCGTAATTGGAGGGTAGAGCGTGGAACGCCCCATCGGAGGGAAGCCTGGCGCTGGGATATCCCTTGATTGATATCGTTGAGAGCGCCTTGAATCGAATTTCCTGAATATCGAGGCATTGTATAATAATAGCCAATACCGACGATAATCTGTTGTGCCGAAGGTTGTTGTAGTTGGCAGATTAGGTGGCCAGAAAGGTGGGGTTGTACGTTACGTAGTATGGAGATTTCATCATTTGCATTGAAGACCAGGCGATCCGAGTGTGGCTTTTTGATTCGCATGATCACAAATCATGAGCAGCCTATTACATGTCTGGTTGACCGAGTCAACTAAGCTAGAGATCCACTAGATAGAAAACTTCTTTTCATGATCTACGAACATTAAGCAAACGGGGCTGCGGTGCCAGGCATCATGCTCCCACGTGTTGTGCCACCAGTCGTTTTAAGACCTGATCGCGTTTACTGGAATGAATACAGATGGATACAAATTCCTCGACGAAGACGATTGTGGCCAAAGCTGGTAAACATTGCCAGTGTCTGAAATACTTGGAGCCTGTATTTTGAACTAATTTGTTGACACTATTTGCCATTCCGGTTCTCCGTTACCCTCTACTAACAAGGTAGTTATATAGCAGGATGTCGTTTGGAGCAACGACGTTTCTCTGCATGATGGCTCTTCAGATTACATTACCTATGGTATCGTAGAGATTTCTCTTTGAAGGATATCCTAACAACGTTATGCCATTGTATGTTTAGAGACGCAAGCTGGTTCCTGGCCATGCTGTTGAGTATTAGTATTGGATGATGAATCAAGCATAAAGAGTAATTGATATCATTCGTACATCTAGAATGTAATAACGTCCAGAGCAAAGATGCTTGTCTATGACGGCTCTGCAAGCGCATCCATCTGCTTCGCCATCTGTAGCAGCTTTGCAAGTGCAACCAACCATTGTGCTCGCTATTTTGTAAACCCTACAATACTACAGGCCGGCCAACGAGCCAACTCTTACAACCCTAAACTCCCCGTCCTATCCATCCACTTGCCTAATCAATTTCCCTTCCTGCACTGCATACTCAAAGGGACTTGATTAGATTGAAGAAGACGACGAATTTTTCCATTTCCATGCCCAGTCCGTGCGGGCCCTTTTCACCCTTCGGGAGAGCAGCTACGAGACTGACCTCGAGGCGGTTGCTCCCATAATGCAAGTTGATGTCGAAAACAGGCTCGTTTCTTTTGTCTTCAGGACTCAGGATGGGGTACACGCGACTAAAGTTTTGTGTGACGTTCAACTTCCACTCACGCTGCTGGGCCTCCAGAAAGGGTGCTATAATGGGATGGAGTTGCAGACGGTAATATCTTGCTGGCGCGTTGAAGACAAGTTCTTGCTGGGACTCGACATCACTGGCGTACAATGTGATCGCCAGTCGATTCTCCAGTCGATTCTCCATTCGATTATTCGAGGAATGGAGATCAGGGTGGGATCTTATGACAACTTGGGGCATTAGAGCCTCAGTAACTTCTGTAATGCAGTCAGTAATAAATACATAGTGCGACCAGCAGGGATTATTGCTTACTGAAACCATGAGGACGATATTTCTGGGCTTCCAAGATGTCAGCTGCAGTCCGCTTCGGCGGTGGTGGCGGCGGCGGAGGAAGAGGGGCGGCTACACCATTTGGAGCTGGGGCCGGGGCTTGCCCCATGGGAGCAAATTGTTGTTGCGTCGTCATGCTGCTGACCTGCGCCGGGATTGCGGGTGATTGTCGCGCTGGTTCTTCCGGCTTGACCGCCCCACCTGCGACAGAAGGGCTGGGGGAAGCTCCAGAGACGGACAAGCTTCTGGCTTTCTCCAGTTGGCTGAGATTAACAGCAGCTGCATTTGAGCCACCAAAAGGATTTCGTGCCAGCGGAGTGCCATTGCGGGCGCCATCTGCCTCTCCTGACTGGACAGTTGGTGGTGCCGGTGAGCCTGCTGCACTGACTTTGCCGCCGACGTGAATGGTGATTTTCTTAGAATGCACAGGTGGTGTTTCGGCGCTCTGGGGTATCTTGAGCTTGATCTTTGGTTGTGGGGGCTCCAGTACGTAACGTTTGGCCTCTTTAACTAATCTTTTGAAATGCTCCTGGGCCTAGTTAGCACGAAAATGGGGACCACACAGTCGACGATGCACTTACTTCGAGCTCCTGGGCCATCGAGAATATCTCACTGCCATCCTCATTGTAGTGATATGCATTCTTCCAGATGAGACTTGCTTGATCTTCAAATGCAGCCCAGCCCTTGAAGTCACTGACGCCGGTTGCTTCACCGCGGCCATGTTGGCCACGGACTTGCTTCTGGAGAGCTTTCAGAGACATGGGCTCTGCGATGATCTCATAATAGTCCTTCAGGGAGCGAGGTGGTAGGTAGATGAATGGTTCGAAGTACTGCCAGTCACCACTGTTGGTAATATTAGTCGAGATCTGCAGAAGCTATCGAGGCATAACTCACCCATCATCCTTGACTCGGATGGTGTCCTCCACAATCTTCTCCTGAGCTTGCTGGAAAGTGAGACCTTTGTATGACGTGTTCTCATACTGTGAGTCGGTTTTGCCATGGGCTGATCCGGAACGGGATGGCTTTGGTGTCGTCGATGTGGCGTTCTTGGGTGGTCTGCCAGGTCTTCTCTTCCGCACAACAGGCTCAGGCTCGTCGTCTTCTTCATCTGAGCCCTCGGCATCTTCCTCGCTTTTATCCTCGTCAGCTTCCGCATCATCATCTGCCTCTCCGTGTGCGTCTCTGTCTGGAGCAGGCTGCATCTCCACGTCCTCTTCTTCGCCCTCTGCATCTTCTTCGCCGTTGACCTCGTCCGGGTCAGGGGTCGGAGGCAGTGGAGTAGCGACAGCCTGATAATTTCCTGCCTTATACGCAGGATTAAACTTGACCATCAAGTTGCTGACAGCCTTTCGCACGCGCTCCGCATCGCCGAAGACCTCAGACTGTCTCGTGTTCGTCTCCTTTGCGTTGGATACCAGCCGCTTGAAGTCTCCCTCCAGAGCTGACAGATTCGGGTACTCATGCTTATTCAGTTTGCGCTCAATAATCTCTAGCGATAGAGGTAATCGGATCTTTTTGTAATATTCTGGGTTTTCGGCCTTGGTGGGAAGGCGCTCGAAGAAGGGAGAAACTGGACGGCCACTGCAACGCGAGATGATTAGCGGGACTTCATAGGGGTACGGAAGGGTTTTGATGTATTGCATTGTATGCAACATGGATGACGCACTTCTTGTCTGTGGTTGCTCGGATGGACTCGAGAATGTTCAACCCATACGCCTTGGTTGACTGAGCTGTCTCTCCTTTTGAAAGGTCGCCGAACTCCTGCAATATTATCGAATCAGTACTTGATTGTACTCAATGCTGACATGCAAATCGAAAGTAGAATGTCCTCGGTTTTTCTTTCGAGGTTGCGAAAAGCGGGAACAAGGGGGCTAGCATTGGTATAAAAGCCATGTTCAAGCTTGGAAGTGGTCAACTCCGCCAAAGACCCTGCATTGCGCGAACATGGCATCTCGGGTTGACCCAGCTTCCAACCACCAGTGCACGCGATCAAGTTTTCGCATAGGCATAGAAGTATACAATCACTCACCTCCTGCAACTTGCGACGCTTTGCAGCTCGATCGATATCGGCTCCCGACCCAGCTTCAAAGCCATTCACGCCGCTAACCTTTCTCTTGTTCTCCATCTTCTATGCTATCGCTGCTGCTGTTTGCTGCTGCTGAATCAATCGCGAATGCATGCAGGCTGTTGGATAATTGTTGAGTTGTCCTAATCGACTTTATTGCGTTGCCAACGGGGCGCCGTCGCTGTCGCAATGCGCAGCTCTGAAGTGTTGGTTGCGCGAGTGCCTGTGTGGTTGGGAAACGCGACGGTCAGTCAGTGGCGGCCGTGGTCAGGGCAGGTGGTAGGAGCTTTTTTTGCTAGGTATTCGCTGTACTGCATGCAATACCCCGGATGAACACAGAAACGAGTGGTGTGGATGCGCATTTCACAGTGGTGAATTGACGGTTGGTGAGTGATTTGCAGCTGATGTTTAATTTTTAGGTGGGTGTCGTTTTCGTCCTGAGCTGATGTAGAGGTTCGCAGTTTGACACCATGGAATGATGCATTTTTGGCGTTGGACTTGAACCAAGAATGCCCATGCGAGCTCGGACCAATTTGCGATGTGTGGCAGTGCTACAGTTCCAGTTCAGCCACTCTAGATCCTCAAATCGAAATTTCCAGTGGTTATCACAAGCAAACAACAATCATATTTACGGCGAGGAGGGATATTGTAGTAATTCCATCCTATTCTATAACTGTAAAAAACATAGATAATAAAACCTGTATCATTTTAAGTCTGCATAATATTATGAGGCTCAAGATCAAGTTGCCATTTCATCTTTGTTGTTGATGGTCCGGCACCAGTTGTCTGTTGGCCCATGGTCACGTGCTGTTTTGCTTCCTGGATTTCCCCGACCTGGAAAAAAAGGCCTTTGGCTGCAGTGGCTGAACAACAAGTGGCTCCTGCTCTGAGCTAACGCAACCGAATCTTGCCTTTAATGTTTACCATCTTGCAAGTCGACCAAAGACCACACACCACTGACGCGCCTTCTATTCTACATTTGCATGTGCAAACACGCCTTCCCTCATATCTATTGACAACTTCTGCTACGCCCGCTCAATTCTGAAGCATTTCTGATTCTCGAAACGCTTCGCGACCGTATCAGCTGTCCCGTGGCTATTGTCGAGTCCTGATCCAACTTGCGCGAACCTCAGCCGACTTCCCCACGCGACAGTTAGTGCCCGAGGTCTCCTCCCACCTTGAACTTTCGCCCACCTCCAAGCCTTAGTGACCCGTAACTTGTCACCACTTCGGCCTCGACCTCTTTTCGCGTCCTCTACATCGAGTTGCCACACATATATCCCTCAGCCGGCTTGCAATTCGCCCGCATTGCTCGACCTTACACACCCGCATAGCTCGACCTTAAACACAACGCGAGCTACGCAACCGTCAAAATGCCCATGGATATCGACACGAGCCGTCGCAACAAGGTCCCCCGGCCTCTTTCGGACAACGAGCGGGCGCGACTTGAGGAATACATCGAATCGATTCAATACTCTGCCCGGTAGGTGAGGATGAATGATAGTCTGTGGCTATACACTAACAGTAACCCAGTTACTCGGACAGCGAGTACGAGTACCGGCATGTCCAGCTTCCTAAGGTGATGCTGAAGGCAATCCCAAAGGACTATCATGACGCAGCACATGGCACGCTGAAGTTGCTGTGGGAAGACGAATGGCGTGCCATCGGAATTACGCAGGTACGAAGTCAACCCGACCATCTGCGAAGACTTTTTGTTTCCTGCAAACGCTGACAGGCCGTCTTGCATTCAGAGCTTGGGATGGGAGCACTACGAGGTTCACGAGCCAGAGCCGCATATTTTACTCTTCAAGTGAGTACACATTCCTTCTGACCTGCAAGCCGGTCTTGGATGTATTCAAGCAAAGACTGACTCGAACTCTATTTCCAGGCGACCTCTCAACTACCAACCGCCCCAGTGATGCCCTCACCGCAGCATTAAGACATAGCTCATTCATGCGCCTTGGGTTTCTCACCTCAACTCCCACCCCTCACCTCATTGTACGATATATCCGACTATTGCATAGCGACACTTGCATCTTGTATGGGTATAATGCTTCGAGACGATTTACTGCCGCTCTCTGATGATGCACTCTCCTGACACCATCTCGACAACCTTGTTGCTTGTTACCCCGGATCGCCATGCCTAGACTGCAGACTAGAGAGTCATGCTACACTAGACAAGTCTGACGTTAACGGCCGCGGTCTCTTGACCAACAGGCCGGGGAAGCAAGTACTTTCCGGTTGCACGTGTCCACATGAAGAGGGTGCAAGGGGTATATCAACTCTATCTACATCTAGACTCGGGAGTGGTAGAGTCTCGAATTGGGTGCGGTAGGACTGGCCTCCTCCAGGAATCATAAACGGTGGATGGAGCGGTTGAACGATAAAGTCTGCCCCGCCTTTACAACTTACATTCCGTTCTCAGACTTCTGACGCAGTTTTTCTAGTTGCCTTTGGCTTATCAGAGATTCATAGGAACTTGAATGAAACCAAATGCACGAGACCATGTTTGTGTTGGGTGTAAGTAGTTGTGATGACGGTTGCAAGCGCAAGCGTTGTGGCATACCTATGGGGAAGTGGTGTTGATGACAAAGTCGGAGGATGTGTGACCAAAATGCCGACTGGGGCCTTGCAATGCCGTTCGCAACGGCCGAAACATGTAAGCTCTTTAACTTCCAAATGTAACGGCCGCACTTTACCCTTGATCAAGGCGCGCCTTTAGGTTCAGAGAGTTTTGTTTCTCTCGCATCTCGAACCTTTATAATAAAACGTGGCAACGTCTTGCATTATGTTTCCCTTGACCCTGGAATGGTGGTAAGTCCAAGAAATGTCAGCTGTTGCTGGAAGTAATCTGACGATGGCTTGGTATTGATGCCGAGTCGTCAAGTTTGTAACTCAAACGGCGTTAACAATTGGGAACTACCAACTGGCCACCTTTCATTAACACATTTGAGTCGCCAATGCAGCCAATTGTCGGACCATGCCGAGTTCACATCGAACCACGGCCACTTGATGTCATCCAATGGGAATTACTAGTCTAATTGTATCCATATATATTTCCTCTTTGTTCATCGCAATATAAGCAAACGGCCAAGAGGACACTTCTTCCACTACTTTCCAGTACTTACTCTCGGCCTCTTTTCTTCTTCTTGCTCATACCCAACCTGGAAACTTGTGACATTGAAGTTAATCCTATTGCGATTCATGGCTCAAGTGTATTACATGGTTGATCAGAACTGATATCCGTCTTTTTCTCCTGAAGTTGTTGACGTAGCGTTTGTCAGCACAAAAACCGGAGCATTGACCTAGGAGGACTCGTTTCACTTGCCGTGCCAGAAACCAATTAATACAAATTTGGAAAGACGGAAGCAGGGTGTGTGGAAAGACCAGAATTCACCCGCTGTCCGATCTTTTACTTTTACCGGCCACGCCCTGCCGCCGAGAAGCTATATACACGACTTAAGCCGCGATCAGGCCGCGATCTCACGATGAAACCGGCTGCGAAGCTCTTCTACTTGTCGCTTTTCGCGCTCTGGGGAACACCAGTCCAATGCGAGAGCAAAATACCAGATGAGACCTGCGCAGTATGTCGACTTTGACAAGTCTTCTTTGTCTCTCTCTGCTCTTGGCGGGCTGCCTGGCAGCATGTCTCGCCACAGACCTCGTAGCAGACGCCTTGCCCTCCCTCTCCCTATATCCTCTCTTATCTAACGCCTCCCTCTTCCAGATTTCGCCAAAGGCGATCGTATCGGATGCATGCGCGTCGTACTCGACCTTGGAAAAACTCAATAGCAAAGTCCGGCCTCATGTCGACGACTTGACACAGCAGACCGACTTCTTTTCATACTACCGACTGAACCTCTTCAAAGAGGGAGGATGTCCGTTCTGGAACGACGAAAACGGCATGTGTGCCAACATTGCCTGCAAGGTGGACACGCTCGACAAAGAAGAGGATATTCCCAAGATCTGGCGCGCGGCCGAGCTGGGCAAACTTGAAGGGCCTGTGGCCAAGCACCCAGGGAAGACAGCGCAAAAGGAACGTCCGCAAAGGCCGCTACAGGGTTCGCTGGGCGAGAATGTCGGCGAAAGCTGTGTGGTGGAAGCCGACGACGAATGCGACGAGCGCGACTACTGCGTGCCCGAAGACGAGAGCGTGACCGCGAAAGGCGACTATGTCTCGTTGATTCAAAACCCCGAGCGATTCACGGGCTATGCGGGCGACGGTGCGAATATGGTCTGGGATGCTATTTACCGCGAGAACTGCTTCCAGAAATCGTCGTTCCCCCACACCGCAGCACTCGGCATGACATCAGTGCCCAGAGGCCCCGCCGCATTTGACTTTCGCGCAGTACTGCAGGATGCAGGTCGCCAGCAGATGCTGGAGCAGCAGGTGCAGCAAGGCAGTCAGGGGACTAACAGTGCACTCACGGGTCTCGGGTTTGAGGACGAATGCCTCGAGAAGCGCGTATTCTACCGCGTCATCTCGGGCATGCATGCCAGCATCAGCACGCATCTCTGCTGGGACTTCCTCAACCAAACAACCGGACAATGGCAGCCCAACACGCAATGCTACATACATCGTCTGCACATGCACCCCGAGCGCATCTCGAACCTCTACTTCAACTATGCCCTGGTTACTCGCGCCATCGCCAAGATCGGCCCCCAGCTGCGGTCCTACACATTCTGCACCGGCGACGATGATCAAGATGCTGCGACCAAGGCGAAAGTTCTAGCGGTCACCGAGGGTGCAGCCGCCGTGCCTCACATCTTCGACGAGAGCCTCATGTTTAAGAACGGTGAAGGCCCCAGCTTGAAGGAGGATTTCCGCAATCGCTTCCGCAACGTAAGCCGCATCATGGATTGCGTCGGCTGCGACAAGTGCCGTCTCTGGGGTAAGCTGCAGACGGCTGGCTACGGCGCAGCCCTCAAAATCCTTTTCGAGTTCGACAATAACAAGACGCCTGGCGCGCCTGAACTCAAGAGAACTGAGCTGGTTGCCTTGTTCAACACGTACGCCCGACTCAGCAGTTCCATGAGCGCGCTTACCGAGTTCAGGAGTATGGTCGAAGCGGCTGAGGCAGCTGAGGAAGACGACCATGTCGAGATTGTCGAGGGTAAGGTTGACGCGATTCCCGACAGGGCGAAGAAACCGCACGCTGTTGCCACTTCGACGGATGAGGAGGAGAAGAAGAACAAGGATGAACAGTCGGATGAGTGGGAGGGCCAAGAGGAGCCATCGAAGAAAAAGAAGAAGCCTGCGAAGGACATGACCATAAAAGAGGTGTTCAAGGACGAATTAAAGAACGTCATCAGGGCCTTCAAGCTCGTCCTTAAGGGATGGGTACAACTCCCAAGAAATCTGTAAGCGCAATCTCCCAGTGACTCGCGCATACTTGGCCATCCGTACTGACGCCCGGGTTCTATCAAGATGGTACATCTTCGTCACAGAACTAAACAGAGCCTGGGAATACTACATCGGCCTGCCGGTTTCGCCTCGAACGTGGAGGTTTGAGCGGCCCAGGATGGATGAATTGTAAAAGAAGAATGCTATTGACGAAGCAGAAAGAATGTGTTCATGGTTGATTGGTTTGGCATGGCATTGTATTGGCAGGCATTTGGAGTTTTGTTTCTGAGACAGCATTTTCGAGCACTGCAATACTGCAGAGGGGCGGCGTCGTTGATCTGGACGCCTTTTCAAAGGGTTTTGCACATGGTTTGACTGCATCGGTTCTAGGACGGTATATTTAGAATGTCCACATACATCATCGTACATTACTCATTGTATCGTCTCATCTCGATTTTGTGTCGCGATATCCCTGTCCCTGCCTACGCTCATTTTCTCGCCTCGTGGGTATCTTACGCGTAAATTCCGGTCTCATTCTCATAATCCAAACATACTAGATTTCCCGGTCCCCAACCACAGCAGGTTCAAATGGGTAACCACATTGCCAATCTTAGCCTTGATTCCATCAACCCGGATCCGCGCCTCTCCAAGGCCCTCCCGGTACTTCACTTCCGAGAAGATATCCTCGGTCAACTGGCGTAGCTCCGCCGTCGGCTCGGAAAAAGACCACGCTATCGAGACGTGGAACGCATCACCTACATCTGCCCCCGATTCCCTGGACGTGTACAGGGTCAGCTGGTCGAATGAGGTGACTACATCGTTGCAACGCTTCAGCAGGGTTGTAAGTTCAATGTTCTGGACCGCTGTCGTTGTCGCCGCGGCACCAGATCCAGGTTCTGCTTTGGCTATAGGAGCTGCCGTCGAATGCTCCTCCGCGGATACCGCTGCCGATGAAGCAGTTCCAACCCTCAAAACCAAGAACGACCTCGCCGACTCGCGCGTGCGATGCCACTCCAGCGCCGTAGGCCTCAACTCGAACGGCGCAACCACCGACGCGCCGACCACCGTCCTAAGCCGTGAGAGAAATGCTTCTTTCTGCGCCGTGAGTAAAGCGACGGGGCGGGAGAGGCTGATGTGCAGGGGTAACGGGGCGCCTAGGTCGGAGGTGAGGAAGGTGTGTAATTTGACTCCTGCTGCGGAATCAGGGCCAAGACCAGAGCTGGAGAGACGCGACTGCAGCGTTGACAGCAAAGAGGCCAGGAGCGAGTGCTCGGCGCCGAGTGGGTGCCATTCGATATATAGATGCGTCGGCCAGTTGCCGACGACGTGCGGTATCTGCCGCTTGCGACCTTGGTGCAAAGTTGGGTCGTCGGTAGTGCTTATTCGGACTGTGGAGGCGTAGAGGTCGTGGAAGGAGGGAGGTAGGGGAGGTAGACCTGAGGTGTCACTGGTTTTACTAGTTGATGAATTTGATGCATCTACATCTGCATCTGTACCTGGCTGCTGGAATGTCTTGGCTTTCTTGGCTGCTGGTTGGGATGAGGGTGACGACGGGTGAGCTGAGCTGTCCTCGTCCGACGACGAGTAGTCTACCAGTGCCATTTAGGTCCATAGGAGGAACTGCCTTGTGACGATTTGCTCTACTTCTCTACGCACAGGTGGTAAGGGCGCAATATCGAGGTGGATGATTCTGCTTCGTCTGGAAAACATCACGATACTTCGATGGCTTGCATATTGCATATTGTCCTTGCTTTTTAGCTCCCGCTTGCCGTCCCGGCTACCCGGCTAGAGGACCGCATTGACTCCGTACCTAGGGCTGGCGAACCCACAAACGTACTCTAATTGCACGTTGATGGCATCAACCGCAACCCTAGAGTCATGTGCCGTTGAAATAGTCTAGCATTGCGAGTACTGACAAGTCTGATGGCAGCTCCAGAATATGCTTGTTCCTGGGTTGTGGCAACTTCACACCTGGTCAATATCAGCTTACAAGTGGGGGTCGGCATCCACTATGAACAAGATGGAATGCCTACCTCGTAAATTCATCCTGCCCCCCAGAGACTCGCGTTCTCAACATCCCCTTGCAAGCAAATGACCAAATGAACGCTGTATCCAACCCCCAGGTGAGTTGTTCTGCATTATTTGACTCTGCTTTGCCGTCTATTTCGTCACCTACTTGCCACGATCGATTGTCTAACTGTCTAACTGTCGTAACGAACTCTTTTACAGGAAGATGTTCACATAAAAGGACTAATCGGTGATATCACCAGGCGTCCCCCGTTCATCAACAGAATTAGTAACTGCAGTAGGTTAAGAACCAACGTAGTATGGTAGTGAACGCAACGCAGTCGCCAATAGGGCGAACCGACGACGCAGCGTATGTATTTAGTCCAGCCATTGGGGCACGGTTTGACATACGGGAGTACTGGTAGAGGTACCGGGGGCTTCGAGCCTATGGCGTATTTAATAATAATAATAATAGTAACTGCAGCTCCGCCACGAATGGCGCTCGTTAGGCCAGCCCTGGATAGAGCTGGGGCATGAAACATCGAAGGATTGCGGGAGGCATTGGCGCCAGCCTAGCCGCCTGGCTGAGCTGATGGCTGTCGGGGTTTTTAATCCATGCCTCTGCTCCTGGAACGCATCGTTGCGCTGCTTCTGTCGTCGTTTCCATTACTTTCAGTGGATTTGTTGATAATCTGCAGCGTTCAGACAGCGTCGAATATGCGGTGTTTTGCGACTACTTCATTGGCGCTGTTGAGTTTACGGGTAGCGTCAGCTTTTGGTGAGAAATTCTTATATCCGACTGCAGGTCTAACTCTGCACTATCTCGACACTGTGAATGTTGAATATCAAACAACTCTTTATAACCCTCGGCTTTATACGTGGTGTTATAACGCAGATAATAATATTATTCGTGAGTGGTTGCTGTATGGAACTGGGAGATAGAGGTCCCTTGACCGAGAATCGAGTTTGCTGATCTTTCTGAAGAACAACGGCTGGACCACCCAGATGGATACGACGCCACGGCTTCTATACAGCTGAACTTCACCACTGGCGTTCGGTGCTGGTTCAACATAAGACATAACGACACTGATTTGGGGTTTAACAGCGAGAATTGGGACTTTGACCATACACAAAGGAGTCAGGTACGGTACCACAGTATTGCTAATTTCGCATGATTGCTCTCATACCATTGTCGAAGCGGTCGGTTTCGAATCCTCACTGACACTGGGTGACTCATAAACAGACAACACTCGGCCTCCCAACCACGACACCTACCGCCTCAGCAACCGTCAACGTCCCAGGGTCATCGGCATCGGCATCGGTAACTACGAGAGCAACTTCATCGACATCCGCAAGTGCCACCGCCGCCAAATCTGGATCCAGTTCTGGGCTTTCGACGGGGGCGCAGGCGGGTATTGGAGCTGGTATTGGAATTGTCGGCCTTGTTGCCGGTGTCGCGATCGCGACACTACTCCTTCGGCGGCAGAAACGAGGAAAAGGTTCAGAAAAGCCGGTTTCAAATTACCCACCTGTGGTTCCCGGTGACGGAAATGGCAACTCACCCATCTACTATTCTGGGTCGACATATACATCTCCGCTCGGTGCGGATGGGCAGAAATTCGTCAACCCCTTGCATCAGGTGGGGTTTAACAGTTCTGTACAGCATGAGATGGATGCCAGCCCATTGGTGTATGAGTTACCTTCTGGTACAGAGAGGATCTCCTGAAGAGGATGGCATGGATTGCAGGAGGTTGATGGGAATCTCTTATGACTGCACCATGAGTACTACGTGTTAATGCACATCTACGAACCACTAGAGCGTAGAGTAACGACGTCGGGAGCCGAATCAGGAGCTTAAATCGAAATGCCCTAACAGGCTGTGAACGCAGGGTTATTGGAGTCTATTCTTATCTGTCCGACATCAACACCATAGATGAATATGTCATGACGGAGCAAGTTTGCAATAATTCTTACAGTTTCAACTACGGTGGGTTAGCTACTTATAAATGCTATGGGAGGAATCAGGTAGTCTTCTCTAGGACAAGAAACTTGCATATTCACATTCACACAAATGTCTGCAACATTCCTGATATTTATCTTACGCGGTTTGACTCCGATATGAGTGCCTCAGCTAAGGCTAAATGCTGAGGTAACGAAGTGTTTCCATGATTTTAAGTGTAATCTCAAGCTTCTGTCCAAACCCCCGCACTATTGATGCTGTAATCGACGCGTCTGAAGGTTTTTGTAGCTGTCTTGACCTCAAGTTCAACGCTGGCTGGATCAGAGACATCGACAGCGATGGCCGGACTCTGATAATCTGAGTTTGTGGCAATGGACTCGCATTCATGCGCGATATCAGTCACAGCACTGTAATTCAAATCGACCAGAACCACCCCTCTTGCCCGATACCACTACCCGAACATTCCAGAGTCAGCAATGGTGTTTCTAAGGGGAAGAAGCAAAATGCTTACCGGCGCCAGTGACTATGGCAACGCTACCAATGAGAAGAGTCATGACGATGCGAGCTCTGCTAGTAGATGATGATGATGAACAGTTCAGTCGCTGCAAAGAGGAGGGTTTCCTAAAAGCGGTCTTGTTTGTACGTTAGGTTTTAACGACGGCTTGTGTCGAGCTGAAACGATGCAATCTATGGAGGATCTTAGTCCAAACTACCAGTGCGAACGCTTAACAAGTTTCGAAATAATCTTATATGGTGATATGTAAGGTCCCTAAGTTATTAGAATAGGTGCCATGAGCTAGCCAAACTATGCCTAACATGTATCTATGCACATGTGGCCGTTGCTTATATTGGTAGTATCGGAGGCTCAAGGTAGTTGGACTGGGATCCACCCTTCGGGAACACATTGCATGGCCGAGTCCCGAAGGTACGAAGAACAGTTCGGTGAAAGAAGTCCTTACTTATGCACATAAATTCGGTATGTTGATATCGTAACACAATGCTCGAATTAGATTTATGGATATTTCCCAGGTTCATTCGAAGTACTGCACGGTTGTATCAGGTTTTGACGTACAACAAGTAGTTTACTATAGCTATGAGTTATATGGTTATACACGCTTAGGAGGCTTAAGCTGGAGCTAGTGTTGGACCAAATTGACCGTCAAAAGACGAGGGACCCACACGTTGTAGAATGAGGTATTTTTGGTAGTTATAAGGTCTGACAGCTAGTCCATCTGCATTCGTTGTAAAGCGTCAATTACTCCCGGCTCATCTTTCTAGCGTGTGGCTCTTATGAGAAGCTCGAAATGATAATTCATTTGCGAGCAGCTAAGACATGTGTCGTGGACGACTATTTCCCTAACATGCTCCACATGCTCCAAACCTATAAAGAGCGAGAATCGTGTATCATGGAAGAACTTATTTTTTTACCTCCCTATCTCGTCTACCTGTGTTACATATAGTCAAAATCCTCGAGGAATGAAGTCTCGCTCCTATGACTTTATACCATATGCCTGATTGGAAGCCTTGCCTTCATGCCTTGCTGATAGCCCCGTAATAATATCTTCACGCCACCTCCAGAGACCGACCCACGTCGCACCGGATCCGACGAATAGCTGCCCAAGAACTACAGCTGAGGCAGCCCTCAGGGCCCTTGACGTTGTGATGTACCCCTGGCACCAGAGCTCCCAGACTGGGTTTAGATTGTGGCTGGCAATCCTTGGTCCAGGGTTTCGATCCCAGAGATGATGGAACTTCGAGTCTGGAACTCGTGTCTGGAAACCTGGAAACCTCATGCCACCCCTTATAAACTTCGACACATCTCTCTTCAAGCTTTGTCTTGTTTATTTTACCATTCGGATGGCGACGTAGTAGATTTGAGTAACGCTGTCAGACGTCGTTCTGCCCAGCGGATGATCAAGTAAACAGTGGGTGCAACGAGGTGGCACAGTTAGGTCATAACTGGTTTACTACACTAGAACACCGGTTACCCGACACCATTCCACTGTTGTTTCGATACGACATTTATTTGTCCCGCTGTCTACTCTTCCACCTATCGCCCAGGGCAAGTGCGACCGTCTGCTTTGTTACGCCGGATTTCTAATTCATCACAGTTGCAGTCGTCCAATGCAAGTGTGTTTCTCCATTGATGAGTTACACACAGAGGCAGTTGTTGGGACTACGAATACGAAGTATGGACTGATTCGTCAGCCGGGCCTGCTAGAAAACTGTCCGATCCCACCTCCGGGCATTTGCGTCATTGCAGTAGTGGTCTGTGCGCCCACCCGAAGCTGTGGCACTACAAGCTGGTCGGTACTGCCATTTCGGGGACTGCCCTGGCAGTGCGATGCGACAGACAATGGCATCCTGTAAAAAGTGGGAACTTACATCATACCAGCCCTGTTAATCAACAACTGCACCAGCTTTCTATCACTGATCATGTCGGGCAGAGAAAACCCGCAAAAGACCTTTATATGAGCCCGAACGCTAGCAAATGTTTCCACTATACAAGATCGATCGTTCAACTTCCTCACACAGAAGCTGCTAACAACGACAACCATCGCAGCGACAGCGGAACGTCTCAGCAAACGAAGTCACTTAAGCAGTCGAACTCGAAGGCTGTCTTTTAGAAGGTCCCTGTTTTCACAAACAACAAAAGCTCTAACGCATAGCCGTCGTCAGCCGCATCACATCAATTTAATCGTGCTAGTCTACTCCGGAGCACTAATCACAATAGACGGCCACACCGAAGTCGCCAGGGACGTCTCCTCAGCTCACTTCAATCCATACTACGCTTCAGATCATCCTGACCTCAAACATTTGCCACAGCCATGTCGGACAGACCGCTAGATCAAATAAAGAGGGATACTCTCCGTGCGGAGCGTGCCGCACACCTCCGCAAACAGAATCGTGAGTGTTTTCTGTGTTTGACTCTCTCCTGTTGCTAACATGATACAGTGGTCGGCGCGGATCCCATCGATGCGTTGGATAACGTTGGGATCGGACGAGCATATCACCATGATGGGCCATACGATGCTACTTTGTTTCAACGGAATAAAGACAAGCGGTATGCACCTGTCGAGGCTGTGAGGGAGTCGAACGCAGAGGCGCTCAAGGCGACCCCCAGGGAACACATACAGGACTCGTTAACCAAGCATGTGCCACTTACGGGCACGGCTGACTTTGCCCCGGGACAAGATGATATCAATGGTCGAAGACTGAGTTATGAGGAAGGTTCCGACCTAATGAGAGATCCAGATGCTCCTGGCGGACCGTACAGTAGATACGAGGGCATCGTAAGTTATGAGTCGGACCCTATGAGAAGAATTCAAGACAGTTGTCTGCCGAGTGGCATAAAGAGCGCTTATGAACCAGCCTTGACCTGAGTACTGACTTTACTCTAGAAATACCACCCCGACGACCTGAAAGGCAAGGGCGAGCCTTCTTACACAGTTGAACGAGAACTTAATAAGCACAAACAACGCAGGGCTTCGCTCGAGATTGATGGTAATGGTGCAGCATACGAGATGCAGCCAACGGGAACGTCGCGCAGTAATGACAAGGACAAAGCTATGGTGCGACAACGTAGCTACAGTGCTACGCATAGTGAAGCCGGCCCCCCATCCTCTCCTCACTCTCAGCTACCACAATCTCATTCTACGGGCAAACACAACTTTGCTGCTGGTCTCAAGAAACGACTGGGAAGCATTCGCCGGAAGCGTGCCGATTCGTAGGGCCGCCGAACTTCACTACATGATAGCTAGGCACGATGTTTTCATTGTTATTCTCGCCTGTATCCAAATAAATACAAAGGGCACGGCAACAGATGTGACCCGGGATGGGAACTGACATAGCTGGGCGGGAATCGCGTCAGGACCGCTATGCATATTTTAGCGGGGCAATTACAACTAAATTACAGTATTTATTTCACGTTATCAACTTAAGTGACACTGGACAACCGGACTATACCACATCACTCCACACATGACACGTCAAGTATGTATTTGATTCACCGAGAACCGTATATATGTGATTCATGAGTACTTGGAACTCAGCAACTTTCTCATGTATCATTTTTATTACTCCGTGGGCGAATCCATTGGTAGCACTTAAGAGAACTAGTAGTACACAAAACACTGTTACCCGACACGAGAAGATGACCCGCACTGCAATATGGGGAATTTCGATTGTTCCGTCATCCATCATCCATCGAGTCCAGCCCTGAACCCACCCCTCCCCAACTCACCTCCCTCTCTCAACCGCTCCGATCCAGTCAACGCAAGTGCGAGCCGGGCTGAGCAGTGTTTCCAAATGCGCTTCTGCAATCCGGAACCTGGAGTATTGCCTCATACCCCACGGCTGAGCATGTATATCGCATTAAACATTACAAGAGCGTATTCATTATTCCCAGCCCATTCTTGGGTTTCTGCACCACGCACAGGCCTATGCGACCATGGCCTCGGTTGCTCTACCACGGTGGTGCTGCTCGTCATTCAAGCCGCTGTCGCTGTCGAGAGGCGAGTGGGCGCGCATGTCATCCTCGTCGTCGTCGTCGTACTCTTGGGCCTTATGTTCGCCAGCGGCAACCCAGGAATCGCGGTCGTTGAGCGGCGCGTCCTGGCCCGAGAGATCAAGACCCTCAGAGCGAGCCTTAATATTGTTGCGCCGCCTCGTGGATAGCGTTCGGGCGCGGGTGGATAACTTTGAGGACACAGCAGCTTTTTGGGTGACCCATTGGGTCAATGCATCTTCGCAATCCTGGATGATGGCCTTGCTGGCTTCGTAACCGTCGTAGGCGGCGCGTGTCTCGCCGGGGGTCACGGGGGTATCGTCGATGAGTTCGAGGAGGTGCTTTCCGTAGCCAGCAATAATGGCGACCTTCTCGCAGTGCTCACGCAGGGCATCGAATTGGTACGTGTAGGCAGCCTTTATCTTCTCACGTGTTATGTTCGACAGCTGGGCTTCAGCGACGAGTGATTCGGCTTCGGCGCGGACAAGTTCCTGTTCGAGGACGACGATCTTGGGTGAGTTGGGCTCCTTGTATTTCAGCTGGGCAATCTGGTCGGCGATTTTTTGCTTGCCTGGTGAGGAGGGGTTGACGTCAGCATTGTGGCACGAGTCTGCTTCATTTGTACAACAGTGCACTCACGATCTCGGCTGGGCTGTACAGAGGCCTCGATGTTTCGGATGCTCTTCATGGTGACGCGATACTGGTCATAGCGGTCGACGTATTGATCTTCAAGCTCGCCGATCTCGTAGAGGAGAACGCCGAGCTTGTCGGTGACATCCGACACATCCTCATCCCCATGTTCGCCCCAAATGGATAGTTGTTGCTAGATAGAGGTTAGCCCACCGTGGCCCCAGAGACAAGGAAGTTATGGCATCATAGAGCCGTACTGCCACATCCATACGCTCTTTAGCTACCTGCTCCAGACTGCGCATCACGTTCTTCTCCATCTTAACGAGTTGTGTGAGCTTCTTGGCGAGGTCAGGCCCAAAGGCGCCAGCCGCGTTTCGGCGGAGGGCATGTCCTAAGTCATCGGTGAGTCCCGCTAAGATGACCGGATTACATGCAACAACCTACCAACAGATACCTTTCCGAACAATCGGTGAGATTTGGTCGTTGACGGCGGCGGTGGAGGGTTCTAACGGCGCAACGTCAGCCGGGAGACCAGCAGCACGGGATAGACGCCAGAACCGCCGAGGCCGTAATACTCACCTGGATCTGCGAAGCAGTCGGCGCCCGGGTTTGGCGCATAGAGTATGTTCGGTGCATCTTGTTTATAGTTTCGGTGACCCGTATGAAGATGCTGATGCGCTTGAGCAACCTTATAAGAATTGTGGGCTCGCTGCGGCGGTAGCTAAACCAAAGCGCAACACGCAAGGTCGGATTGAGGTTATGCGGGATAGGAATGAGCTTTTGGTGACTGACCACTGGTGTCGACGAATTCTGGGACGATGATGATGATGATGATTAGGTATGCGCTGCTGTAGTCGGGTTACGAGGGGCGACGAATCAATCTGGCGGAGTTGAAAAGCGGGTTACGCAAAGAAGGTCAGATGTCAAACGGCAAAGTGGAGCACAGTTGAACCTTGGGAAAGTCTTGGTGCTGCAATGCGCGGGAAGGACAATGTTGGCAGTTAAGTGGAAGGGGCCGAGCAGGGATTTATGGAGGAGAGCGGATTGTCATGGAGCCTTGGGATGGAGATGGGGATGCGGATGGGGATGTTGGTGTACTATTAAAAATGTATTTTCGCCAGAGACGATACGCAGGCTTCGGCACATAGAGCTCGTCTTCGCTACGTCATCACCTGTACAAAGCGGAATAGCGCTGAGAATGGTGTCAAAAATGGGTGTTGTCGAACAGTCCAAGTGGGCTGTGGTCGATCCATGGACCCCGAAGAGGACAAACTGGTGAGGGGGCAGGATCCGAGCGCCAGGGCCTAGGTTGATTAAGTACCATATGTACAATGCATGCTGGTATTGACGTTGTCTCAATGCGTTCCTAGAAGACACGTTTTGCTAAGTGCATACAGGCACAAGAACAAAGAGGAAGATGATGGACTAGGGTAATTGCCCATGGCCAGCTAGGAACAGGGTGTCATCCTGAACAGGCTGGGGCTCTTTGTCTATAAGTTGTTTGAAGTTCGGGTTCTCGGTTCTCTCCCATTGAGTGGCCTGGATAGTGTTCCCGTTATGTCTCGTGATGTTATCCTCTTGAAGTGAAGGCATGCATAACTACTATGTAGCGACTTATATTCTACAATACCAAATAGGTCAAGGTGATGTGCATCGTCAACCTGAATTGAAGGGAAGCTATATAATCAAAATAATGGACCTTTAATGGATCTTTAATGGATCTTTGCTTGACCCGTTGACAGACTCACCAGCCACCGTGGATTCAGCCACACCAAGCTTGCAATCATAGTATGTAAATCTTGGGACAAACCAGCCACAACCTACGCGTCTCGCCTGCACCTGCAAAGGCCGTGATACCGTCACCTGCTGTTTGTCAAAAGAGTCCAGCACTGATCGTTATATCATTTGGAAATTTGATGTGCAGCAACTCAGCTCAGTAATGCAGTGGTGCTTGTAAGGTACTGCCCTAGTCTCCTTTTCTTCCGAGGCACGCGACACGAATGCTCCAGCCTACCTTATCTTAGTATCTTTATGCTTTGACGCGTTTCTCATTTGAGGAGCTCTTTTCACTCATTGATATCGCATCTATAATTCACTCGGAGACTTATGCTGCCGTTGCTATCAATGGTTTCCAACGGCTTTTGATATCTATACTGCAATGATCGCGGATTTATATGAGCCACTGCGAAACTGGTAGTTTTGGCTGGGGGAAGGCTCGATCTCGCAGTTTGGGGCTTGCGGGAGCTTATTTCTAATTCAACTCAAACTTGGAACACAAGCCAGCACGAGCCTCGCCGCTGTGATGGCGTCAATCGAGTTCATCACTATACCTTCCGATGATGAGTCGGGAGATGCTGATGGTTCCGCCCACCATACTAGTCCTAAGCTACCAAAATCCCAGAAGCAGCATAGGCAGTCACAACCATCGCCAGCCCAGTCGGCATCTCAACAAGCCCCCCCTCAACAGCCACCTCGCGCTCGCCAACCCATCAGCCCTCCAGCTCTCACTCGCCAGGCAAGCACAACCGCGCCGTCACCAATGCCTGCAGGCTCGCCTTCGAGAAGCAGCAGGTTTTCTGCCCAGAAGCCCACCACCAAGGAGGAGACCCTGCCTGCCGTCTTACCAGCCAGACCGGGGAGCGCTGTAAAAACTGTTCATCCCGTCACGTCTCCCTCCCAGCTTAGTCAACAGCATCCCATCCACAGGACACCTAAGCATGGGACGCCTAAGAAAATGGACTGGTCCACTGACAAGATAAAGGAGCGCCTGCTCAAATACTGGCTCAATATTGGTAAAGATGGTGCTAAGCTTACTGCCCGGCAAATTCAAATGGCTTGGAAGAAAGATGCCTCCCAAGCCGAATTCGTCTCTAAGAGAAATTGGTTCACGGAGATGAAACTGGCACCGACAGAGGGAGGCAAGGAGACCATAAAGATCAAGACCAAGGTTCGTTTTGCTCAAATGCACAAAGTCATACTGGACCCTATAGCACCCACGAGGGTGGCAACTGACTTGAGTACAGCACATGGCAGCTGGCCGAGGTGGGAAACAGGAGAAGCGTGAACACTACGCCGTCATCCCCATCAAGACTATCGGGGAGCCGGTGCCTGCGTACAGCTTCCATCATGTTGAGATATCCAAGAATATTCTTTCTCCTAACACCATGTTGAACTTCGTGCCACATCTGCGAGACCTGGCTGACGAGGAAGAACCCAAGTACCGACGATGGTTGGAGAATCTCGAAAACATGGACAAGACATCAGGCTTTGCCACCCTTAGCAGGCAGGAGAAAGTAACGAAGACGGCCCAGAAGGAACGTGCCACCATACTGTTGCTTTATCTTGACTCGTGGCTGGATCAACTCGAGATCGAAAACTGCACGCGGTCTACACTTATTCGATTTATGGCCAGTCAAACAGACGCAGTCACTCCGCAGCAAAAATCGAGTATTCTCAATTCCTACAGCGAGGATTCTGGCTCTCCTCGATCCGCCAAGACCATTCGCATGTTCACCGAGGCCTTCGACTGGGTGTTCAACGATATCGACATGGACAAAAGTGCCGTCACATTGCGCGATGTCTTACTTCTTGATAAGTCGGTTGATACCATTTTTGACTCCAAGAAGTGGATGAAGGATACTCCAAGTCAGGTTAAGCCGTTGGAAGAGCAGATGACGGTTGAGTCATTTCTCGAGACGTATGCCTTGCTTGGCTGCTTGATATGCTGCAGTCACTCATGTGAACATGGGGAATACGGGGTTGACAATGAAAGAAAACGGTTCTCGGTGGAAACAGTGGGTGGCCTCGAGCCTATGCTCCGCAAGCAGGCCATTCAAGCCTCAAAAAATGGACACATACATCCGTCTACCCAGAAGGCACTCAAACCGTGCAGCGACGACTGCTATCTGAATGGAAAATCTAACACTCGCGCGCGGGCATGGAACGAAAACGAGACTATGCTCCTCAGGTCGTTCGCCGCTACTCTCAGCGACACAAACATCCCGGTACAATGCGCGACGGCTGTTGCTACTGGCAGACCGTGCTGGGATGTGTGTCGTCAGCTGGATAAGCTCGATATTACACCACCAATGGTTTCGTCGCCAGCACCGATCAAAGTCAAGCCTGTGAGCTGGTACGACCGCAACAAGAAGATGCTTCTCGGTGACTGGCAAGAGCAGACCATTACACACGAGCACCAGAGGAAAGACCACTTCGATCCATGCAATCACGATGGCCCTTGCACCTACTCGAATTGTGCCTGTGTACAAAACCGCCTCATGTGCGAACGTTTCTGTCGCTGCACTGCTGCAACATGTGCTGCGAAATTCACTGGGTGTGCGTGCCATTCGCTGGGCAAGACATGCGTGCCGAAGCAAAAGGAACGGCCTTGCATTTGCGTCCAGCTTAATCGCGAATGCGACCCAGCTCTGTGTGGAAGCTGTGGAGCTTCGGAAAGGGCCAATCCGCGGAACGCGGACGACGATGCATTGTTCACAACAGGCTGCCAGAATTGCGCTCTTCAGCGTGGTAAACCCAAGTCCCTCGTTCTCGGGAAGTCCATGATTGAAAACTGCGGGTACGGTCTCTTCACCACCGAGGACATAGCACAAGACGAATTCGTGATCGAGTACGTGGGCGAGCTTATCAGCCAGGACGAGGGAGTGCGGCGAGAGGCACGCCGTGGCGATGTTTTTGATGAGGAGTCCAATTCATCGTACTTGTTCACGCTTCTGGAGCAGGAGGGCATCTGGGTAGACGCCGCCATCTACGGAAATCTGAGTCGCTACATCAACCACCAGGATGATGCCGACAAGCGTGGTCTGGGATGCAACATCACCCCTAAAATCCTCTACGTCAATGGTGAGTATCGCATCAAGTTCAGCTCCATGCGTGACATCAAGGCAGGTGAAGAGCTGTTCTTTAACTATGGTGAAAACTTTCCCAACTTGACAAAGAAGCTGCTTGATGAGCAGAAGGAAGAAGAAGATGTCAAGAAATGCCGCACCCGCAAGAAACAGGATGATGATGACGATGACGATGACGTCGAATTTAGCAAAGTTAAGAAAGCCAAGGGCGCTCCCAAGGGTAAACGCCGAGGACGGAAACCGGGACGCAAGCCGAAGAACAAGGCATTCGGCAAGGTTGACTCGGACCCCGAAGACGACGATGAGGTTGCCAACGAGCAGGTGCCGGAAGAATATCCATTCCCTGACATCGTGCTCAAGCCACGCAAGCGCAAGCGAGGGAGTAATCTAGACTCCGATTCGGAAGACGAGGAATTCCGGCCAGCTGATTCAGACGCTCAGTCTGCCGTCATGGAACCGCCGACGTCACGCGGCAAGGTACGTCCCCGTAAGCAGCCCAGGGCCGTGGGACAGACGATGCGAAAAACGGGCAGCGGCCTGTTCGGCCGGAACCCGGGTAAGGCCCAGTCGGTTATTCAGGAAGAAGACGAGTCGCAACACACGACGCCCAAGCAACGTGGGCGGAAAGTGCGCAAGCACAGCGAAGACGATGCCGAGGACGATCAGGCTGTGGGCCAGGCTATGGAGGTTGGCGGGGCGGAATCCGATTCTGCGGCCGAGTACACGCCGTCGCGGGCAAGGGCGCGCATACATCGCCAGATGCTGAGGGACGTCGTAGAGTCTAGTCCCCTCTCGGCTCCTGACGACGCGGCCTTTGCGCAGTTACAGTTCGAGCTCATTCAAAAAGACGAGAGAGAAGAGCAGGGACGCGACGGCGGCGCTGATGACAGCGATGCTAGCAGCAACAGGATTGTTGATCGCTCCCGGTCTCGCGTCCGGCGCCGTCCTGCTCGGTACAGCGACTAATAGATTCCTTGGAAACCTCAACGGAGAATGGTACACTGGGTTGGGGCAGTTAATTTGCTTTCACTTGTGGGGAAGCGGGAAGACATCTACATCTGCGTGAGAGCTCCGTACGAGGCTGTCCACTTGCTTAGCATTCGTTAAATCACATTGCTTATAACACATGTAGAGTAGTTAATTTTGGCCGACGAATTCCTGTTGCTGATTAATTTGAAGCAACAAGCCCCGAGGCCGCTTTGCTTGACAACATGGCTGAAAACCAAAGTCATCGCATTGCATTAATATAACCTGGATGTACATGCTCCATTGAAGAGTCCGGAGACTTCATCAGAATTTTGGTATGATGCAATTTAGAATCACTTTCTCAAGCGCTGGGCTCTTGTGCCTCAAGAGTACGTTGGATCGCCCATACATGATACATAATACATTAGGACATATCGTGTGGAATACTATAAAATTTACGCGCAACTGCAGTTATGTGTGCGTGGGGGTGTCTTGCTTGACTGGAGACAGATACTGTTCAGATACCAGTATTGTTACCCAGTGTGCAGAACAGTACAACCTATCAACAAACCCCCAACCTTGAATATGACCAATACATCGACTGCCAATGAGGAAAAGAATCTACATCATTCCGGCCTCAATTGTCTGCAAGTATGAACATAAGTCCAACTCATCATGAACCCCAAGCCCTTCCACTTCCACTTCTTCCCCTAGACTGCTGGAGCCATCCAATCCAGGCTCTATCAGGAGACCAAAAGCGTAGAAGATGTCACTAAACCCGTACATATATCCATAAGTACAGTGACCAGAGTTCTAACCATGCACACCGATTAGCGAAAGACCGTCTCATCCAAGTCCTGTGCCTATTCTGTTTGAGTAACAAAAGTCAAGACAGAGTCAGGAAACTACTGGGAAATGGCCATGAATACTACTCTACCTAACAATTCTCGCAGCAGTGAAGCCGGGCCTTATCCCGCGACCTAGACTACGGACCACGGAGGGATGACAAAAAATCGAGAAAATGATCACGGGTAGGGAGACACACAGACAACTACGTGCTTGGATAAGCCGACAGACTATCATCAGTACAGTATGTACTCCACTATTGATAGCGAACACTTTGCAAATGGTAGTTCACGGAATCTGCCTCGCATCAGGATGTTCCAGAAGTTCGACATGTCGATTGCCTTCTTCGCATTGTGAAGAGAGGGCAGTTATTGGCATCTAGGGTAAACGTCTCATCATATCAATTCGCACAGGATGTTCACAAAGTCTGTGATTAGCAAGTCCTTGAAATGAAATGTCTATGATAACCCTTTGGATACACGGCGTAGAGGAACACAGCACGAGCAAAGCACATATTCCGACATTGTACAGTACAGCCAGAAAGAAAAAAAAATCCCTTAACTGCTACCTGAGGCTAAAAGCTGCAGGTGCATGCCAATTACTTGAATGGCAAGAGGAACCCAGATGATGTACATAACTAACTTCCCCCCTAATCGACCCTTCACGAGTAGGAAGTCCCCGACTCACACACACTTCAGGTCAGTACAGTCCTGCCTCTAGAAGTTTCATCCCCTGATTTCCCATGTCCTCGCCGCGTAGACTTCTTGGTACCATCGCATATTGCACGTGAAGCAAGACCATTCCAGGCCCGCTCCCTCACCGCAGAGGAGGATTGTTACACCCTTGCCCTTTGCTGATGGTTATTCCAAGGCTGACGTAAAGAGAGACAGGTTGCCTGCACCTCGGAGCTTCATATCCTTGTCGTAGCCTGGCATTCTCCCTCTTCTTCGTACATGACTTCAAACCCTTCCGATCATTTTCATGTGCAAAATTCCATCTGGGCTTGATGGCCACCCTCTAGACGGGACGACTTTTCGTTTCCATGAATGGTGGATGGATGGGTCGCTCGCTTCGATGCGTTTGATTGCTCTTGACTGTGAGAGCCGTGCTTACTCTTCTAACTATAGAACCTCCATTACAATGCTTGAACGGCTATACGCTCTGCGGGTAGACAGCCGCAGGCTGGTTTATATAATCAGCATTGGCATTTACAATATTGGACACAATTAACTTACTGGACTGTGAAGCATTGTATTCCGCTTGTTTCTTCCTTTCTTGATGTGGCTCTTCAATGCGGAGGAATCAAGAGGCTTCAATAATTCGAAACTGCAAAGAAGCTCCGAGGAAACAGACATGACTGCTCCCCAGTTGTCAAATTCGCCACAATACTAAGTCGGTCAGCATTTCACCCCTAGAAGTGCGGAAAAGACTCAAAACTTACGTTTGGTGCACTGAAAACCGTGACCAGAACCCTGTCGTTAAAGAATTCATAGCCGTCTTCCACAACCATGTGAGCACGGCAGACCAAATCGAAGTCATGGGTCGTAAGGAAGTCGGTGATAACCTTCTTGCCAAAGCAGTAGCTGACGCCCCGTTCATTGGCCTCCCAATCTTGCTCCATATCGGCAGGATCAGACCACAGCAGGTCGTTCAGCAGACCATAGTCAGGCACATCTGTCGGTCGTGCGATGTTACGGATGTCATCCATGTGGCTCAGCGCAGGAGATAAGCCGCCATGAACACAAAAAATCTTGCCCGCAACAATAGATGCAATAGGTAGAGTGTTGAAGCAATCAATGAATGTCTTCCAGATTTTGACATTGCACCTACGCTTACACTCGTCGTAGAATCCGTAGACCCTGGTGACATTGGCGCATTCGTGGTTGCCCCTGAGAAGGAAGAAGTTCTCGGGGTACTTCAGCTTGTAGCACAGCAGCAGCAGGATGGTCTCCAGGGACTGTTTGCCGCGATCGACGTAGTCTCCAAGAAATAGAAAGTTAGCACTTGGTGGGAAGCCACACATCTCAAACATGCGGATGAGATCAGTGTATTGGCCGTGGACGTCCCCCACGATCTTGACTGGGGCGTCAAGCTCTAGCAGGGCCGGCTGGGAAAGAAACACTTCGCGCGCCCTTTGACAGATGGCAACGATCTCGGCGTTCTTAAGACACACGCTCTTCGTCACTTTGCCCGCATAGGCAGCATCCAAGAGGCGCTTGATGAAGTCGTCCAGATCAATATCCTTTATATCGCCTATAGCTACACCTCCCAACAGAGGGGAGTCCGATTCCTTGGGGGTGCCGGCGGCCGTGGGGCTTCGGGAAACCACGTTGATGGAATTGTCCTTCTTAACGAGGATGGATTGGCCAGGCTGCTGGGGAAGCTGCGGGTTGGGGTTCACACCTGCCGACGGCGGCTGGTCGGAAACGTGATCGACTTCACCGCTGGCCTGGGCGGCAATGATGTCTCCATGGCCAGTCTTGAGGGACGCGGAATGGACGGGCGACGGTGGTGGCTCGGGCTCTTCCAAGGGTGAGCTAATGCTCGTATCAATCGACTGGGGCGACTGTGGCGATTGGGGAGCCGACGGGCGTGATACCGCCGACTTGCTGCTCTTGGCTGATTTTACAGATGCGCCATCCGACTTTTCGGCGATTGCGTCGCCGGTAGACAAGAGCGCCGAGTTTCGTGGGCTGTCCGTCCTTCCACCACCCGGTATTTTCGACCGTAGCGACTTAAAGGAGCGCGAGGACTCCTTCGTGTCTGATCTGGGGAAAGATGGATAAGACTGCAGGTTGTCCCCGCGGTCAGCGGCACCGGAATTCTTGGACGACCCGCTCTCCTTCGAACTTTGATTTCCCATGGCTCGGGCCAAATGTCGTGATCGGCGATGGTGTCGATGACTGCTTGTTAACCGTGGTGTCCACACTGTCCACCGCTGCTACACCCGTACCGAGCGACTTGAGGGGTCGTGATTGATGCCCGGGATAGCGTCGGTCGGTACTAAGGAGGATGGAAAAGCCGTTCGAAGACGGAGAGGGAGAGAGCGGAGGAAAATCGTGGAGCCGTTTTGTTCTCCGTCTTTGTAGCTGAAAAGGTAACAGGTTAATGCTGATCCTGGGTTTCGGTCGGGAACTCCACAAAGTAAGAGTCAACAGACTTGTCGGAGGAATAATAGCGCGGCCAGATGCTAACAGTGTTGTGTTGCGAGGCTATGACGATATGGGTAGTGGTGGATGATGACTGGGTGGAAAAAGACGAGTCAATCTAAGTATCTGGCGATTATCTACGCATCAGCCGCATTCGCCTCACGGGGGAAGCCAAGAATTAGCTGTCGCGTGAGTGAGGGTTGTTGAACGGCACAACAGGGAGCCAGAAGGGCAGATGAGTGTTGACGAGGAAGATGTGATATTCACAAACACCCGAGAAGGATGATCATAGACTTCTAGTTCGTTGATGTTGAATAGTGATGGAAATGCGGGGGGAGTAGGGGGGTTTCGCTCAGATGCAGCGACCAGACGATAGGCGGACCACAAGACTGGTTGGCTGGCTAGCTGCTCAGGTGGAAAGGACGAATGGTAGTGGCAGTTGAGCGCAGCAGATTTCTGCGCGTATGATACATACCGGGAAGGAAGGTAACTCGGGCGCGACGCCAAGCAACGAGGCAGGAGCTAGCTGATCAAATGTGGTGATGCTGTGCTTAGAGCTCTTTGCGCTTCGATTGTCATTAGCCCGGCTCGCATAGGACAAGATGTAGCGGCCAGGTGTCCCGATTGACAGCACGAGATGCCAAGATCCGAAGCGTTACCACGCAGTCCAGACAAGGCCAACGAGAAATTCAAGTCGACGGCCGTGAACGTCGTTGGCGCTGCTTTAGAACAACCCTGGCGATATCGGATTTGGCTGAAAAGATGGTGTACCACGACGGTTGTCTCGGTTAATTTCTGTAGGATGGATGAAATGCTATCAATAATTGGACTGTATGGGTTACTACAGCTTTGAACTCAGGCACACATGCAGATTTATTAGTCGAAGTTGCGCCCGCGGCCCGCTGAAGTGTTGGAGTCGGTCGGGGCTCTGGGTCGGGCTGGTAAGGTTTTGGTGGGGCACTCGAGGCTCCAGAGTCAAAAAAGATCTTCCACATCAATACTTGTTAGGGAAGTGTTCAGTGCAGAATTGGGTTTGTGGGGAGGGGGGCCACTCGAGAGGCTCTAGAGTTGGACCAGATATTTGAATTTACCTCGATCTAAATCGGAATAGATAAGAGATGACAGTTGCGCACGCAATCGACTTTGTGATATTGGTGCAATAGAGGGCGGTTGGTTTGAAGTTGAGTGACTGAAAACGGGTCCTGGTTAGCAGATGCCTTACGCAAGTGCAGGCCCCAAATGGAAGCAATTCGATACACGCTGGCTTCTGGTAGCGTGTGATGGTGAAAGTTATGGCCTGTTGCCCCGCTTTGAGAGTAGGTAATCCGTGTATCGTGAGTAAGAAAATATCAGCCCAGACGTCGCCCGGTGTGGAGTCGGTCGGATAAGTTAGTCGGTAGGGTGTGAAGATCGGTGTAGGTAATGACACCAAGGGCGTTCAGGCATTGAAGCAAAAGGATCCTCCACGAGGACTCGGCTGCATCACAACCATACGATGTATTCAGGGCTCTGGTGAGTGGACGGCGGTCGTGGCGGTTGCCGGTAGCTTGCCGGGGCTTATCAATCGCACGAAGAGCCGCCCCTCCTCTCCAGGTTCCAAGTTTCCAAATCAACCGAGATCCCGTACTGCAGGATATATTATGGTTCCATGCCAGACGTCGAATCGCCTTGGCATCTGTCTTGCGCATCTAATTGGATAGGACTGACAGACTCACACAAGTCTGGGCCGAACTCTGGCATTCTAGTTTTCTTAGCATCTGCGTGGTTGGAACCACAAGGAAGGCCGCCTACCTTACTTACCCTAGCGACCTAGGCATGTCAAACTGGTCAACTTGCTTTGTTTGTTGCAATGAGGCATGCTAGGAGTTCAAACGATACAGGAGGACTCTTTGATGCACCGAGACCTCTGTAGTGGAATTCCGATTTGACGAAGGGCTTCCAGTTCCAATGTCACGATCTTGCTTGTACAACATCCACCACAACTGTTCAAACTAGGATACCCTTTCGACTTCAGTGCCCAAGTGAATAGCATTCAAACTCAATTCGGGTTTTCCGTTGCAGAAAGAGCTTCCATCCCCGTCATAGCAAAATTGTCCAAATTTGCAAGGATGTCGGGCCCGATTGGTGACGATGCTAAAAATTGCGCTAATGAAGCTCATCGGGTAGCAAGTCGAAGAATCAATGTGGTCCGGTTTCTTTCCAGTATAAAATTAGTTGTGTGCCACTACTCCGTACATGTTAGCGCAAGTACCGACATTGGCTACATAATGAAGATTTGGGGATGAGGACAATTACTGCAAGCTCCGATATTCTCCATGGTCAAGTGTACTCGGTAAGCGATGCTGATTTCCATGGACCCCTTAAAGATTCTTATATCAGTCTCGATCGCATATGCTGTATGCCCATACACAATGCCCAGACCAGTTCGAAGAATAAGAATTAAAGTAGTATACCCAATGATGCTTATTCAGCGACGTATGTAAAGATGGCCACATATAGGCATTGGACAAGAATAACTCTACCTAGGGTGGGTGATACCACGTTCCGAGCGTCATGCCGGTAGCCGAGCCCTGGAGCCTCAAGTGATGAAGACGGGTAGGTCAAGACCGGTACATGTGTAGGATCTCTTTCAAACTGTTCTCCTCCCATGCAAAGCTGTCCCTGTGCGAACGCAAACGAGAGTTACGAAATATATGGCTTTGTGTGGTCCGCATCAACTCACCTCATAGTGCATGACAATCCTGAAAGACGACAAAAGACGACATGCAACATTTTCTTCCTGAGCGTTATTTTTAGGAACATGCTGTTTCATTGGTCCGGGCCTTTTGGGGGAGGGACTATGTGCCCAGCCACTTTGCGATGCTTGAAAATCCGATAGCCCCGGTTCTGCGCAGGACCATCACCTGTGACGTCCCAAACACCCGACTCGTGCTTGTCTTGGCTCTCTTCTCTCCACTAAAACGTCGTCTTGGCACGCTGAAATCCACAAAAGTTTGCCCAACGCCGCGTCACAATGGGCTGTCCGCCACAGTACCGACGTATTCCTGATGTCTTGATCGACCTCAGCCTGCTCTAAGGTTGTGATCAATAAGAACTTGATTTGTCGCGTCCACCGCTCCTCCATTCCTCCACGAAAACAAGTTGACGTAGTTGGAATAATTAAGTACCATAAGTTCTTGCCGCCTTGGGGCAATAACGAACAAGCTCTGATGACCGAGGACGCAGAATCGGCTCGTGCCAAACTCTCCAACGGGCGGGTTCTCCGCAGCATGCAGGGCCTGGGCTGGCTGTTCAACGGCTCCACAACATAGACGAACCAGCAATGCCAGGTCTTGACTCAACTCCAGCCTGACAGGCCGTCGTAGCATTCCAACAAACGAATTCAACGAGGGATGGGACATACGACGGGACACTACTAAAGGACCACCAGCAGATAATGTCTGAGGTAGATCATGGTTGTCCTCTGGGAGAGCGGCCAGCAACAAGATGCTTTCGGCCTCTACAGATGCTGCAGCATAGGGTTTCACTCCCCGGTGCATTTGTACAGATTGGGCCCTAGCCTCTGAATGTTAGCAATCAGCAGTCGTCAGCACGAAGGATGGAAACAATTTCGTGTGCGTTAATGGGCTGGGATAGCAACTGTAGCCCTGGGGAACGCTCGTGCCTGACTGGCCGCAAAACGCATCCTGATTGGGGCTGTGAGGCACTTAAGCACGCCTGGCAAGCCACTCGGCCAGATTTCTGGGCCGGCATCACAGCTGAGAACTCTGCTTTGACGGTGCACAGCCTCCCCTTACGCATCCATCAATTAGTGGTCCCCCTTCTTGCCACCTCTATGCGATTTAAATACTGTTTGCTCGCCTGCACCTGTTCGTCTTCGCCTTCCGCACAACGTGTTTCCAGTTCATATCAACAATAATAACACTACCAACAATCATTAACCCATCAAGACAGTTTGCCCTCGTTCGTCTGTCTGGGTCTCCGGCATCGATACCTTCTTCACTCGTTGGAGGCATTACGTCATCACAAGTACCACTGCGTATCCCTACCGAAAACAAACAACTGCAACAATCATCATGGGCGTGGGAAGAGTCGTGTGTGTGGCACTGCCATTCATACTCACAATATGTAGCATAATCTGCATGCTGGTTGCTGGCCTTGCCGGTGTGACCAACGACAGCCTATACATGTTCCAGGTCAACACAACAGATCTAACTATCAGCCCTGCTTCGGTGGAAAGCTTGCTTAAGATCGCGACTCGCGAGGCCACACCTGACATCGAATGGCATGACAAATCCCTCCTTCAAGGAGACTCCGGTACCACGAGCAAGCAGACAAGCGACAGCGACAGTACCAGCACAACCACCGATGCTTTGACCAGCAACATCACAGTCGCCGACCTTGGTCTCGCCGACTTGTACGACATCACCCTCTGGGGATACTGCCTCACTTCCCAGAGCGGAAGTCGCAATTGCACTAAGGGTAAATTCAATTGGGCTGAGGCTGGTCTGAACACGTCCAAACTCACTACTGTTGGTTCGAGCGCCGGTGTCAACGTCACCCTTCCCTCCGAAGTCACCACCTCCTTGAACGCCTTCATCACCGTAACGAAGTGGACTGAGGTTGTCTACATCATCGCCATGCTCGCTTTGGGTCTGGAGCTCCTGTTCGGTTTCTTCACTGCTTGCTCTCGCGGCATTTCTTGCCTCACATGGATCTTCTCCGGTATCGCTACCATTGCTGTTATTGCCGCTGCGTCTATGATGACGGCTATGTCCGTTGTTGTTGTCGGCTCGGTCGAGGCAACTGCCAAATACTACGGAGTATCCTCGAGCTTCAACAGATCCTTCCTCGCTACCGTTTGGATGGGTGCCGCATTCGCTATCGCTGCTGGCCTCTTTTGGATGTTCACCATTTGCTGCTGCAAGCCCGAGCGTCGCTCCAACAAGCGTCACATGGACGAAGGCGAGAAACTTGTCCCCAATGGCGCCTACGCGCCCCTTCACGACGGTAACAACCCCCACGCCTACAACCAACAACAGTACGGGGTTCCTCGCCACCAGAGTCAAGGTCGCTCTGACCTCGCGTATGAGCCCTACTCGCACTCCCGCGTGTAGAGGCAGAGGAATTTGGATGCGTTGATAGGATTGTGGTAGCATTCATTACCAGAAAGAATATTGAAACACTGCCGTTGCATTTGATGGCGTTCGGGGACCTGATATGAAATGAATGAGAATCTTCGTACATAATTGGGAATGGGGGAATTGGGAATTAGGATGAATAGAGATGGAACTGAAAGGTGAACCAATACCCAACTGTCTTCTACATATAGAGTTACGCCATATATTACGACTCCAGACCTGTCCTATTCTGTTTCAGCCTGTTTCACTTCAACCACGATTGATCCTTGTCATAATTTGAACACATGAATGATTCGCAAACTCTCTATTGTCACCAAAGATATCTCATACTCCACATAGCACACTCGGCAACGCTTTGTCATACATAACTGAGATGGTCTCTTTATCATGAGATTTGGGCTTGTCCACATAAACATGATTAGTTACGATTCGAATGGTACTATTGGCTGCTCGGTCCTGTAGATCTATGCAAAGTTCCACATACCCTCACTTTTTGACCTACAAACTCCTGGCCACAATTAAAGCTTGCAAATTATGTCCCTATCGACGCGATCACTCTGTCGTGCGTCATAGGGATATCTATCGGGCAACCCGAGTGACATCTTAAACGTACCAAACACGTCCGTCTGCTCTGTCTCTTCCTTGTTGTGTAATCTCATACACCTTGAGTGTATTCTCGGTCCGAAGCTGCTACTAGCACCCCCATCCTCGTCTCTCACCACATTCTCTTCTTGTCCCTCTTCACTTGCCGCTTTTGCATTGCCCCACTGTACCACAAACTGCACAATATTCTCCCGCTTCCCAACTCTCTGCACTTGCACAGGGCCGTGGCGAGTATCAAATATGTCGCCGCCACTACACCCCTATTTTGGGGCTTCAGCGGCAACCCACAGACCAGACACCCTCCGACCAGACACCCTCCTAGAGTCGCTACACCGCACGTCGGGCAGTGGCGTGCATGCGCAGTAGTTCAGGATTACCGAGCAAGTAT